TATTTGGGCACATTTGCAGTCCATACTTGACAGCCTTCCCACAGAAGTAACCAATTTGCATTTTCTAAGTGATGGGCCGGTCACACAATACCGAAATAAAATCATGTTCCATGCATTGGCAACAAAATTACATGATTTTTACCCAAATGTCATAAACTTCACATGGAATTACCACGAAGCTGGTCACGGCAAGGGAGCTCCTGATGGAGTAGGTGCGACGTGCAAAAGAACTGCGGATAGAATTGTTGGAGCTGGGAACGACATTTCATCGCTGGAAGATTTCACGAACGCCCTCCAAAAAAACTGTCCCAATATAAAAGTGGTGACTATTAGTGACGATGACATTTTAAAGAACGAAGAGGAACTTAACACTGAAGATTTGAAAGCTTTCTCAGGTACCATGAAGGTCCATCAAGTAACAGGAAGTTTTTAACAGGAACAGACATATTTCTACCCAACCGCTTAACGATGAAGAGCTTGAGTTGCTTCTGCAATCCTGAGGCCTGCAATCACTTTGTGCTTGGTACCATGAAATTTGCAACAAAGAATACGAGACCGCGCCTTAATGTTGACAATGTCTTTGGGTCTGAATCTGACAACGAGCCATTAATCAACTACAGACTGTCAAAGCAGCTACAAAAATCTTCTCTGCCTTGTGCCACTGTTTCCGAAAATGCAAGCAATTATTAAAGTATTAACGTATTTGAAAAGCCATGATCTCATTTATCTTTTTATATGATTTTATTTCTTTAAATGGAAGTTCCAATTTATATTTATGTTTTAACAGAGTATTCATGCTCTATATTTTTATATCGCATCGCATTACATGCAACTTATGTGCCATTAAATAATTTAAGTATTTTCTTTAAGAATGAATAGAAAAAAATACTGTGATTTTTGTTAGTAGATACTTGTTGTTAGTAATTTTGTTTTCTATGTCCTAATAATTATAGTAACATTAAAAGACTGTATTGAAATTTAAGTCTGTTCTTATAGTTGTAAACTATTACATAAAGTTTAATATTAAAGTTGATTCTTACGGATAAAATTGTTTTTCTTTCAATGTATATTTCCCCTGTAAGGTAAAGTATCCTACTCTGGCCTTCATGTCTCTACCCTGGATCCTGTATCTCCCCTGGTACGTAAAAACTCTTGTAAAAATAGATAAACTAACTGGCCATCTTCAACAAGTATACAAAATATCTGTTTACATAGTTCTTTATTGGAAAAATATATTAAAATATATATCAAATATTTATATCGTGCCACTCTTCTTAATATTAGATGCTCCTTTAACGTAGAAAGACCCATACAAATTCTTAACGCGCTTACTAGTGAACGCATTAGCGTAAGACTTACACTTACCACTCTGGTAGTCCACCGCGTATTTATAGGGGCCGATACCGCATCTAGAATTTTTAGATTAGGACCTAGAACATTCTAGGTTGGCTTCGGCCGTAGGTCTCACCGACAGCAGTGACTTCGAAGCTACAGATGAGGTGTGTCTACTAGAACATATTCGTCACTAGGTATTTTACAATACTAGACCGCACCTGTTATAATTTTCTATATACTTTATCCACCTAGAATTTCTATAATTTACACGATTTTAGACACTAACTTAAAGAGTAAGAGGTCATAATTGCATGCACGTGTCTTACTTACCTATTATTTTTCTCCATTTCATCATTAAGCACAAGTAAACAAAAACTATGTTTATACGAGGGTCAAACTGAAAGTTCTTAGAACTGGCCACTTATAAACAATATAATAAAAAAATAATTCTAAAATTTGAAAATATAACTCTTTGCCAATATTACTGAGTATATATTTCATTCATTTGTCATTTGTTTTACGATTTGGCGGCAAATTGAAAATTGTCTGTGTCACGTCATCATGAATTTAACACGAGAAAATTTTCGTGCAATGATTTTTTATGACTTTCGATGTCATTTAAGTCAACAAGAAAGTTATGATAGACTACGATTGGCCTTTCACGATGAAGCCCCATCTCGTGCGACTGTTTACAACTGGTTTAATGAGTTTAAACGTGGTCGCACTAATCTCACTGATGATTTACGTGAGGGACGGCCTTCTACGGCGACGACTGAAGATAACATCTGTGTTGTGCGGCGTATGATAGAGACTGACAAAAGAGTGACCTATCAACAGATTCGGACAAGCTTAGGCATCGGTATGAGTCAAGTGCACAAAATCCTCCACGAACATTTAGCGGTCAGGAAGCTTTGCGCCCGGTGGATACCTCATAATTTGACTGAGGCTCAAAAACTCCATCGTGTGGATTGGTGTCGTAAAATGATTGAAAGATTTAACGGAGGTGACTCAAATGCTGTGTTCGACATACTAACAGGTGACGAAAGCTGGATTTACTGTTATGATCCTAAAACCAAAAGACAATCTGCTCAGTGGGTGTTTCCTTTCGAGGAGTTGCCAACTAAAGTGAAGAGAGATCGAAGTGCGGGAAAAAAAATGGTGGCCTCGTTCTTTGGAAGGATAGGTCATTTTGCAACAATTGTGTTAGAGGATCAAAAAACAGTTTCTGCAGAATGGTACACTACCAATTGTTTGCCACTTGTCTTGGAAAAAGTTCGAGAGAAACGACCTCGCAGTAGGATCCTCCTTCACCACGACAACGCCTCGTCGCACACCGCCAAGCGAACGATCGACTATTTGGCGACATCAAACGTTGAATTACTGGGTCACCCGCCGTATAGCCCCGACCTCGCGCCTTGTGATTTTTATTTATTTCCAAAAATTAAAGAAAAACTTAAAGGAAAGCGGTTTATGAATGCTGAAGAAGCGGTGGCTGCGTATCGCGATGCCATTGAAGAGACCCCTAAGGACGAGTGGGCAAAGTGCTTTTCCCAGTGGTTCCATCGCATGCAGCGGTGTATTGACGTGAATGGACAATATTTTGAAAAGATATAATAAAACTAATAACTGGCTAATGTAATCAGTTTTTGATTTTCTAAGAACTTTCAGTTTGACCCTCGTATTTACTCGTATAATAGATTAACTAGTTAGTGAGTAATATAAATCCATCAATTTAATTTTACCTCTTGTTACTACTAATACTAGCTGAGGTGAGGTTTATTTACTACAACTAGAACAGATTCAGTATAGGTATTACAACATAGGCAAAATATTTAATCCACGAAGTATTGGTTTAGATCACACAATTTTCAACCTTACATTAAAACATTAAGAGATTATATTTGCATGTGCTTATATACGTTCGTCAGTATCAATTTATACTAGGGAAGACATATTTACTAGAACTGATACACGTGCTAAGTATTATAATTCTCACGATTTTCGGAGATTTTCAACATATCACATCACGTAGTTAGACAACTGCAATAACTAAAAAATACTAGGTGGATTAGGTGTATGGATCGAATATTATATTGTACGAAGAATAGGTACACCAAGTATCAAGTTTACCTAGTAGAACCCAACTATGTATAGTGATGAGCCCCTCACTCACAAGGTGCCTCGTTTGAGATCCTCATTTCGACAAAATGAGGGAGTACTCGTTTTTCAATTTTGAACCACCTCATTTAGCTCCTCACTTTTTGAGGCTTCAAGCACGAGGCGCGAGCACAGATATTACACCTCACGCAACAGAATAGCGAGTTAAATTTAACAAAAACAAAATTAAATTCATGGTAATTCTGTTAAATAATAATTAAATAAAGTTAATTTCTGAGAATCTAAAGATAAAATATGTTTTGTTTGGCATTACCGACTCCCTGCCTCAATTTGCACCAAACGGCAACGTTGCGCGCGCCTCGCTACGTACTCATTCACTGCTACTGTAACATACTTATCCTCACCTCAAATGTGGGGTAACTTGCGAGTCCCTCACGAGGGAAAATGAGCTCCTCACTCATCCTCATTAAAAAAGAGTGAGTTACACAACGCTTCCCAACTATTCTAGGTATTACCAAAAGGTCCTAGAACAGCTACCGATGTATACCTATATGACACACGTAATTCTGAGTGTGTTAGCGCGATTCATTAGCGCATAAGGCCGTCTAATAATCTGAAAACAAACCGCGCCGCTGCACTCCATAACAATAACAAAATAAAAATATTTTTTCATATTAGAGAATTTTATTTTAAATAAAAACTTTGAAACGACTGCAGTTTAACAAACTGGTTACTTAAACAAAATAATACTTACATATGTACATACATTAGAGATTAAATAACTTTGTGAAAATACAATATTTCAACACGTTAATGACTGAATTTTAAAAAGGAGAACTTTTTTATATGGTTGCTGTTACTTTCATTTAAATGACCTCTAACCAAACATAAAACATATATTAATTGATAGAAGGCAATTAAATCATAAATGGTCATTTAATTTCATTTTTAGACGCTACCAAAATGTCTATTCTGTGATTTGAACATCATTTGGTGGATATTTTACTATTCTTTTGGTTTACTCAAAAACTTCTAAAACGTTAAAAACATCGACATTTTAATGAAATAAGCAAACGTTCACTAAAAGAGCGCTGAGCTCATCGCCGCAGATAAGGCCCTTCTTGCGTTTGTTCGGTACGTGGCTTTATACAATAAATACTTAATTAGCATATTAATAATTCGATTTTCTCAATATTGATATATAATTCATCCACAGGCAAATCACGAAAATGACGAATTACTAGATAAAAAAAATATTTTAATTAGATAGAACAAACTTGCTTGTTTCATTTCATGATCGGAATTTCCCAACTTTCGTGATAACCCAAAGTATCCTACCGAAGGCAAGGTTATGGACAAAGATCCCTTTGCCTTGTTTTAATTTACGGCATTTTATTTTTAAAGTGTTTTATCATAGCAATCTTCTTTAACTCAATTCTCTGAAACGGAGAACATTACAGACCTTAAACTTAGATAAAAGATAGAGGATTTTGTCTAGGTGCTAGAGTAATGTTCTTTATAGTGGTAAGATGTTTTCGGAATAAATTACCAAAAAAAAATATTCTCCTTTCAATACTTTTTCATTTAAATATTTTCATATCACATGAGTTCTTTAAACAACAAAAATTAGACGTTATAATTGATAAACAATTGTACTGAAAAAATTTGAAATAGCAATCTCGAACTATAAACTTTACTCCAAATTCAAATTCTGGTCATCTAAGTATATTCTTTTTCAGTACAATCGTGCTTATTATAAGTAATATAAGAAAAATTAATGAAAAAATTTCCACCTACATTTTATACATTATTACTTTGGTAAATTTCTTTTATTCGGAAATGCAAGTGCTAAAGCTAATGTAATCATGAAAAAAATGTCTAACTTGACTTTTTACAGTTGATACTTAACCTTAATTTTGATAATCCGATCTTTTTTTAAAGGATTTAAGATTTATCGTAAATATACATATTAAACTATTATATAATACCGAATAAATTACATTTTATTTACAATTCTTAAATTTCATAAAAAAAAATCTTTGGGCGATACATTACTTTTAAATCTTCTAATGATGCTTTCCTTGTGTTCTAAAGTCAAATTAATAGATATAAAAATCGATTAGAAGTTACCTTGTCACTATTAGATTTAATAAGCGACGCTACTGTCTGGCCTTGTGTTATATAAAGAGAATGATTATAAAATTTGTGTAGTTAACGACATAATTACTATAATGGACTTGTATGAATAATTAAACTTGTCTTAACATTATAATATTTTTAAACTACATATTGTTCATGTCCGAATAAAATACTTACTATTACTTAGAATTCACAAGAAAGTGTAATCGCTGTTTTTAGCAGTCCTTAATCTAATATTTCTAGTCTGTAGTACAATTTAGATAAAAAAATAATTCTTATCAGAAACAATTTAACAACTAACATTAATTTAATATTAATAATGACTTTTATTAAATTAAAAATCGTTATATTAAATAATGAATACAAAATGACGCAAGGTGTGTTTGTGAACATTTCATGTAATACCAATTTACCCTAGATCGACTTAGATTTTAGAGATAAATCCGAATTTATTTCTGGTGGATTCTCCTAGACTCATTCGCAATACCAAGTTGTCCTTCGATCCTTCTTCTCCATGATCTGCCTGACTTCACCCGGAACTCCGCGCAGAGAATTATCTGAAACCAAGCAAGATTCGTGAATCAGATTATTTTTAAACTTCACTTTTTTAAACGACAGTAATATATACACATAAACTAAACAGTGACATCATTTACCTTAATCGAGAAAATCTTATAGTGCTAAAGACAATACCGACAATATTTTTTAATGAAAATAATATTACATATTGATTAAAAATACTGTTTAAAATATGATGTTTTTTTTTATTTTCAGCTTCAACATATATTAAAAGTTAGGAATGTATACAATACGAAAATATAACATTCCGATTATAAATAATAGAATAAAATCCTATATATTAACGTTAAAAAATGTGTCTTGTCAAATAATTTCGTTTTATGAAATACGCTTTATAAAATACACGAAAAAAGAAATAACCAATGTCAGTAGCGATCAATCCAAATATAATTAAGAGCGTCAACTGTTCATAAAAAGTATAGTTAAAGATATTTAAACTCCAATTAAAACGTTATAACATTAAAGAGACAAAACCAAGAATATATTCAATTATCCCTCAGAAAAGTCGAAGACCCACAAGAAACATCACAAACGAAACTCTTTAATTACATCGATCTAAAGTTCTCATAAAAGGGGACACGTATTGTAACAAATGCGAATCTTATCCAAAAAGCGAACGATTACATAAGCGAAAGAACCTTGTTTCAGATTATTTTGGAAGCTTGCCTAACTTTACTGACCTACAAAGTAACTCATTCGGGCGACTTCACGAATTCGATACCACTTAGACCTGTAGAAAAAATGTTAAATTTTTAACCGACTTTAAAAAAGGAAGCTATCAGTTTGACTCATGTGTGAAATTGTTGAAATTGCGCAATTTTTTTTTATATGTCGGTCTATGTTTGCTTCTAAATACGTATGTCAAATAGCTTATGTTTGTCTGTGTGCTAGTCCATTTATATCTTGCCAATTACACATCGGATCGCAAGGATTGTTTTCATTAATTATCTTTTAACTTAGGGAACAGCATAAGTTTCCCTAAAAATCGGTGGCTTTAAGTTATAAATTATTAGATTTACCGACTTATAAATCTCGTATTTTCAATTGCTGACAGCTCCATTAAAAGATACAGTTAACTAAGCCAATTAAGCAGGATATACTCGTACTATGCCCATATGTACTGTTTGCAAAAACATATTCTTTACGTTAAATAGTACTGCTAGCTACCCACTAGACTGTCCCGGAGTCGTGTCAGGTATATACGAGTAGGGAACGATCCGTGCTTGGCGTGTTAGTTGGTGACAAAACGGCCTAGTAAAGTCGATAATAAATTTAAATATTTAAAATATCATATTTAATCGTAATGTTGGTTTAATTTATGTATATGCAATAAATAAACTACATAATTTATTCTATACATAAAATAAACAAATGCTTCCTTAAAATAAACATTATCGATAAACGGTATACGGTTATAAAAGCATAAAGATTAGCAAAACAAACATTAATTAGTTAATTACATATTTACATCACAAAATATTTAATTATACTATTTATAAATAATGGCCCCTAATTTATATTAACAAAAGTAGTTTAAAATATCGCGATTTAAATTAACATTACATCGATGTGACAGACTGACGGACAGAAATAAAGAAAAAGTATATAAAAGCGGTTCCACTGTCACCCTTAATCTACAAAATGCTAAAGGATATCTTACTGTAGATACACATACTTTTTATCGATGTAAACTTATAGAAGCGTTTAGTCAATACTTGAACTTAAAATAATACAAGCTTTCGCCAGCGGCTTCGCCCGCGTGGACCCTAGGGAAATGTTTAGTGGGATAAAAAGTCAGCTAATACCCTATCTCTATACCAAATTTCATCAAAATCCGTTCAGTAGTTTCGGCGTGATTGACCGACAAACATCCAAACAAAGAAACTTTCACATTTATAATATTAATAGGATATATACTTATAAGCATTATAAAGATGTAAAGTTTCTTACTTTGTTTGCTTGTTTGTAGGCGGTTATCTTCGGAAATACTGAACCGATCAATAAAATTATATCTACTACGGAAAGCTACGTCATATAGGCTATAATTTAAGTGGGCGAACTCCCCAGAACACAGCTAGTTAATTATATATTAACAAAAGAAACCCACAACTTGAATCAAACTAGAATGTAGTCTTGAAATAACATTTTACTTACATTTATCGTCGTTTCTCTCATCTTCACTTAACTTTTGCCCGTCCATAGAGGCCATGGATATCCTCTTTTTCCGTTCCTGCAGCAGAAGTTCTGGAAATTAAAATAACATTATTTATACATTATAATTTTGTTTAAATTACTGATGCAATAAAACATTTGCTGAGGAATTGTTTTACATTTTAGACTTTAGTTTGAACTTCTTATTTATTAAAAAAATATATAACTATTTCTGCACAATAAAGAATGATCCGTCTCGATTTCTCATCTCTCAAAGATAGTTTTTAAAGACAGAGACATTTTTGTATCCTGTGTGGGCAACAAGACACTGGTTAATATTTAATTTTAATTTAAATATAAGATTAGCCACTTCTTACGCAAATTTAGACACTTTTTGTTTACAAAAATAATTAAAACTATTCGGTGGAGGGTGATATTGAAGACAGCAATATTTTATAATCAATAAAGCGGCGGAAAACTAGCAAAGCGTTGAAGAGTACTGTCACATTATTAAAGGTAAAATAATATTAAACCTAAGTAATAAAGGTTTTAGTTAATTGGACATCTAATGGTACGATGGCGCTGAGTTCGACGCTGTACTTATAATATCACATAAACTGTGTCCGATTGCCTTTACTAGATACAACAAATACGATTTCTAAGAAAGTATGTTGTGTCAGTAACGTGTTAAGATTTCCGCAAAACCTTAAAAGAGCGGTCTTTTCAATGGTAACTCAGTTGTTAGAGCAAGCGCTCGGATACAAAACAAATACAAACATTTGTACGATCCGTTTATAAAGTATTTAGTGAGTATTGATGATCCTGAGTCCGTTTTCATACTAAAAAAAGATTTAGATGGTTTGTGAACCCCGATACAAATATCGTTGCTTAACAAATATCCATACACATGTATCTATATCATAATCCTTCAATTAAAACAATTGCATCAATACAAAACTTTATGAAATAAAAAATTTATTATGGAAATAACGTAATAATTCTAATTTTCTAAAATTTGCTGTCGGTATTAATGTTACACTGTCGCTGTGAGCGATATTGTCAATTTTTCGTTATTTTAAAACTATTTATAATTTTATAGAACCGTGGTCTATTTATCAACAATTCACTAAATAGATAAGCTTCAACACATATTTCCGATAATCTCTAACACTGATAACTTTGTCATATCTTCATTAATTTCTTATATTTACATTCAAAAATGGACATTATACATGTTTAAATCACTTGAATTGAACAATTGATAACGTTTTAGTAAATAAAATAAGTCAATTCTCAAAGTGATAATATTATATGCATTTATATTAATTAGATAATGTACACTTAATTATTAGGATTTTTAACGATCATAAATTTCTATGCCCACGATATGGCCGTACGTTATAGAGACAACGCTTTAGATTTGACGTTTAAAGTGTAAATAAAGTGATATGCCGTGGTAACTGTATATTTAAATTTAGCTCCACTACAAAAGCTTTGTTCTGTCGAGACGTGAGTGCTTTTAAATCGTTGTAACAGACAGCAAACCGCACATGTTAATGTAACTTTGGTTTTTAAATGTAATAAAAATGCAAAATGACATGACATATTGAAATAATAAAATTTCTGTCAACTTTTAATACTAAATACTTAAGGCGTTATCACCTCAAACCTCTTTTGAGGTCCTCTTTTATCAAACAAACAAAATTCTTAATGCAAAATTCTTGATAAAATATGCTTAAAAAATCGACTTTGTGCCTGGCACTGACCTTTGACTAACTCTAACACTTGACCTTTCGCAATCTGGGCAACTGCAGTGATTACACTCGAGTTACCCAAGACCTAACAGGACTGACAAATCTTTCAAGCACTTATTACTTTTTCACTACTACAGGGCGTATTTTCACCAATGTCTACCCAAAGTAGATTTTTTATTAAGATCTTTCACTATAACATTGTGAAGCTCGGTGGTTAGAGCAGCCCAAATTGCGAAAAGTCATTGGTTCGAGTCCCATCTCAGAATAGCAGGGTCAAAGAGGATTTTTTTTGCATTTTCAGTAACATTTTTTTCGGAATAGCATTGTGAATACAAAATTATTCAAATATAATCCTTAATACAAATTAAATCTACGTCACGATAATTCATTTCGATTATTGAGATAATAGTGACGTACTAGTTATTATTGAAATTATTCGACACAATCACTGTTTATAAGAGCAAAGTATATTTTAGTTGCTTTCTTTGGAAATTAAATCAATAGAGAATTATTTTATGTAATAGGGAATATGCTTCTTATAAAAAAAATATATATTTTATTAAATAAAGTCTATGTAAATATTTTTCAACATTAGTTCATTTTGGTCTTGAAAATAATTATTAAAAAGTTCAATAAATACGGTAATTTTGAAATATTCTAACGCCATGCTTCTTGACCGAGCGGATGTGAAGTATAATCAAGAAAATGTACACGCATCGATGCAATATCAATGCATAAAGTCGCAAAATAAAGAATAGATTACAATTTGAAAGTTGTTTTACATTATTATTTGAAACAAATTAGTGAACCATATTATTATAAAAAAAAAGTCTATTATACTTAAAAAATTGGTTGTTAATCGACTTGGGTAATTGAATAATAATCAATCGGTCAAAACCCATATTGATTTAAAATGTCATATCTCTAGTCGTGTACTTTAACGTCACGACAAGCGCGCCAAAAGTTCCAGGGTTTAAACTGCTTGTATTTGTTACTTATTTTTAACCACTTTCTTTTAATTGTTATTAATTAGTTTTCTTTTTTTTTATGTGATAGGGGGCAGACGAACAGACGGTTCACCTGATGGTAAGTGATTACCGTCGTCCATGGACACCTGCAACACCCTCTGTTGTTGCAGGTGTCCATGGGCGACGGCTACAAGCGCGCTGCCGGCCTTTGAGGGACGAATATGCTCTACGCTTGAAAGTTTGAAAATCGTATCGGTCCGGAAATACCGCTGGCGACAAACTGTTCCAGAGTTTGACTGTGCGAGGCAGGAAACTTCTAGAAAAACGCACAGTTGAGGACTTCCAACCGTCCAAATGATGGACGTGGATTTCTTGTCGCGTGGAACGATGCCGGAAGGTAGCGGCAGGTATGAGTCCGAACAATTCCTCGTAGCATTCCCCGTAATAGATGCGATAGAAGATGCACAGTGAAGCAACATCTCTACGTAGGGCCAGTGGATCAAGCCGACTTGAAGTATCCCGGCAATCGACGATTCGAGTCGGTCTCCGCTGAATGCGGTCTAGAGGGAGTAGTAGTCTAGTAGTTCGATATAGTAAATTTTTGGTCACCCATCCTATGAACGACCATTGCGAAAGTTGCTTAACGACCGTATCGCAGACCGAGCGCGCTAACCACTTCGCCATTGAACTCCCGAATCATCATGAATAACACACTGCTACTCCGAAATCCTGCGCAATTTGGTCATTTCACGATAACATAATGTCAGGTAGATAACACGAAGGACAATAATACTGAAGATTAGATAAATGAAAAAAATACCTTTTTCATTGTATTCCACAACTAAGTATTGTTTATTCTAATTAGAATACTCATAAATATGAAATTTTAAAATTTATCAGTCAATGGAACAAGGGAGGTATATTCTATATGGTAATTAGGTAAACTCTTCTACTATAGTATCTGCTGTTACTTGTGACTTCGCCTGTGTGGTTACCGTGTCATACATACCAAACAAGTGTAACTAAAAGACAAACAATCAAAACATACTAACCAAGTGAGTGGCTTACATCATAACAACATACCTGATATTGTCACCTGACATCAAACTATCGCCAATCTGAGAGAGATGTTTATGCGGTGTAATATTTAAGACATAAAGGCTCATTTCTATAGATTTTCAGATATGACTGGAACATCTGATATACAGAAGTTGTAAAATTTTCAGGCTTAGATGATCATATATGTGTATAACCTTGTACACTATCAGAACAACCCTAAACAATGCACTGGTGATGGTTATGAGAGAATTTTCAATAATAAAGGACCCTAAGTCATTCTCCTGCATTCCAACTATCTCCAAACGAAATACATATCGTAACAATGGTCTAATTTAACGTAAAAGGAACACAAACAAACAACAAAAAGATGCACTCACCATGGAAACGAGAGTAACTTCAAACCCGATTAATAAAATTCAGGAAGATTTGGGTGGCAAAATTACAAAAGCTCAAATTAATTTTAACAAATTACGAAACGTAATAATGAGGGTATCATATATTATAATGCAGCTTCAATTATTAGTAGATTATATTCAAAATTAATCATAATTAAATTGATTACGTATAACAATGCGTAGAATACAAAAGAATAAATATTACAGAATATAAATTTAAATTGAAAGAAATTTTGACATATTTAGTTCGAAGATAGTACTTAAGAATTATATAGTGTATGTGAAAAATCATGTTTAGAAACCCATAAATTATAACAAAAATAAATGATTAACTTGCTTTGTTGAATAATGAAATATGAAATGCATGAACATGGAATACAATAACAAAGTGTCTGATAATATAAACATTAAATATAAACCAGTTACACTAATATGATTGTTTGTCCATTTTGAAGAAAAGAAAAACATGATATTTTGCGAAGATTTTAGGAATACACAATTTTGATATCGTTTACCAAAATACTAAAGTTTTACACCCATAAGTTGTTACCCAACAATCGCAATTTGAATTCGGCTACCTGTCAACTTAAGACTTATAGTAAACAAACTTTTTATATATACTTTTTTGGATCCAGAGAACTACTTTCATTTGTCCTGATTCCTTTTTGATATTTATAGATTCGGATATTCTCCTCGAAAGCTACTAATAAACCAAACTAACAAATTTAGCTTTTCGCGTAAAATATTCTAAATAATTATCAAGCTTAAAGTCTCTCCCAAAATTAAATTAAATAATCCAAAACAATTTTAATCTAACGTTACAACTGATTTTCAAAGTTCATAAATATAATTTAATAGAAATCCAATAGATAATCTCGTAATCAAACCTCTTTCAAGTCCTTATATTAAGTATCCTTAACCTGTTTCCAATGATAATAAAGAATTACTTTTGAAATACGAGTAATCTAAGAACTGTTTGTTGCGGTAAATCGCAGAATATGGGTCACGTCAAATAACCCTTCGTTCTAAGCTGCAGACAGCACGGACGAACGATGCTATTGTTGATAAACTGAGCCACAATGGACGGCATGCGGCTCGAGCCACAGAATTATCGTTATGGACGATGCCCATACAGAAACAATAACATTCAATACTATTGGATTTCTATGAGTCATACGACATCCGGGCAATTTTTAAAGGGTTGTATTTAAAAGAACACAATAGTGACCTAAATTATGTAACAGAATTATTTAAAAAAGTACCGAAATTAAACGAAATTTTTAAATTAAGAAATTTCCAGTTTTTTTGTTTGTTCGAATAAATATATTCTTGTTTCGTTCCTCAAAAGGAGAAAACAGAACCTTTATAGGATCACTTGTATGTTTGTCCGTTAATTCCTCCCGTTGGTTTTTGAAACTATTAGACCTAAATTTTCAGAAAGTAATAATAGTTATTACTTTACCTATACGTTCATATGTAAAACCGCAACATCTATTCCAACGCATTCCACCCTAGACAAAAGCCTATTGTGCTATTTGAGGGAACAGCGATTGTCGCTAAATAGCTCTAAAGTAACAAAGAAACGCGTTACCGGAAAGATTTAAACACCAGTTTACGCTTATCAGTGTAATCTACGCGAGAAATGTGGCATTGTAACAAGGAGAGTTCGAAACGATCGCACTTTTGTCGCGCTCCCTTGTTACTCCTATCTAATTTTATCAGTGAACAAAAGTCGTTTATGCTAATAATCCCCTACATGCACGTTTCGTTTTGATAAATGAAATAAAATGCATCCATATAAAAGTAACAAAGAGGGTGAGAACAGTTTTGTTTCAAAAAATTCATATACGTCATAACAACGCGTCGCTGCAAAAATAGCAAAACAAAAGAGCTCATATGCAAACGACTACGTTTATAAAACAACGCCAATATTTAGGAGTCGAGTCTTTGACGTTCCCACAGATGTAACTGAATGCACATGCAGCTCGCAAGTGTCCAATAAAAAAAGTCAGTCGTCGACCCCGTGTGCGTCAGCCGACGATAAGTACGGACTCCTTCCGTCACGTACTACCCGGGAGCAGATGACGATCAATTAAAAAGTTTCTACGCATTAACTATGCGAGAATTAGTTTGGTGTGCTTCCGTACCAGATGGACTCAATTAGTTTCTTTGTGAGAAACAAACTTAAGTAAGCCCAAATCGAATCTTTCGAAGTTGAACGCCCTGTCGATTATGGTGCATTCCAAGTTTTAGTGTCCACATTTCAGAACTATTGGTACTATTTCAGTTTATAGCCATGGGAAAGTTTCAAAGTAGCTAGATTCAGTAATAGCATACCATACAAAACAAACATACACAATGTTATTCGAGTTGTTCAAGTGGAGTGACATAATTCCCTCAGACTAGATACTACTAGATGCAGCGCTGAATTGCATAACGATCTATTCATCTCTGCTCTGTTTACTATTGAATGCATTATCTTGCGGTTGCAACTCTACTATAGGTAACATCTACAGTGGTGAAGTATGAGACACCTAACAATATTTACGAGCAGTCGTAAACCTATCGCGACGACATCGAAGAAAACAAATTTTGAGAACAGAAATTCACGATTTACAAAGAAGAAAATCTATCGACGCTCAAACATTGTTTTAGGAAACTGAATTTTATCGAAGTATTACATGTATGTACCTTGAATTCACATCATGTGGGTTGTAATAATATTACAGTTATTCAACACACTCAATAAAATATCTGCTATTGGACTTAAAGACATATTCATTCGAACATCAGCATTTTAATATCTCCACTGTTAGGATACAATGCTTCCCTTAAATCTAATTGAATAGGGAGAACGAATCATACGATTACAACATGGGCCCAATGCGGAATGGTTGATGTTAACAACTGCAGATGCAGCCAGTCTTCTGTAGCAAAAGGAAGTTCGAAACATTACTTTTTGGTCACTCATCCTATGACCTGCCTTTGTGACTAGCTTAAATTCCACATCATAGACCAAAAGCGCAAACCAGGGCGCCATCAAGCTCATTGAACAACATTCGTAAGTATAGTTAGACGTCACGTCATTTTATACATTATCACAATTAATTACTATGAAAATTCCTCTAAATGAACGACCTTTGCATTCTGTGAGCTCAAAGATAACGGTAGCTCAGAGACCAAAAAAAGTTTTGTCCTTAATCTGCGCTTTCTCCTCACAACAAACGTTTTTGACACGCAATGTCACAGTAATCATTAGAGACAACACGTTTCTCTTTTATATCTAAGAGAAATAGTTCGCTTTTATAAGGCAGTGTAATATAACAGAATACAAATTACAAAACTTTTAATAGTAAATAATACATTACCTACTTATAAGTTCCTGCTGATCAATATGTAATTTTTTTTTTTTTTGCTTTCAGTAATAGTCAACTTTCTGTATTTTTATTCTAGAATCAAAATTACTATAATTTCAATAAACCACATGTGACACCACACTATTCAGATAGGTATTATTCGTAGTTATTTGAGACGCCTTATTATTCACTTTTCAATTAGACTTCTGTGTATGATATAACAAAGGTAAAAAACAACATCCCTTACTAAGTTTTTACAATCTTTCAAGAATCAATCGTTCAAAACTCTTGAACTGATGGCATAATTTTTTTACTGTTAGATATGATTAGGACTTATTAAATTATATTTAATTCTAAGTTGTCATCGTCTAGATCTATTATTTAATTTATGTGTTATCATTATGTTCCAATGTATATTTGCTTTCTTATCTAAAAACTGAACAACCCAAATTTTTGAAGCGGTGCTTTATAAACTGCCCTTTTTTATAAGTACGAGTATTAATGTGTTATCATATGTCATTATTGCAAGGTGTATTTGCTTTCTTATCTTAACAAAAAATTTTGCCGCCTAAAGTGACATACCTTTCTTTTGCATAGCTTGTTCCCACAATAGAGACGTGATCTCTTCTACCCATGCATTCCTCACTGCCGAATCAGCTGTCTCCATCTTGTACGACTTCAAGTTTCGGTTCTTGTACCAAATGGTAAACTTGTACTGGTCTTGTTCTTTCGCTGTTATGCCCAGGTCGTCAACAGGTATGTGGTCTTTATAAATGAAGTGCTCCACTCTTGGTTGCTGAAATTGAAAAGGCTTAAGTTATACACTGTACTGCAAATATAGAAACGAAGCATTTAAATAGTTGTCTTATCGAAACAATACGAGTAAAAGCTGCAAAACTTTTCCTGAGTAAATAGATTTATTTTTATGACATAATATTTTTTATTGCTTCAAAGTACGATAACAATAGTCAATTCTACATCAATTTATACAATAAAAGATATTTATAAAAACTTGGAATAAGAGTAAATAAGCTTCAGATTGCTTTTAATAAAGTGACTAGCTGAATTTTATTACAAACACTGTATTATGAAATTACGACATCTAATAACTAGACACTATCATCTTGATGTCATAGCAGTCATCATTGTTGGTCCGAAACACGAGTAATAAAGAGTTGATTAATTATTATTTATTTATATTATTTATTATAAATCAGTTCAATATGCCATTGAACCATAAATGATAAAAGCCTACAATCAACCTATCCATGACCCCACGGCTGAAGCAGACGGAAAGAACTGATCATACCCAAAAACGCAGACCCAATGCACATTGACGATAACAAACGACTATTGTGGTCAAAACCAAAGATTCAACGAACTATCAAAAACAAACAAAGGAATTCGATATGATACATTATTGGTAACCTATCTCATTATCGCTTATTTATATCAGAATATTGCTTACGAATGCGTCATTGAACTCTTGTACTCGTACATCCACATTATTTCCTGTATATTCAAAAGGCTATAACAGTGGAAATCGGTAGTGCATGCCTAATTAGCGGTCAGGCCGCGGCATTGACAAGGTCACTCGCATTCCTGCCATAAGTGACGTAAGCAATAGAGTGAACCAAACGTTGGATAATGTTGGCAAATGATACTTGTTCTAATGTTCTATTTTAGAACCATGGCTGAGCAATGTTTGGTTTAAAAAATCCGGTTTATGCTTGAAATATTTGTTATAGTGTTGACTTTAATCCATCACGACATGAAAAATATACATAACTAGCTTTCCGCCAGCGGTTTTGCCCGCGTGATCCCAGGAAAGTGATCATTTACTCCTGTGTACCCAAATTGTACTCCTGTACAATTTGGATATCTATTCATGTCGTGACACGAATATTATTACCATGAAAAATCGATTAGTTAACAATGTTCACCGTGATAACTTATTGATTACTATAGAAACTTTCAATCCTATTTTCATCCCTTTATTTGCAGTTTTTGGGAAAAAATATAGCAATAAATATAGGGATAATATATAATTTAAAATCAGTCCAGTAGTTTAGGTGCTTATTTATTGCAAACAATCAAATCATTCCTCTTTGTAATATTATTATAGATATAATAATTCTCATCTTATGTAACAAACAAATTTTAGTCAATAATAATCCAATTATCAAGAAATAGTTAAACAATAATGAGTGAATTTGTTTCTTTACTAAATCTACAGATTCACACAGTAGTAATTTTAAAATAGCAAATCTTCATAAACATCCAACAGCAACTCGACAACTTTGTACTTGAATTAATTCAAAACAAACGCCGCCCAAGGCCGTAGTTTTGCTCTTTCTCGTCAACAATGAATATCAACAAAGCTATAATAAACAAGACAGTTTCAAATGATAAAACGTGCTTCCTATTCAAGATCAAAATGAAAAGAAAATTTGTTAAAGTATTTTAACTTAGTAGTATGGATTTGTTATCAGATAATTAACTGTAGTTATTAGCATAATACTTATAAATAATAAGATTTTGATATCTTATATTCTAAATATTATATATCTTAGTGTAAAAATTAGAATTAAATTACTTTACGAAAGTATTCATTTGCAAAAATGAATGTATAAGTACACGAATTTTCTCTAAGATTCAACTAACTGTACAATATAAATTACTTATTAACAAGCTCTTGACCTCGCCTTCGTATGAATTCAATTTTCATTAAGTTTTTCACGATTGGCGTAATTTTCATACTTTTATTGATGTAAAGAAAACTATTAATTTATTTATTCTTTACGAAATCATTTGATACGAATTTAATGTATAGCGATAAATAAGATAAACAATTGCAAAGACAATTTTACCAGTATGATAATTGATACTTTCTCTGAATCTAACACAAGTTGAAGTAAAAGCGTTATTTGGAACCGGAAGCAAAGAAAGTGCCACATCTACAGAAAGCTGAGACAATAAAGAAAATATAGTTTTCTTTATTTATTCGTCTATAATCAAATTTAAGAATTTTGAAATGCTGCACCGAGCTAGTTATGCAATCATGCGACCAAGGACATCGACCATTTTTCCAATCATTCCTCAACAATAGAATGTTAAAAAACATCGATTGTAAGAATAATTTTAAAATAGAACTTAATTCTAATAATAATAGAGTAAATATAGTCTGTGTTGCGAAAGTTAAATAACTTTCATAAGGACCGATCATTGGAAATATAAATATATTACGAGGGTCAAACTGAAAGTTCTTAGAAAATCAAAAACTGATTACATTAGCCAGTTATTAGTTTTATTATATCTTTTCAAAATATTGTCCATTCACGTCAATACACCGCTGCATGCGATGGAACCACTGGGAAAAGCACTTTGCCCACTCGTCCTTAGGGGTCTCTTCAATGGCATCGCGATACGCAGCCACCGCTTCTTCAGCATTCATAAACCGCTTTCCTTTAAGTTTTTCTTTAATTTTTGGAAATAAATAAAAATCACAAGGCGCGAGGTCGGGGCTATACGGCGGGTGACCCAGTAATTCAACGTTTGATGTCGCCAAATAGTCGATCGTTCGCTTGGCGGTGTGCGACGAGGCGTTGTCGTGGTGAAGGAGGATCCTACTGCGAGGTCGTTTCTCTCGAACTTTTTCCAAGACAAGTGGCAAACAATTGGTAGTGTACCATTCTGCAGAAACTGTTTTTTGATCCTCTAACACAATTGTTGCAAAATGACCTATCCTTCCAAAGAACGAGGCCACCATTTTTTTTCCCGCACTTCGATCTCTCTTCACTTTAGTTGGCAACTCCTCGAAAGGAAACACCCACTGAGCAGATTGTCTTTTGGTTTTAGGATCATAACAGTAAATCCAGCTTTCGTCACCTGTTAGTATGTCGAACACAGCATTTGAGTCACCTCCGTTAAATCTTTCAATCATTTTACGACACCAATCCACACGATGGAGTTTTTGAGCCTCAGTCAAATTATGAGGTATCCACCGGGCGCAAAGCTTCCTGACCGCTAAATGTTCGTGGAGGATTTTGTGCACTTGACTCATACCGATGCCTAAGCTTGTCCGAATCTGTTGATAGGTCACTCTTTTGTCAGTCTCTATCATACGCCGCACAACACAGATGTTATCTTCAGTCGTCGCCGTAGAAGGCCGTCCCTCACGTAAATCATCAGTGAGATTAGTGCGACCACGTTTAAGCTCATTAAACTAGTTGTAAACAGTCGCACGAGATGGGGCTTCATCGTGAAAGGCCAATCGTAGTCTATCATAACTTTCTTGTTGACTTAAATGACATCGAAAATCATAAAAAATCATTGCACGAAAATTTTCTCGTGTTAAATTCATGATGACGTGACACAGACAATTTTCAATTTGCCGCCAAATCGTAAAACAAATGACAAATGAATGAAATATATACTCAGTAATATTGGCAAAGAGTTATATTTTCAAATTTTAGAATTATTTTTTTATTATATTGTTTATAAGTGGCCAGTTCTAAGAACTTTCAGTTTGACCCTCGTATTCAGCTCTTCCTTGTTTCGATTAATGTAGAGTAAACAGCATACACATCTATCTCTTCAGTTTATTTAAACTTCAATGTTTCGTCTGTAGAGTTTAAAGTTAACTACAGAAATTTGACATATTAAGGTAACCTGACGTGCAGCCGTGTGTACGTTATCTCTAGGTTCTAGGCGACGCAGTCTCGAAAGCGTTTATGATCGCAATCTTATTAAATTTGATAGCTAACTCAAAGCTAGTAATTTAACGAATATTGTAAATCTCTGCAGCTAAGTACATTGTTATTTATTAGACGCTAACAAATTAGCGATATCCGTTAATGTCTAAGCGATTAAGTTTGACAGCTTGGTCATTGAACTCTGCGATCGCTATTTAACGATCGCAAACTCTGTCGAGACTGCAACCCCGGTTGCATCATTCTATAAGATCTTCACATCGTTTTAGATTGAGATCCATTATCCATCAGTTTTTATCCATAGAGAACTTACAGTGGGGCATTAGTAGGCTAATTAATGAATAAATCACATTATTAATTAAATGAAGATTAGAGGTCATATTTCTATGTCCCATTATCTACTTCCGACGCCAATATGGCGAGACCAGTTATAAATAAAGCATTGTTGCATATACTCGTTCCCTATTCTGCAAGTTAAGTGGAATGTTATACTTGATCGTAAATTAATTTACTCGGTTTTATTTAGTTGCATTTCGAGTTCATTGACTCATTATATTGTGTTGAAGATGTAAAGTATGGCAACAAGAGTGAATAACCCAGTGACTTAATTTAAGGATGCATAAAGATAAAGAGAATCCATATTAGTATTTTTAATAAGACTTATAGAGAGATGTGGTATGTGACTCTTTTATATGAAACTCGAGTTTTAGTTAATTATAAAATCGCTCAATATCAAGAAAATTTACTAACTATTTATTTTTCATTTAAAGCTTAATAAGGGCACATTTTTATTACGTTCAATTTTATAAGTTCAGAGTTTGGCACAATTACTGCGACATAGTTCTACGATATTTTTTTATTTTCATTTTCAATAAGTCGAATTTTATTTTATTTTTAATAAAAACAAGATTATTCATAATTCTACCTTTCATTTAATACATTAATTAAATTTAAACTAAACATTGTTAGTTTAAGACCATCAGTATTATTCATCAATATTTTATTTATTTACTAAAAAAAACTATCGCGTTATATACCCGTTTCATAAAATCTAACTTAAAGTGTGCCTTAGAATTCAGAAAATGCACTCTTGTCTCCAATTATTATGATAAAAAATGTATTTTAATGCATATCTTTTATTTTGTTTATTATCCTAACAATTACATTAATCCTTGTAAGGTAAGCTACAAATTAACACACCATTCCAATTGCTTCGTCTTGATAAGAACATTGGTTCTAGATAAGGAGGCCATAGGAACTTTTTAATTAAAGAACACAATCCCTTGGTTTGGTTCATCTATACAAGATCTACAGGTCTGAAGGATAAGCACAAAAGCTTGTTATAACAAAATAACATTATTTGATATTTTGATGTCTCTACTTAGTTGCCAAGGAAATACAAACTGTCAGTGCCTTAAACACGCTATCATTGTGGCAGCGAGTCAATCATCAATTGTTATGTAGGCAGTTTTCTTGCAATCATATTTATATTATTATAATTATAAATATTTTGTAATGATATCGATGTGTCACACTAATGAGTCATGATGTCGTTAATACTTAAGTTCCTCCCACACGATAAAGTTAAAAAACAAAAAGGTGTATAGATCTATATGAGGTATCGTTATCGATTGTTATCTATACTGCTTGGACAGATATTTTTAGATATCTACTTATTGAATAAATATCAATACTGCTCGTAGATTTTTATTTAAATAAAATGTGCGACACATCACATTATGTTACTCATGGTTTGTTGCAGAAATATCCATTAAGGTTTAAAGACGACTTTAAGCTCTAATGAATGTTCTAAATTTACAATTTTGTTACCATTATATCGCTTTAAACTAATGAAAATTTGAATGGACGTTTGTACAACTTATTTCTTCGCGTATCAGCAGAAAAATAAATAGAATTAAAATAAATGAAAATGATGAATAAATGATATTAATGAAACACATTATAAAATGATACAAGGACCCTTCTTAAAAAAGTGCGTTTAGGTACTTACTATATGGTCAATAATTCAATATAATTCAACTCAACTCTTTAATGTTCTAACACCCTTTTAAAGCACAAACGCCCATTAATGTTTAAAGTCGACTTTTAGCTCTAATTAATGATCTTGAAAATTTGTATGGGTAATTTCGCCTTAAACTAATGAATTTTCATGGACGTTTGTGTAACTGGATATTTAAAAGTTTAAACAAAGTAAACGGTGTTCTTTGTACCAATTTTATAGATTTGCTAACTAATTGAAATGAAACAATTACCTATCTGCTGATTATCAATGATTTGTCAGTAGGTATCAGTGAATGATTTATCAGCGTTTCCGGAATTAATACAACAAAATAACTTGATTATATTTTATTTCATTTTGATATGGAAGAATGAAATGTCGTTTGTGGTTAGTCGTTACAAAACTTACTAATGAATGCCATGAATCATAAGGTATGCGAAACCAGTAAAACATAATTTCGTTTTAATTAGTACCTATAAGTAAGTCGATAATGTTTTTAAGTATGTAGAATATATCTAATACATAAAATTATCGTATCACAGTTTTAATTATCATACTCCTACGAAACATTTTATATGTATATTCAAAAGTCTGTGAATAGGGTATTATGTGTTCTTTATACATCCAAGTGATAATATTTTATTTCAGTCAAGGATTAGAAAATCCTATATCCTAGTAAACCCCTAGTAAAAAATATTTCCATAAGAACTTATAAGTCCAAGATGGAACGCTATTAATGGGTTAACTAGCGCGATTTTGCAACTTAATTTTATAAATCTTTACCTTGCCATAGACTACAGTTTAATTTTGTTGGAGCCTTGGAGAACTTTTTCAAAAACTACTGGGCAGATAGCATTGAAATTTGGTACATTATAATCTAAATTGATGAACCAAATTCAGTTACAAATTTGAATTTTAAATATAAAAATCTCATATAGGAGGTAAATTACGAAATTAATATTATATTGTCAACTCTAAGGCCTTATTATGAGAATCTCAAATTATTTTCTGTATAATATCAAGAATTTTGAAATTATTAAAGAATATATGAAAAAATATACCACTTCCCTCTGTCTGAAACTTCTGAACCTAACATTTTGAAAAAGTAGGGATTAGTTCTTTAGCTTTAGTCTTTATTTTGAGCTTTGAAAGAAATCAATTGCAGGCATATAATCTTATTAAGCATAACTCTTAAATTTATTGAAGGTCATGACGATATTCATATGAACTAATTTGTTACGTGGTAGACCTAAAAACAGGCTTTCGAAATAGTGTAATACCTTACCTTTCTATAAACCGCTGTGATGAGTACCAGCTTATCGAACAGGAATACTCTCATCAGCTGCCTCCGCCGGCGAGCGTTGTCCATTGCATAGAACTCGTTCTGACGAAGTAAACGCCCTTGATACAGCAGGTTCAGATTGAACTGCAACAAACACATCTGGTAAGATACTAGAAAATATATTATGTACCGAATTAAGAAAATATTTAAATCAAGCGTTTCAAAAATTTTAAAATACCACGTATTGTTCACAAGCCGTTATCTAAAACAGCAGAAATCATAGATTTTCATTTTCTCTCTCCCATAACTTAAAAACTAGAGATGGTATAAAAATAATAATATCAGTATGGTATTTTGATTAATAATGAACTGTTACCCAATCACCAGTTATACTACCCTGTTAAAAAACAGCCTAAAACTTAACGTTAAGCGCCGTACTTTCATATCATAGATCTACAATGAAACAAAAAAATCATTATCTTTTGAAGCAAATTATTGTTTGAAATACTGTTGTGCATGAACATATATAATTATGACATAAATATTAGTCGATATCACATACATAGCTCAAATCCCTAGATATGAAACTCTTGTATTATAGAAAATCTGAAATAACGGAGGAACCACAAACTAGGACCTCTTAAGCCGATACCTTAAATTTCGGTTTGCGCGAGAAATTCGAGCTAATTATTTATTTATAAGCATTAGACAATAATCCCGTCATTGATATTTAATATTAAATTAGAAATATTGGCCAGCAAGTCTGGTATGTAATTAGTAGTAGTTTAAACTTGTAATTACCTAAAACTTTATAGACATCGTATCTTAAATGAACGCCTACTCTCCTATCATTTAAACACCTATTTTCAATAAGTTCTTAAAATTTAGAAATATTGTAAAAATTTTACATAGTTTTAAGTAAAAATATATGTTAAAAAATTAATTGATAAATAAGCAATTGATTTAAGTCCAAATATTGTTTAGTCCTCTAAACGGATGAACTTATAAAATATTACTAATTAGGTCATTTACCACAATTCGCTACGAATTTATTTAAGAATTGTTCTCATTCTAGCTGTCAGGCTATCGATGGGATATTAATAAAAGGATTTAATTAACAATGTTTTGCTAAATCAATAAAAACAAGCCAAATAACATTGTTCAACAGATAATTCTATCTCGATCAATCAAATTATGTCCTTGACACTCGACGATGAAAGATAGTAATAGAATTGATTGATTCTGTCCATAATACGTTATTTCTCAAACTTACTCTAGTATATTGTTATTATAAAAATTAATAATAAAATTATCTTTCGTTGTTATTCTCTAATATTTTCAGGTATACGTGGAAAGAAATATCAGACAATTTCTATTTTCCTTAGCAGTATCAATATTACTATTATATATTAAATTAAATATTTATTTAAATGAACCTATAAGAGCTAACCTTAGAGTGACTGTTATTGTATTAAACCTTAATTATTGAATAAGGTAGCCATTTGATTTTGACATATATCACGTGTCCAGTAATGGTGTCCTTATCTTTATCCAGGAGTGATGATATAGTTATAATATATGCTGATGGTTATCCTAAAGCCGCAAAAATGCATCTGATGCAATTAACACCCACCCGTCCGCACTGGATCATATAATTCTACACATAGGAGAGCGGCACAATAGCCCGAGCAGTAATTATATTAGTTCCTTACATAATAATGATAATTTAAGTATATTACTCACCGGACAGTCTGATATATTTTCTAACGCCATAATTTCATCAACTGCAGTCAATATGCGTTCTACCACAGTCTTGGCCATCTTAAGACTTTCCAGGGGCGTTTCTTCATTGTCAGAATCTCCATTACTGCCACCTGTTTCATCACTGTCTACGCTTAGTTTAGATATTCTAGAATCTGTATCTGCCTTCTCGTTTTCGTAGCTTGTGTATGTCTTAACCAAATCTGCCAGGAACAATTTATACCTCGGAATCCTTTGTATAGGTTCCAATAAGTAACTTGATAGGTCTAATCTTTCTCCTAGTTCTAATTGTTTCTCCTAAAACAAAATTGGAATGCACATTTATAATATCATTGACAAATATAGTATTATATTGATAGCATTATAGATAATATAATTAATGTAACTTTTTAATCTCTTGATGGATGTTTGTTTAAGTATATAAAATATGATATAAGTAAAAAAATTGTGAATTTTTATATGGACACTAATCATGAAGCGTAGAAGAAAATGAATATTGCGGCATCCTCATACAAAACAGCTAGGAAGAAAAGCCAATGGTGGTAATAATAAATCAAGACAAATTTGAATGTCTTTTAAAATGCTGGAACTCAAATAGTAACACAATCCTTCTATTCCTTTAAATTTAAGAAAACTAAGTGAAGAAATTGTGTCATCTGAAATCTATTCAGCGCTATTAATAAACAAGGTATAGCGTCGGAATAAATTTACGCTAAAATTTCAATTTTAATATTAGTCCAAATGCATATTATTCAGAGAATAAGCAAACCTTACCTTCTAGGTATAAATATTACTCACGTAGAACCTCGTACTAGGTTAACCTTTGCTAAGTCTCTGTTTAACAATCCGAATTTTGACTGATACTAAGTGCATTCTCAGCGTAAATTTACTTAAACCTTGTTTATTAATAACACCAATTATGTTTACCATCATTCGGAACCATCATTACCAATGATGAAATTGGTATCAAAGAAAAGAGTTTATTGGATATATACGAGTACAATGAATTATTAGACAAATTGCGACGACTATTCTTTAAAGACTTCTAGTCTTTGCTTTTACGAAAATCGTTATTGCAATTCATTTGAACTTTGATATCAACTCGTTGAGGTTAATAACCTATTGGAGAAATTTAACAGCTTTGGATACCATTGATATAATCTGGCTGTTGACTTTGACTTGCTTTGCATGATCAAAACAAAATAATGTACCCTATCATTCGCGCTGTTAATGTATATATTGATGAAACAATTTTAAAATCGGTTCGTTTGTTTTGGCGAAAATAATAAAAAATAAAAGTTATCCTTTAAGTAGCATACCGATTGAAACGTATCAAATTAATACTATTTGAAACGTTTCAATCGGTATGCTACTTTCAGTATTTGATTATTATAATAGCTTCTAAGAATCTGACATAGATACAGTTTTACAACGAAGCGTTTGCTAGCCAATCACTAATTAAGTAGAATCTCGGTTAGGAAACATTATTAGCCAACTGACCATTACCTCGCTGTGATTACTAGCGTTTTGTGACACTATTAATATCAAATAAAACTTTATCGCCTTTCACCAATGTGTAATTCGGGTCAAATGATATGTGATCGCGGTTTAGGATAATTGGAGCAGAATTCTATTGGAGCAAGTAGACTGCGAAGACTCCAAAGGAAATGGTGCGGCAATATTAAATTACTTTCACCACTGATATTATTACTATTTCTTTTGTTATTTTATTTCTCATTGTGAGAATCTGATCAACAATAAATTATTTGTACTAAATATTACAATTATTATATATAACTGAATGGGCTTCAAAACTACAGGGGGGCAATTCTACTAAATAAATTTTGTTTAAAACGGATCGAAACCGAACGTAACTACAGTTTTTAATGGTTTTCCTATTCTACTTAATTACATACGATACAATTCCAACTAAAATAGAACTGGAATTGTATCGTATGTCACTTTGTAGAACAGGAAAACCATTAAAAACTGTAGTTTCGTTCGGTTTCGATCCGTTTTCGATTCGATTTAAACAAAATTTATTAAGTAGAATTGGCCCCCTGGACAGATTTTGAAAATTCTTCCACCTACGAGAAACTACATAATTCACGGGTGACATAGGCCATAAACGGCTATTGCATGATATATATAAGGAAAACTTTCAATATCAAATCTGGTTTAACTTGATATATTGTGATGTACTAATTTATTATATATTGGTGGAATTCAACCATTATATTCGATTCGAATCTTTGAAACGTTCTTATCTTTTAGTAATATTTTTAATTTATGTTTTAATTATAATTTCCAAATAATATATGGAAAAAGCATGGATAATGCACTTTTATTTGCCAACATATATTAATATATTTGATTGAAACAAAACAATGGTAGCTATTGATAAAATAACAGATAATCATCTCTACATTCATCCAACTGCTTATGTTTTTACAAAAGAAATGGCATTTTATTTTTATTTGATGTCAAACACTATTCTTATAAATATTTTAATTAAAACAAACTTATTTAAATTTAGATATAATAATGATTGCATTAAATCTTAACTCAATAGGTATGATATATAACATAATATAATTTTGACTGTCATCTACATGCATGTTTTAAGTGTGAGCCGCAAGTATGTATCAATAAATTAAATGGAAATATGTCTCGTAATAACGGAAGTTTGTTTTAAAAATCATAAGAACCTTGACGGCTTGCTAGTTTTAATGCTTAACGGTATTGGCAACGGTCAGCTGACTCGGCAGCACGTACCGGCACGCCACCAGACCGGCAAACTTATATAAATGAGGAAATAATGCACTGAACAACATACGTTGCAGTCATATACAACAAATGCATCTCTTCTTAAAACATCTAAATGAATATTTCTATTATGTTATATTATCTCTATATCCTAGTCATTGATATGAGCATAACCAAAGATAACTTATCAAATTTCTGTTGAAAAAATGATTTGTTAAATTAAGGAATGAAATTTTATAGTATTTGATTTATAATGAGATTTGATATATAATGAGATTTATGTTTTTAGTTGATTAATAAATTATTATTATTATAACTATTTTTATTGAGAATTGTTCACGTCTTTTCCATCAGAAACAGATCACAACTACGGACAACGGAACCACAACGCAAAATCATGTCGTCGCTGTTGATTCCAGTGTCATCGCATGTTTAAAAACATTCAAAGTAACTTAAAATACAGTATAATTAAAAAATACACAAATTTAAGCTTAGAAAACAGTAATTATAATATCTTTTCTCGTTTTTAACAAATAATACAACTGAAAGATGATCCTTTGAACTCTTTATGCTTAAAACAATTGTTCGGATAGCCCCGCTATTATCCTATAACAAGGATTTAAAGTTGTGATAATCTCATTTATAAATAAGAATAATTAATAAGAATAGGAGTAACGTATAATAAAAATGTTCAAAATTCTATAATAACAAAAAAACGGATATAAAATGAGAAATGACAAAAGACTTTGTTCTTTATAATATACTAGCTTTTGCCAGCGGCTTCGCCCGCGTGGACCCTAGGGAAATGTTTAGTGGGATAAAAAGTATCCTATATTCTAAATCAGCTAATACCCTATCTGTATACCAAATTTCATCAAATTCCGTTCAGTAATTTCCGCGTGATTGACGGACAAACATCCAAACATCTAAACATCCAAACAAAGAAACTTTCACATTTATAATATTAATAGGATGACTGTGACATATACAGACTCATTTCGCTCATAAGCAACGGCATAACTATATGTTGTCAGTAGCCTTTGTGCGTGCTTGTAAGGCAGTAATGCTTCGATCAATTTCTACTTCAAGCTATTTGGATACCGTATTGATATATTATATAACCACTTGTACGACCAACTAGCGAGTTACTCCTACTTTTTCCGGATTGATTAATTCATTCATCTTTAATGTATATGAAATAATGTACCTTTTGAATCCTTAAATAATTTTATAGATGCAGCAGTTAATAAATATAGGTATAATACTAATATACAAAATAACAATGTGTTTCCTTCACAAAGAGACATGATAACATTTGCGATTAGGAACTCCCCGGCTGACCAAACTCACAGGATGGACATTAAAAAATACCCTTTTTATTATTAAATGATAGCTAAAAATAAATTTCATATTTATTTACAGATAACAAAAAAAAACCTACACCATAACACACAGAAAAATGTAAAAAATTAAACTTAAAAACTCACCTGAAAGAACTGCTTATTTTCGTACACCAGTCTTGTGGCTTTTTTATTATTCCTAGAGTACATTACATACATGTTGAACCTTTGTTCCTGAAAAGAAACATTATGTTACAAGGTTTCTTTTGCATTTTACATCAGCAGAATATACAGGAAATTTTTGCTAATCACGTAATGTCGTCTAATAAAGCCTACTGTTTTTTTAACTGGAGTGCTAACAAGCCAACTAATACATCCAGTTCCAGCCCTACGCTGACTTATCAGTACCTAAAGACGGAAGAAAGTATTTTAAACCAATAACAGTTGGGTTTTAGTACCGAAGAGGTCGAAAACAGTAGATCGAATTAGACGACAGTCATTAATTTATTCCGAATACGACCTCCATAGCCGTGTGGTTCGTATGCCAGTTTCAAAGTGTCACCATCTCTTAGGTCCTGGGTTCGATTCCCGGTCGGGTCAATGTATAAATTGAACTTTTTTATTGTCTCGGATCTGGATGTTGTGGTTCCTTCGTTGTCTGAGATACTTCATAATACGGGGGCTTTAGCTACTCATCTCGGAATCTGAGCAATATATGTGATGTTGTTTATATTTATTTATTTAAAATATACAGTAGTTGTTCTAAATATTTTTCTCATCTGCAGTCCATTGATACAATTTAAATGCTCCTTGTAATAAAACTATGGTAAATTTAATAAATAAAACGGATGATTAATACCAAATTGAAGTAACAGTATAATATAAGGAAGTAGAATTTGAAGTTACACTTTAGCGTAGTTCTGATTAAATTTACAAATTGTATTACATTAAATTTCGCATCAGCAATATATCATGTAAGTAATTCATTAAAAAATACCTAAACATTAAACACGGCAATTGTCGCAAATAGCTATTCAACTACGAGATATTTTATTAGACTAGAAAGTCGCTAATAGTATAAGAAAACAGTTGCAATAACTATCGGATAGTTGACCGCAAGGCTACTAGTGATTTCGAATGCTCGCAATCAAGTGCACACATTTTAGTGAAAACCCAACACTTTCACGGAATCTAGTAAAATACACGACCTGGGCAACAACGTGGCGGCAAGCGCGACGCACAGAAGAATCGTGCATTACTAATAACACAGTTACAAACTCGACTGAACAAGGGCTGTGTACACTACTATTTATTGCGAGATATTCATATTAAAACATTAAGTAAGTATTCAAAAAGTCAATCGTTTGAAAAAATAAAACCATTTGTAAAACCGAGAAAAATATATGATGAAACTTGTATTGAAGTTTGGCGAAGTTTTATGTACCTATTCAAAATTTTATAGATTTACGATTCATGGACAAATCGGAAGGAACCTCCTCCTTATCGATTTTTAAAGTTTGTTGAAAACTATTATGGTATAATAATGACTAAAAAACAATTGGCTAAAGGTACTAAATAAACATGTTCTGTGTTCATAAAATTATCTACAACTGCACGAGCCATCGTATTTAATAAGCTCATCGATATTATAGAAAGAGCAGATTTTTTAGTGTTTAACAGTAACTTATTAAAAACCTGTGACATGAATTTTGTATTATTTAGTTGTTTCATTTTCTCATCTAGATAACAAATAACATTTCCTTTCTTTTATTGAATATTTTTTATTGAATAAGAATAAATAAAAGATTTATAAATGTCAACGTATCGAAAGACGTAGTATGTTATTGTTAAGATGTACATTGCGGTACTCAGTTTGCTCTCACTACACCACAAAGGGTCAGGAGTAAGAAAAAAAACAATTAAAAAGATTTAATTATCACCAGCTACTATTTTCTATTACGTAGCCCAAGCACAGCCCTAATTGAAACAAGCGAGATCCGTGAGTCCGATTCAGGTTTCCATCTATTCACAACCATGCATCGCAATGGGAAGAGTTGATTCTACAAAACTGGACAGCGTAGAATTATCCCCTCCAACGGGTCGTAACGTCATTTCTTTTTAATTTTTTTCTAGTGTTCATCATTACAAAAGTTTATATTATATCTTGCCAGTATTACACTTACGTTACTGTTTCGCTTGAAATTTATCTTTAACTTTGTTCATAGCTATTCGTTCCGAAAGATAAGATAATTTCTTGTGATATCGTGAGGTGAGGTGCGCGTTGCACACACGTAAATAGGTTCCGCGTCCGCTATCAATTACTTTTTATTCATACACACATGCTTTATTCATAGTGTAATTGTAATTATAATCTAGGCATTTTCTTATCTTGCTAATAAAAAAACATCGATTGAATTTATGCTATAATTAAAATGAATAATATTTATTTAACTTTACCGCACTGCCATTTTTATTTTTGACTAGGGATAATGCATTATGCACTAACTCTACTGCCCGTCTAGAGCCATATTACATGGTGTTATACATGTCTTTCGCTTCCCTAACGTAAATAACTCTTCATACACAACGATAGTTGGGTAAAATTTTTGGATATTTAAGTAGGTATAGTTGATTTTTTTTTTTTTTGACTACATACTTGTCTTTGACCAGACCCTTTTTTCAATATTCTATATCGCTGTTTCATCGTCGACCCTGCCTTAACCTACTTACCGAAAAAGTATAATAAGTATACCACAATGAAGTTTTACAATGTCTCGAAAATGTGCAGCTGATCGTGACATCGCCAAACGGTACTAGCGGAAAATCAGCGCTGGTCGCAAGATCAACATATGCTGAGCTTGAACCGGCTGTATATTTATATGTACTTGTCCCAAATAAATATTTTATAATATTACCTATACTATTAACTTGTGTTTGTTTTACGCGACGAATAACAAAGATTTTTCTAATCATCTATCGAACGTGACTTGATTTGTAACCTTATGGCAGATATAAAGTACTTGCATAATCCATATAGCCGTCTCATATAGATAGAACGTGTTTAAACGAAACCAAAATTTAAATCTTGTATTGTTCTAGAAGTCTATCAAAGATATTTACAAATTTCGTTGAGATGAAAATTTTATTAGTTAATATAAAGCGGTAACTTAAACTGATTTTTAACCCTAAGTGGAAAAAGAAAAATCTTGAATTACATTTATGTAGTTCTACTAGTCAGTCAAATAATTGAAAGGTGTTCTTGTTGATGTTCTAGCACTAGGGTTTTCAAACACAGTATGCCATTTTTGGACAGCATTATCTTGTAATCAGTATGTAAACAGTGTTTCGTCTTTTTACTTAAACTGTGACATTATATTAATGAATAGAACTTTATCTAACTAAAGGTAATATGTTTATATGTAAACTAATTGTGCCCATCGTCCGCGTGGAAAGTAGCCTAAGTTACTCCTTATTGCATAAGGTATGTGCCAGTAACTTTCACTGGCAAAATTGGTGGACACACAGACAAAAAATGTAAAAAATATATATATTTTGGTAAATATACCGTGTGTACATTCATATGCATTTGGTATAACACGGTTAATTTAATGTTATAAATAGACACTCCAACTTTATTTATTTGTATGTATAGATAAACTATTGAATATATGAAAGCGAGCAAATGTTTCACTTCATTTGACACAGAATGCAATCCCATCTAAGTAAACCTACAGTTTTTGAACCCTAAGACAAGTATTTGGAACAATTCATATAGGTAATCTTGCGATGACCTGACCTGTAGGAACATATGACTACAATTTAAACATGGTTTCGTTGTTTTTTTAGCACACTGACTTTCAAAATCAGTGAGTCTTGACAAGACCAGCCTAGTGTAGTCATACTTCGTTACTTACATAATTCCTAAAACACTGCCCCAACTTCCTGAGATCATTTTCGCACTCCCGCAGAGCTGGTAGGAACTCTTTAGAATGGAATGCGTAGATATCCTCCAGGTTACAGAAGATGATCCACTTCATCCCGCAGAGGGGCAACGGTAAGTCTTCTCGATGCATCTCCGGCATATAATTTTCTATGACGTGCCGTAACCTTTCGACGTAGACGTTCTCAGTGTGTACCAGCTCATTGACACGTTCGGTGAGTCGTCTGAGAAAAAAAATTAGTAACGGTTTAGTTGACTGACTAAAGATCACCTCAAGCTTCTAAGACTCAGAAGCTTGAGGTGATTTTCGCTAATGTAGAACAAAGCGTAGCTTAACTAGGAAACGCCTAATCTTACGAATCGCTTAAGCAAGTTTCTTTTTTCTTTTATCCCTTGACAAATTTTTGGCTTGTCACATTACGCAAATTCCTAACATGAGGAGCCTAACTTTGGACATTGCTTAATGTCATTAGATGATTCCTTGTCAATGCATTTTCATCTTATGCGTATTCTAAATATTTAGTTGATAGGTTTAGGCGCCTCCTAAGTTTAGTCAAAATGAGGATAAGGTGGCCATTATACAGGAAAAAAATATAATCAGTACACACTATCATAGTCACATTTTTCTTATATATTTAACCTAGGAACATTGGAGATAAAAAGAGAAATGTGTCAATATTCACGTTACAATGCTACTTAATATAATCACACTGCTGTATCCTGTCAAAAACTGAGTTTTGTTGATAAACCTGTAGGGACTTATCTACATCTACTGAAATGTAAATGTATATTTACTATTTAAATAAATTAAGCTTGGTTAAATAATATTCTTTTTTAGGTAGGTATTCTTAATTTAGGATCAAGAACATCACTTAGAGATAAATTTAAAGAAATTGGGATATTAACAGTAGCCTCCCAATTGATATACAAATGAAAAACAACAATTACATTAAACATAATCATGCACACAATTTTAATACTAGAAATAAAGATAAACTTGTTTTGCCGTCATGCAGACTAAAGACGGTTCTATCATCATTTATGGGTCAAGGTGTACACTACTATAACAAAATTCCTAAGGAAAATTTAAATTTACCATTACCTAAGTTTAAAACCCATATTAAGAATTAGTAAAGGATATTATTCTGTTAATGAATATATAAACGACAAAACTGCTTGGCGTTAAATATGGTTCATATTTCATGTATATTAAATTGTTCATCGGTGAGCTTCTTTGGCTACACATGTGATTCGATTGACGAAAATACTGTTTTACTCTTATATTGTGTAATATTGTAATGGAAAGTGACTTCATATTTTAATGCAGTCATTTTTCAATTACTTCCTTAAAAAGGTAGGAAATTTTAAATAAACCATTGCCTTAATTTAAAACCCATATATATTTAAACGACATAACAACTTGTTGTTAAATATGACTTTTTTATGTATATTAAATTATTTATCGGTGAGCTTGTTTGACTATACATGTAATTCGAATGACGAAAATACTGTTTTACTTTTACATTTTTTAATACTATACTAATTATATAACATCTAATTAATATAGTTAACACGAGTTTTAACAATTTAAAATATTTATTTTTTATTTCCACTTGAGGTCGCTGTAAAAAAAATATTCAAGCAAAATTACGTCCAAATCATACATTCCTAAGAATATTATTGTTTTTATACGAGTTAAATGTATATGATTACAGTAGGATAATGGGAACGTGTTCCACTTAGACCTAGAATGATAATAGCCATCGTTTAGCGTATGGCTGTCTAAAACTTACCATATTTGGGAGCTATAGTGCAGTAACGAATTAAAGTTCGTTAGGGCCTTAAACAAGCTGTTCCCAAAAACGTGAAAGAAATAGATTACTATGAAAATATGTATAAGCTGCGTTACAGACGTCACACTTTATTATCCCATGCTGCCAAATATTGAGGTTCACATCAATGCCTACTTTGTACCGCTATCTAATAAATATAATCTTATATTTGATATATTTTTGCATTCAATGCTATACTGATATTTAGTTAAAGATAATGAAAAACACTACACAACTTCTATTAATGGCATGGTAGAACTGTATCATTTTTAAAGTTTTCGCTGAACTTTGATTAATGTAAAATGTAGGGTAAGTGCACCAGATAAGTAATGTTTTGAAACTATTTTTAATAATGTGACTGAATAGGGATGATGATAATAGAAAAAAATTGTTATGTATTTTTTACTTCGAGAAGCGGCGGCTCACTACGTCACAGCTATGTGGAAAATGTATAAAGGTACGTCATGCGACATTCTAACAAAATGTATACCTGTAATTTATCGATTTTTCAAAAAATAAATAATGCATGTTTTATTTTTTTTTTAATAAATCTATGTTCTTAATGGACAGACAAAAAAATAGTCATCACCACTATTATTGCAACAACCATTTAGAAAAAAAAACATTATACTTCTTACTTACCATATAATGGTGCGGCTTATTCATAATTTCCTAATTGTATTTAGTTTTTTATGAAAAAATAACGTGGCAAGTCGCAATATGGTAAGGTAAACCAGGATGTCTACGGTTGTAGATGGTATATACATCGCTTTAAGTACGGCAGTTCTACCAACGTGATAAAAAACGTTATTATTTAGGTTTTAATATTGCAAATTGTGTACTACTGCTTTCTGGTGTGTTACTGGCGCACCTACTCTATATAAAATTGCCTTTGTGTACATTTATTGAGCAACATTTGTAATGCAACACATGCATGCCACTCAACATATTCAGCAAAGTTACAATTGGTTGAGCGACGCCTGCCTGTCGCATGAGCCTTGCTTGCTAATTTATTTATATTATTATTTGTGTGGGTACCAACCTATTTTGAATTACCCCGGAGACCTACGTGACCCACGAAGTAGCATTCGGAGTCTGGCAACGCTAGACGGAATAAGAGAGCGTATTCTTAAAATCAACATATTTGATATGTCTTACTTCACATTTAAAAAAATATATAAAATAGAACAAGATAAAATATAAAATAGCTGATAAACCATGATATATCAGCTATCGATTTAAGACCACGACCCCAGGTTCAATAAACTTATCTTTATTATCTGTACCTAAGATGTCTGCAGCATTCTGCGTTATATATATAATTTTGTATCATCAAATCTTTATTTATAATTAACTTTTAATCGGCGACTCCATATTGATTCAGACCCAGCATTTTGGAATAAGAATATCTAATATCCATACCTAAGTCTCAGGCTATTACCATATATGTTTTCATCATAGCTAGTTTAGCTATTAAATCCTTTAAAACGTAATAAAGAAACCGCGTTACTATTATTGTGAATTTTGCATTAAAAGTACTTACTTACATCTGGTTAAAGTATATGTAATAATAAAAATTAAAAAATCATGTCAGATCCAGCCTAGTTCCAGAGACTATTTTTTCTCAACTCCTTATAAGACTTCCTTTCGAATTTAGAATAAAAGATTGGACTATGGATTCCTGCTTAAAAGATTGGACTATGGATTCCTGCTTAATCTTACATTCTCATCTATAGCAGAGAGAAGTAATTACCTATTTGAGAAAATGTCATAAATTTAGAGCATATTTTGGCAAATAAACAAGAATTTGAAAGAAGTAAGAACTTGCAAAAGTTAGTCTTCATTAAAATCTCGTCTATTAGGTAAAAAAAATTGCGTAAATTATGACAATTCCTCAAATAATTACTTCTAATAATATTCCTCAAATAATAATTACTTTGGTAATTTGTAACAGAATAACCAATTGATGTTTGTTCGATAAAGTTTAGTTAACGAAATAAGTATTATTTAACTAAATACAATGAAAAGCTACACGTTTTTAGTATACTATAGACATAATTTCCAAAGTAAGAAAAGTCAATATCGACAACCTGTTCTCATAAACAAAAAAACTATTAATGCGTCAACGATCGTCACGGTGTAACCGGTATTCGGTCACCACTTTCCTTTGCCAATTGTCGTCACGTGGTCATCGCCCATTCATTACAAGCGTTTACGTAAACTCCAAAATTTATGTATTAAAACGCAAAGTAAGCAATTTGGATCTGTCTTACGAAAATTGTGCGAATATGAAAATTGGCACAGTTAAAGTTTGTGAGACGAAGATATACAGAAGACCTTTTTTGTTTCTCTTTCGATACATCGATTATCATAAATAATATGCGATTATTTATGATAATCGAGGTAGGACCTGAAACTAGAGGTAGTTACAAATATTTAAAAAAATATAAGAACGAATCGAAATTTCCCGAAATTTCGTTCGTGAACAAATAGAATATGGCCTATATGAGAATATGCCCTCAGGGCATATGTTTTTATTTCTTTTTTCGTTATAATAATACTTTAAGATATAAATAATGAGAAAAACAGTTAAGTTTATGAAATATCAAATAAAATAAAACCGTAATAACATTTAGAATTTATGATCGAATTTCGATCGCTGCGCGAACTAATATTGATGAATCCATCCGTTTTTATAATTATTAATTAACAGTTTTAATGACACCTATTATTATGCAGAAAGAATTTTGACATTTATATCACGAGCTGGTCCTACTGTAAAATACTTGTTTAGGGAAATATTAAAGTCGAGTTGTAATTTTAACAACAGGATTTCATCAGATCTCTAATTTATCATATCCCTGCAACATGTACATACACACAAAATTATGTAGGTAAAAAATAACTGCTGAAATTGTTTTTTAATGTTTCAAAAAGTATCAAGTCATATCCACATTTAGAGAACACTACTGGTGTGTGCGTGTGAATAATTACACCGAATGCTCTAGTGGAACATAAACAGAAATTTAGCCTTGGCATCGACGCCCGCGCTTCGCATTATCTCAGTAAAAATACTGTATGTATATATGTTATGACACAATAATACATATTAGTATCGATTAAATTAAGGTATTCGGTTTATTTACTGGATAATCTTTATCGGTAATTCATTCATGCGTTTAATTTGGTTTACTAACAGTAACAATAAAGTGCAATTGTTAAATGAGTACATTTCTATTTATTCATTATTGATTTAGTTATGACCACTTCGCTTCTCAGTTTCTTAGATTTTCAAGCTGAGTACAATATTTGCATTTGTTTTGCTTTTATTGAATTTCTGAGCTAATGTGGCTAATATTCGATCCATCTAAACCGTTCTCTTTGCTTGCGTTTTGTTGTGTTTTGATCTAATTCCTAGGTTCTTCTGCTTACCTATCCAAACTTTTTATGTCTATTTTATTCTTCTCTTATTATTTTAAGCCATTATTATTCTTATTTCGAAATTGTAACTTATTGTCACATGTCAAGAAACATTTTTAAGGTGAGTTTCGTCGTGTGTAGTTTCATCATGAAGACGAAATCTGTTTAAATTTTGCAATCGATTGCCAATAATGAATTTTGTCTAATAAAATGCAAAAAACCTTTTTTGTTGAAAATTGCTACGTTAAATGGTAGTCTAAGTTAAAGTAAGCCTTTATAAATTTTCAAAATTAATTTTCACTTTAAGTAATTTACTAGCATTTTTTTTATAAATACAGGAACTATTGATTTTTTTATTTATTTGGATACATTTACTTCATTAATTATGAGAAAGTTTTTAAATTTAACCTCTTTTTTGGAATAAACAATTCCAAGCTTATGAATGGATAAAAGTAGAAACAACAATTACTATTATTAAAGTACTTTATATTCAAGATACAATTATCACATCTTCTATACAGTAGATTCTTCAAGTTAGAAAATTCTTAAATGACACTAATATATCACATTCTTGTTTATACATCATAATCATGAATATCAACAAAAGAAGACTAATCCCTAAATTGATATATTTGTATAAATATCCAAACAAAAAATCGAGAATTTAAAACGATTATATTGTTTGTTCTTAAATAAATAATGTAGATGATAGAAAACGTTGAGAGATCTCCAATGTCAACGGCTTTGGTTCCCTAATGAGTATAGTCCAGTTTTTATAACAAATCTCTAGTGTACGTTGCGAACGATACAGCCCACACTACTCTTGGAAACTTGCCTGTTTACTGACACCTACAGAGTAATATATAGGCTTCTTATAACTACTTAAATCGAATATGCTGATCGATTACCCTTTTCAAAAAATGGGTATTTTAAGAGTTCACAACATCTAAATGTTATTATTTTAGCGCCAAATATATCTAAAGGAACGACAATAAAAAACAAAAACAAGTACATAAAAGTCTCTTCATCATCATCATCAGCCGGAAGACGTCTACTGCTGAACATAGGCCTAAAAAGTCTAAAAAGCAAAAATAATTAAAGTTTTATGTATTCCACTACGTTAATCACAGTTTTGCTATTAACTAATTCCTTGGCTGATAAAGAAATTACGTGATACAATAGAGTATTGTTGTGTATTGTTTATGCAAAAAAGTGAATTTGACCAAAAATGTAGAGTCAAAGAAACCTGTGTCAATGAAATATAATAATAGTGTTCGTACATTCTTGGTAGAAAACGCCATGTTTGTAAAAGGTGAAATTTAGATAGATCTAATTCATAATAAAATTATCCTATTATTTATAGGTATTCTACTTTTAAATTACTGTGAAATTCTCAACTGAATATTATATTGCATTGCATAGTCACATTTACATACCACGCCGGCATGAAACAACATTCTAAACATGTACAATATCACACATTCTGATTTTCTCCGTCTTTCAAGAACAAGACGTAACTCCTTTTCTAAAATATTTTAACCAGTCATGTAGCAACTACAATAACAATACTGAGTAATGTAAGGTTATGTTCAAATCAGGATTGAAAGTAAACGTAATTAATTACAAAATTTCTAATAACAGTTTTAACCGAACCAAATGTTGTTTACTGTTTTGTAAGATCAAATCGGAAAAACTAACTTGGCCGAAACTCTCTAAGTAATTATGGTTAGTGCTCCGTTGCGTTCACTAAAAAGCAAATCGCAATTATTCAAAACTGCTACATTAAAAAAAATAACTTCATTTATTTATTTGTCAACACGCTCCGAGATGAACGAACACTAATGAACTGCTTTAATGGAATGCGCGTATAAATGCTCTGTACTGTTGTGATGTTATGAAACACCTGTTCGTCAAACATGGCAGACAAATAACTGGATAACTATAAACCATATGAATAAACATCAAGGTGAAACTTGTGCGAAGTACAAACACGAACGTAACTATTGCTTTGTACAATATTGTCACGATTGCAAAAATAATTTTCGTGTGAAGTTAAATACGCCTTTTAAAAATCGACGCTAAAAAATTTGCGGTAGTAGCCGTATCTATACAGTACCACAATTGCACAGATTTGATTTGATATCTAATCCATTTTCTCCATTTAAACCTCATTGCGACATTATGAAACCGGTGTTCAAGCAACTCGCCTACGGAGGTTGATTTAAATTAGGATAAGCTAATATAACGAAAGAACCGCGATCATAGTTGTCCAAACAATGTAAAATGGAGATAATTGGGAAGCCTATTACCACCATAGTTGATAATGTGGTTGAATTGTGAAACTTAAAATATTCCAATGAATAGAAAAGGAACACGATTCATTACTATCGTTATCAGTACACTCAATGGTAAAGCGATAATAATGATATCGTGACTAGTTATTCTGATACAGCAAAAATTTTATGCGATAACTAGAAAAAATGAAAGCGCTCACCTTCGATATTTTTCCTTTTTAGACTCCACTGGTATTAACGTTGGCACCGCAGACCTTGAGACACACCACTCATTCACTGCACTAACAGTTAAGAACTCTGTATCAGGAGCGTGGCACACTTCTGAACCGAATTCGTCTGACGAAACCGTGATGCTATCATATTTCTGATACGGCACCATGTCAAAAGATGATATAGATTTAATACTAACATTGTCATAATTACTTTGGGCACCAGATTCACCAGATGCTACCGATAAGTCATCTCTCTCATCACTATTTTCTTCATTAATTAAAGTGTCCGTTGAATGATCCACTGAAAGCGTATCAGTTCTACCGTCATCATCGTTATTAATTATATATTCTTTACCTCGACTACTACTTCTCGAACTATTACTACTACTACTACTACTAGTAGTACCATTTGACCCAGCGCTAATACTTTTGATCTCATCTTCACAATCAGAAACTTCTGATCTTTTTAGTCTTAATAATTTTTCTAGATCACTTTGTCGTACACCATAAGACCAATGGGCTTCTCCCGAATTCAAATTGCTAGCGTTAGATTTCTTTCTAATTACCGGTGGTTTCCTAGTACGACGATTGCTTTTGGGAGATGTATTTGGTGTAGTAAAAGAGTACCGTCTTTCAACCTGACCGGTGTTTTGCAGCACAGGCGATTTACTTTCCGAAGAGGAGCAACTATCATTGAAAGGTTCAGGAGGAGGTGGCGCATGCCTGTGCGGTACGAGACTCTCTCGACCTGACTTTCTATCAGAAACAAAACCGGAAGAACTAGATTCAAAACTGTTCACAGAAACATTAGATAGCAATGAATTCACTGATACATTTGAGTTCCTATCTTGAGATCTTGTCACTGGGCACAGATGTTGGAAATGCGTCTGTAGTGGATTCACAACACTCGATAAACTTCCATGCAGTAAATCCTTCGATCTTTCTAAGGATTCACTGGACGAATGGTGATTATTCAACGAAGTTTGTTCAAAACGGAGGATCATGTCTCTAACGCTTCGCTTCTGTCTTCTGATAACAACATCTTCGTCATCGATATTATCGGAAGAAGAGATATGAATATCGTCATCAAGACGCGTATATATTTCTTCTTGAGTCATGATGAATTGCTGAAACTAGTACAAAACTCAAGCACTCTCCAGACGTTACAAAAGGGAACATGTCAAGGCGCACAACGAGTGCGCATAACTGACGCGCGCGCGCTGTGATTACTAAACACGACTGACAGAGAGCTCACGCGACGGCTACGAGGCCAAAGCCTACGCTTTATTACACGTTCGGAGACGAGAACGTAACGATTTCTTGGTATGACTTAAAAATACTCGAAGACATCGCTGACTCATATTCAATATTTAAATAAAAATAAATAAAAAAATTATTATGATATTTTTGGAGTATTATGTAAACTTATTTGCATCAAATAAAGGGAAAACGAACATAAAGTGACAATTAGTATTAATAATCAAAGAAAAAAAAACAAAATCAGTTATAGAAAAAAATATATTATATAAAAATATCTATATTTCTTAATAAAAAATTCTTAAAAAATTACTTTTATCCGAGGTACTGACATCTCAGAGTACCTACCTCGGTGCAAAGTGGATTTCTCATTGTGAATATTTTACAATATAGCATTGTGAATGCAAAAATTTATCAAATATAATGAATATATATTCTTTATTGTACTCAAAATGTCACATAAAACAAGTAATTAAATTTGTTACAAAGGTTGGCTATCTCTACAAGAGATCTCTTCCAGCCAAACAAGGGTTCGTGGGAGAATAAGATGTAAGCAGGTGATATAAGTGCATTTAAATGATATTACAAACAATTTTTAATAAATAACAAACAAATAATATAGTAACACAATAATTTATAAGAAACAATGAATGCAGTCTCGTGAAAACGAAGGTGTATATATGCTTTTATTTATTTTTGTGCATGTATTGAAATGTAATAATAAAAATATTTAGGACAATATTTGTGATTGTCGAACCAAATTCATATCTATTTGTCTTTTCAGGATATGCAATTGAATCTAACTGTATGTTCATTGTTCAATACCTATAATATTAATTTGAAATTCAATAAAATAAAATCCAGTTATTTGTTAATTATTTTAATAAGCAAATACTAATCGCAAGCCATTTTAAATCGATTAATATTTAAATAGTTTCACAAATTCTTCATGGTAATTAATAAACTTTTGCAACAATAGCAAAATTTTTACTTAATTATTCAATAGGCAATGAAATAATATACTTGTTACGCTATGTGTAAATGGAAGTAATTCACGATTCTTTATTTTGCCTTGAGTATTGAAACATTAAAACTAAATATAAGCATTTCAATAGAAATCTGCTTGACAATTATAGTTATTATCATATATTATTTATATTATTGCTTTTGAAAATCTTAAAAGGTATTTCGTCTACTATTTGGATACACGATATAAGTTATTTATACGCAATTGAAAAAATCGCAAGTAACTAATCCTTGGTTCCATTTACCTTTACCTTGAGTTAAAGATAGCTGTTGATCATTCATCGCCTTTTCGTTTCTATAGATATGCGATATAATATAAAATTATTTATCGCACTCAATTAAAAAACAGAGAAAGTGGAAAAAAGATAATATAATGGCATCTTATCGCTTTCTTTTCTTTTAGTAACCTTTAAATCTATATTAATGATAGATAGAAAATAAAAAACTAATTCATCATTTGCTTGCCTTGTCCCCATTTCTTTATTGTACTAGCTGTGTTGCCGTGACTTCGCCCGCTTAAATTATGTAATGTCAACCATATATGATTTAGCACCCAGTAAGTGAAAGAGTTTTCATGATCGGATCAGTATTTTCGAAATTCAAACTAAGTTAGAAAATTTACTTATTTATAAGTATATATTCATCTTCTGTACTTTTCGAGTAGCCGTCATTTTATTTGCTAATTTCTTATCTTTTCGTATTTCTTCTTCGCGATCATTCATGGTCATAACCCTTTTTTGTCACATACAAATCGTTCCGTCTCTTTACGTAATAATTACGTAATATATAAAAGTGATTAAAAAGACACCTATTATTAAAAAGTAGATATTTGTAACAATGTAGTGTAGTATGTGTTACGTAAATTGAATTAAATTCCTCCACGTTTCGCAGAACAGTAGAAGATTGGCATTGGCAATAAATTTGATGAAGTTAAAACGTGCTCAAACGGAAAATAAAGATACGTCAATTTTATAAACTTAACGATATTTTGTACTCAACATTAATCTATAGATCTATATATATATTAATTGTCAAAAAGAAACAGTATTTACCTTTAACTTACTCAAAATATATAGATTTTTTGTCATTAGACATTAAAATTTTTATCCAAGCGATATGATGAAATCGAGTCAAAATTATCCGAATACGAGCAGCATAGGAAGGAGGATCGCGCGGTGATTAAGAGTTTGGAGAAGCAATGCAATAACCTTCAGTCTAAAGTGGACAATCTTCAGAGTGAACTTGATTCTAGGGAACAATGGTCCAGTTGAAATTAAAGGCATCCCACAAACCAAAGATGAAAATCTCATGGACATAATATGTAATATGGGAACTAAAATTGGTTATTCTCTATTAAAAACGAATCTTGATTTCGTAACACGAGTGCAAACTAGAGGACCGAATCAACCCAAACCCATTATAGCGTGTTTTACTCATAAGTACATTAAAGAAGATTTCATGGCCGCAGCGCGGTCTGCCTCAAAATCATCACCACTTGTACCATCAGTCCTGGGGTATCAGGGCAACCATAGAATTTATATTAACGATCACCTTACTAACTCCAACAAAATTCTATTGTCAGCGACTAAGAAAATTGCCAAGGAACGGGGGTTTCAATTTGTTTGGATCAAGAATTGCAAGATCCATGTCCGCAAGAATACTACCTCTCCGATATTATTCATCCAAACAGAAAAGGATTTATCAAAAATTATGTAACTTATTTATTGGATTATGTGTTATACTACCTAGTATTTAAAAGTGTTTTATTTTTGTTTACTCTTAACTATTTCACGCTCTTTTGCACTGTTTTGAAACTGGTTCTATTATTGTACCTTAAATGCACTACCACGAGTTTGAGTATACTCACTAAACTGACTCATGTCGTTATAATTTACCTTTGTGAGTGCCACAATTTTGTTAAGGAATCTGAATCACGACACAATACACCAATTGATTTAAACAAATTGTTGCTATATCTCGACGTTTTCTGGCTTTCTTGTTGTATTCATCTGGTTTTGTCTGTTAACCGTAATAAACCTAAAACTACACTAAGTTTATCGCTTTATAATTTAAATCCAATGGTTTTATCTAACTGTACTTATTACAAAAATGGCTTCCCTTAACATGTATTACCAGAACGTGCGTGGGTTACGCACAAAAACTGATACCTTATACAGAATGGTCAACCTCAACGATTATGACGTCATTTCACTATCAGAAACATGGTTGGTAGACAGTATTTCTGACTCTGAACTTTTTGATGAGCGTTACTTGGTCTGGCGACGTGATCGTGAGTACTCCCGTACTAAACAGAGTTTAGGTGGAGGGGTCATGTTTGCTGTTAAGCGGGATCTTGCTGTCATTCATAGAAGTGATTGGTCTAGTACGGCGGAGGACATATGGATAACAATATCAGTACATAATAAAAAACCGCCAATATCCTACAATATCCACGTTTGTACCGTATATCTCATCAATGAAGGAGGCGGCAACAGTTACAAAATTCAATTAGAAGCTTTTCTGAATAAATTATCAGAACTGGTTCTACAACATCCAATTGATAAATTCATTGTTTTGGGAGACTTCAATTTGCGTGACTATATTAACTGGACGACACAGGAGAACGGTGAACTTACACCTGAAATGGTTACCAGCAAAGACTTTGTGGTAAACTTCATAGATACGCTCAACGTATGTAATCTTAGCCAATATAACAACATAAGCAATTATTTCCATCGAACTCTTGATTTAGTACTCTCAAATGACACTGTCATTGTTCACGAGTGTGACTCTCCTCTTCTTAAGGAAGACCTGCACCACAAAGCTATTTCTATTAGTGCTGACTTTGTTGAAATTCACACATTACCACAAGAACGCCGAATATCATACAAATTTAATTCGGCTGATTATGCAATAATATCATCTGAACTCTCCAACACGGACTGGAACGGCTGTTTGAATGGAGTACCACTAGATAACGCAATTACTAATTTCTATAATCGATTTTATGAACTTCGTGATAAACACGTTCCTAAAAAAACCATTACTTCTAAATCTTACCCACCATGGTACAATAGTGCTTTGATTAAAATTTTAAGAGAGAAAGATAAATGCCATCGGAAGTATCGCACTTACGGTAATCTATCAGACTACAACTCTTTCTCATTACTGCGCCGCCGTGCCATTCATATTGAAAAGGAATGCTTTGATCATTATATATCAACAATTGAACAATTTATCACTGAGGATCCCAAGATTTTCTGGACTTACGTAAAAAACAAGAAAAAATCAGGCGCATACCCGAATCGTATGTATTACAACGAGGAAGTGGCTAGCACTGGTCAGAGTATTTGTAATTTATTTGGTTCATTCTTTCTATCGACATTTAATGACTCTGTTGCCACAAAATCAGACAATTTAACGCCTGAATTCTCGAAATATACTGGTGTTAACATCGCCTCTTGCACGGTGGAACCCAAAATACTCCTAAAGCTATTGAAGGCATTAGATCTGACGAAATCGAGTGGCCCTGACCTCATACCACCAATTTTTATAACACGCTGTGCTGAAAGTCTTTTGGGACCATTGTGTATTTTGTTTAGGCGTTCAATGAATGAGGGCCACGTTCCTGCAATTTGGAAATCAGCATTTATTACGCCGATTTTTAAGCAAGGAGACAAGGCATGCGTAGAAAACTATAGACCTATCTCCAAGCTTTGTCTCTTTGCTAAGGTTTTGGAGCGACTGATCTACGATCAAGTCTATGGTGCACTCAAATGTTCTTTCAGTGAGGAGCAGCATGGTTTTCTGAAGGGTCGATCAACAGTATCGAATCTGGCACTCGCGAATAACTTTATTACCGCCGGTATGGATGATCGAGCTCAGGTAGATGTCATCTACACTGACTACAGAAAGTGTTTTGATAGAATCGATCATACCGTGCTTTTACACAAATTGTCAATGGCGGGGATTCATGGTGACTTATTCCGATGGTTCTCCTCGTATATAGAAAACCGCAGTCAAGCTGTGGTGTTAAACGGTTATACATCAAATTGGACCTATATACCATCTGGGGTACCACAGGGTTCTCTACTCGGACCCTTACTGTTTGCGATATTTGTGAATGACATTGCTGAGTGTTTTCTCAACTCCAAAATAATTTTATTCGCGGATGATATGAAAATATTAAAGATTATACGCAACGACTTGGATGCTAGAGATCTTCAGGCTGATTTATGTAGATTCGAAGGTTACTGCATAAAAAACAAACTAGATCTCAATGTTGCGAAATGTTTCTATATGTCCTTCACCCGCTGTTATAACATTATAAATTTCACATATACATTAAAAAATCATAAATTGTCAAAAGTTTACGAAATTAAAGATCTTGGCGTAATACATGACTCGAAATTATTATTTGACAAACATATAGACTATATAGTTAAAAAAGCTTCTCGAGCGCTGGGGTTTATTATTCGTAGTTCCGCTAACTTCCGAAACATTAAAACGCTTAAAATCTTATACTCCACTTATGTACGAAGCCACCTTGAATATGCATCTCAAATTTGGAATCCTCAATATCAAACCTATATAACTCGGATTGAGGGTATTCAGAAAAGATTTCTTAGGTTCCTAGATTTTAAATCTCAACAGTATTCTATTGACTACAACCATAGATGCAAAAAGTATCATTTTCTACCGTTGGAGACAAGAAGAATGATTAGTGATGTCTGTTACCTGTCTAATGTCGCTTGCGGAAGGGTTGACTGTTCTGAATTACTATCTCTATTAAACTTTAAAACTAACTAGCTTCGATTAAGACAAAGACCACTTCTATGTCCTTTGACAGCCAGAACACGTTACAAAACGAATACTTTCGTGATACGAGCATGCCATACATTTAATAGACTACCTTATAATGTTGACCTGTTTTGTTCTAGCACCACATATGTTAAAAAAATTTTGAGTCTCAGTTTCTTTGATAATAACAACGATTAATAGATGTGTCGTTTTTATTGTAGAAATGTTAAATATTTACATTTTCTTTTTTAAGTTGTTCTCTAGGTTTTTTACTTCTAATTTATAACCTATTTGTGGAGATTTGTAATTAGCATCGGAATAATTTACTTTGTGACATAATGTCGATATTTGTCTGTAAATCTTCCTAAAAATAAATAAATAAAAACTAGCTAGTCAAGAACCTATTTGACAAATCTATATTAATTTTATATAGAGGGAATAAACGGGAAACTGCTTACTTACATCATACGCGGATGATATAGGCTATAATTTACCCGGGTGAAGTCGCGGTAAACCAGGTAGTTATTATAAAACAGCTAGGTTTTAAAGAAATATATAACAACTGGCTAATACTTAAAGTATCAGAGAATTATATTTTTATTGGAGAATTAATTCTCAAATTAATTCAGTGTTTTTCAGTTTATATATTACAAACTACAAAACACTTGTTCCGTTTATAACAAGAAACTAATTTAAATAAAACAACGTAACTCAAATAATAATAAAAAATGAAGATTTATTTAACACCAAAATTATAAAATTATTCAATCAACTTCTAATTTCCTAAATGAGCCTTCAACGCCGAAAAGGTCTGATGTGGTCTTCGGTTTGCCTGGTCTCTTGGATTCATCGGATTTTGCTTTTTCTTCGTTCAAAAACCAGTCACGGTAGCTTTCTACCTTGGTTTTCCAATAATCTAGAAATTAAAATTTATATGAATGGCTTGATAAAACATTTTCACCACAATACAGAACTAATGAAGAAGATAGTGAAGGAATCGTTGTGTAAATCTAATCAAAGAAATACCTACTATTATAATGTCAAGATTTTTTAAAATATAAATAAAGATATTCTTAATGAAAACTGCTTAAAAAATCCAACAATTTCAAGCACTTGTGACTTTTGCGTTACTTTCAGCTGTTTGAGTAGTTTGCTTGAACATTGATGAAAATACGTTATGTATTAGCGAAAAAGTAACAAGTGCTTGAAATGTTCGTCAGCCCTGTTAGGTCCTGGGTAGCTCAGTGGTTAGAGCCATCATCACCATTGCGAAAGGTTAAAGTTCGAGACCCATCTCAGAGTGTCAGGGACAAAGTAATAATTTTTCATGGAGAATATTTTTCAGTATAACATTGTGAATGCAAAATTGATCAATTATAATAATTATAAATAAAAATGTCTGTATGTATATCTTATTAAAAGAATTAATCTTTCTTTTCAAAAAACTAAAATTGTTTAAATTTTTGGAAAAAGCAGTCTTTTTTTACTTGTAACATAGTCGTTTACTTCGAAAACATCGTAAAAATCAGTTCATGTAAGCCAAGAAGTTAAGACTGAATTATGTTTTGGAGTCGATTAGTTGGCATGAATGAAAAAGGTGTGACTTTAACGCGATCCCTAAATTTAGACATGTTCTAAAAGTTACTCAAAAATTCCAATCAGTATTCAAATTAATAACTTATAGTTGCAACTCAATAAAAACTATGTTAAACTTAACGATGGTACATAGATACAGACAAGAATCTGCACTAAGAAATTGAGTATAATATTTTTCCTAAAAAAATAGGTCATCTTAATGTTATGATTTTTATTTTATTTTTTCATTAAGAAAAAAAACTTTATTCCTTTTGCTGTAATTAAAAAAAAAAAATCTGAAACTCATCGTCGAGCTCAGCGCTATATCAGGATAGAGGTTCAATGAAATAAGACCTTTGAAGTAGACCCTTGAAGAGGTATTTTTTTGATTGAAATTCTATGCTCGGAGCGCTGCATACGATGTCTGCGCTGATATATAATAGCTAATATATTGCTTAAGTTTTCCAGCACCAATATGAATGAATATATTTGTATATTATTATAAAACTTTAATCAATGCAGTTGTCTATACTTCTTACTTGCCAACTCCTCTACAGAGCCGTCTTCACCTCCGTATTCGATCGGCAGTATTGACTTAGGGATACGCTTGTACAACTCTTCGTAGTTCTGATTGTGGACCTGGATCTATAACAGAAAAGCTAATTCTTCCCGCTGTTGGAATAAAGTTCCTATGGATAGAATCGAATGATACGATCCCATTGCAGATTGCTCAATCGGGACTAGCTGAATATTCCTAAGAATGGTAGTTTGACTGTAACATAGCAGTTCTACAGAGATTTCTCTAGAAATTGTAGCAGCTAGGTATGCAGTTTCAGTACCCGGCATAAAAGTAAACCTTAAGCAGAAACTAAAAATATTAAAAAAGTAAAATAAAACATCAACAATTCTTAATAAAGTAAAAACTTAAACTTGCTTACAAGACAATTTACATATTAAGGAAACTTGTTTAAAAGTCGGGCGATTGATAATTACACTACACAAACTTACGCATTTAGATTTAGTTTCGTGTAGGATAGTGTACATTAATAACTTTAGAAATGATACTTATTTATGCTAAACACGCATTAATACAAGGGCAAGAAGAAACGAATTTTAAAATTATTTGTATAGGTACATATGAACTTCCGTCAAATGAGGCACAATTACATGACACGTAAAGCAAATTCTTCAAGGCGTAAAGCTTGAACAACGATGCTGTTCTAGTATAAAAGCTTAGAAGTCGACGTCGAACGCACCGTTTTCACTAGATATCGCTCACTGATAGTACAGTGGCACAACTCAAAAACCATGATTTCGAGAAACGCTCTCCGAAGTTATAAAAATCTAATATATTATAATTATGAAAATCATTTTTTTTAGTATAACAGTTAAATCGTTTGTATTATATTATTACTGTTTTTTTTTATTTTTTTATTATCTATGGGATGCCACCAAAATAATATGGCGTTTACTCGAAATAATGGTTTTTGAGTTGTGCCACTGTACTATTCAGGGAGCGATATAATCATAATTTTTTAAATATTTTGACATGACACTGCCATGACAGTGCTAAGCTAGACATCAAGTTTGACATCCTAACTCTTTGCCTATCCCAATTCATAGGAAACTACATCTTAGCCGTTATGATGATATTTAATTTCATTTTTTTTATATGTCTTTTGATGAATAAATTTGGGATAAATGAATAAGTTGGAATCACTGCTGTCAAATCCACATTTATTATTCTTTATGGTTCGTTCTTCGATATTAAATTACATGTAAAAGTACTAAATTGAAACCAAATAGCACTATAACATCGCTAAGATATCCTATAATTAGAGTTATAGCTAGAGTTGGGTGGTCTTCTACCAGCCTTTTTTTAAGCGCGATTTCTTGGAAGCATTTACTAAATAATATAATAACAATTTTACCTTATTACATTGAGACTTACCCTATTCTTTAATTTTTCACCTAAGAATGTCTTGAGGATCGTAAAAGCAGCCTCGAAACCCATCGGTGTGTTTAGTATGTGGTTACTCTTCACTCTAACGGGTAGAGATTTCTCGAAACACGAGATCGCTTTCTTCGCCATTGCTGGAGTCCATTGGCTCAACACGGCGACTCCTACGTTTTTCATGTCTACTATGACTTCCTGTAGAAATGTTTGATGTTGTTTTAGATTTATCATGTCTTGATATTTTCACAATGAAAAAAGTATGGTAAACCTTAGAATTGTACGGTATCCATTTTCTCTGAAGGATAGTTTCGACAAAAAATTTCTTTATAAATATCATCAAGTTATCTATAAATTCAAAGAAACATCACATGAAATTTAATATTTCTTTTTTAATTGTAGTCGGTATCATATTGGATACTTTTTAAACAATTATTAATTATCAAAATACTAGGTCTGTGAAAGATAACTAACAATAAAATATATAATGTATGTAAAATGATATAATGTATGTCATTAACGACGAATAAATATATACCATGGAACCTCAGTGTACAAATTTTCATCTATGATAGAACCGTGGCTCTTTCTTTACATTACTGAATCGATACTAATATCATAGAGACTTAGTTTTTAACTTTACTCATCCAATTATGAAAATTCTTTCACCTACAGGAAGCTTCATCATAGGCCCAATAATGGCTATTACACGGTGCGAAGTTGCGGGAAATCGATAAGTTAATCAAATTCGTCTGTCTAATAATTCGAGGTCAAAATAATGTGATATGGTTGTATACTTTTATAGTCTATGAGTGTATAATAAATATTCACCTCGCCGGATACAGTGAAATTGTCGTCTTCCAACATAAGGATTTCAGTCACCATTAGTGACACTTTCAATATGTCAGACAGGTGATACTGCGATGGGTTTAACAATCCAATCCTGACTATACTTGTTCTTGGGTCAACTTCGCTTGTACATTTCTTTAAAGGCAAAAATGTTCTGAAATCAATCAATGTTATATCATTCAATCAACGCATTGTGGTTGAGCACCAGAAAATGGTAAAAACAGAAATCTGATAAACTAAAACGACATTACCAATACAAATTTTCAAATTTAGAATATTCATTAGTGCTTAAAGTGGTCATTAAACTTTAATGACGTTTGTGCAATTGAGCGAAAATCCCTTAAGTGTCTAATTAAAACACGGAAGATGTTAAAATTTTGATATTAATGCTTTACTAAATTTAATAAAATATTAAAGCAATTTGGTCCAGTGAAATTATAAAAACTTTGCTATGGTATCTCAAATATTTATCTTGTTAGACTTTCATATAGCAAGTTAACTAATAATTATAAAAGGAAAAAACTAGTCAAATAAGTAGGCAGGCAGGGGATAATAATTCTGAATTTTATTTCATACAATAACCTTATCTCATTTTTAAGTAAATAAGCGCACGTTTTATTTCTAACAAATATCGAAAAAAGAATCTTCGATTCCCTTAACATGTATGTTGCCGCCGACGACGACAATAATATCATTTTATAGTTTTTGTATACTTTTAATATTGTCTTTTGTATTTTGTTTTATTATTTCATTATTTACAAAAAAATATCGTAACCCACAGCTTTTAATTTTGGAATTAATAGTGAGATTAGATCAAACCTTTTGATTTGTTAAGAGAAAGGTTATTTAAAAATTTTCAGTAATCTAATATCCCCTTATAACAGATTTCCGAAATTCCTCTCGTATATTTATTTTTTCATATCGTGCGACATATTTTTATTCACTTATTCGTTATATATTACAGTTAAACGACTACAATCTCGTTATAAGTTCAACATACTTTTATTTAATTGTGAAGATACTTACCCTAATTTAAGTATTTCTTGGACTTTTGGGTCTAGTGGATCTCTGTTTGAAAAAAATTCAGGGACTAGAGATCTTAAAGTATAATACATATCTATTTTCTCTTTACTCCGTTCAAGGCTAAATTTACTACCTCTTAAAAATGCTATTAACCATTGATCAGCTGAAAAAAAAAGAAAAATTAAATCTAAAAATCTTCAAAAAGTTCCATTTCCAACTTCCGAATGAAGCAGATGCAAGGAAAGCCAAATAAAGCTTAATTAGAATTTTCGAGTTTGTTTTAATACCATGTTTAGCGCCATCTATTAACATAGCACAATATTACGATGTGACTGCCAGTGTTCAGTAGTTTCCTGCTTTTCGTCGGGCTGATTTTCATTCGCTTTAGTATAGTTCAGGAAAATGCCAGTAGATGTCATCTTTTTAAAAAGCTAAACATTATAATTATACGGAATTTTCTGTTAGTATTTTACTAATGGTCACCTAGTACCAAAAATTTCAAATTCTCCTTCTTTAAATAAACTTTGTCTTTGTCTTTTGAACTCCTCTATCTGTGTTATTTTCGTTAAAAGGAATACAAATTCATATTTATCATTTTATTGCCTTTGATTTATTTAAGTTTCATTTAAACTACTTTTTTATACTACTGCTCAAGAAAGGAGTGGATTGTGTTTAGGGTTAATTTATTTTATGTTATAGTGTAAACACGAAAGCAAAGCGGTAAAATTATTCTTCTTACGTATCTAATTTCATATAAGATTAAAAATAAAAAAACATTATATTTCAATGATGCTTACTAGGTTGGACTGACTGTAAGTGGGGTTGCTTGGCAAGCCAGTCCCTAAGTCCCTGGATATCAGAAGGAACTCTTCTGGGATCTTCGTTTATCTCCTTCGCAGCTTTTTCGAGGAGAACTGCAGGCAACGACCTTATTGCCATTTTGGCGCTGATTTTTCAATTCGCTGAGACCTGAAATGATGTGGACGAGGACATAAATTAATAAAAAATTAACCTGACAAAAAAAAAGCTTTTAAAAGTATATAATGTAGTCACATCAACATCTTGTAAAAAAATATAGCTAATTTATCGAAACGTACTATTTATACTTATGTACTATCCGACTATAAATAGGTCTGAGATAATATGTAGGATATTATAACTAATATAGAGGATATTATCACGCGTCTCAAGTTTGTAACTCATTTGATAACATAATTACATCTTGATTTTGACGTAATTTCAAATCAAACTCATTTATTATTCAATCAAGGCTGTTACAAAGCACTTGTGAGATTATTTACAGTAAAGCAGGTCATACTGTGAAAGATAACTGTTAACTTCGTCAAAGTTATTTTTACATCGATCAACATTAAATATTAAATAGAAAGGGATGATCCCTGAATATATCAACAGTTTGATATCTGATATATAAACCATTGATAGCTCTTATTACAATGAGTCTAAAGCAAAGGTTGATTTTTCATCTCTGAGACAGATACTGACAATAATAATCCCATCAAAAACATAGCATATATAGGTACATACATTCACAAATTTGCCTACATTTCTGTAGAAACAGTTATCCAACGACAAAGTTTTCCCATAAGTTATTTTTCAATCTCTTTCGTAACTTTTTACTTTTAACAGACTTGTGTATGGTGTACATATTATGGTTCTGATGGGGTATTTTTTTCTGCAAGTTGTTTGTCAGAGTAATCAGAGTCGTTACAGGGTAATCTGCACTGTGATGACTTATGCTGAGGCAGAATCCTAATTGTCTGGCCATATGGCCATTTATTATTATTAACGGGTCTGAAATTTCAAGTATCAAAGGTTTTATTTCTGTGTGCTCAACATATTAAATTATAACTTTGTTCAAAATTTGAAGCTTGAAAACTCGCTAGTATCTTAGAATTTTGATGATTGGTGAAACAATTAGTTACGAGAGATTTGTGAACAAAATTAAGTAACTTTGATTTGCGATAATTTTATAATTAATTCTGTAATGGTCTCTTGCTTTCTGAAAATTATAGTTTCTTGTTTTTTCGTAATGGGGGTTGAAAACGGTTTGAATGGTTTCGAGATAAGGATGGTGCGACCGAGCAAAAGAGCAAAGATCTTTTGTTCGTCTTGGTCAGGGACCGTGCCCCTTAGATACCCTTCAGCAGTGTTTATAATACAGTTTAAAAGAATGTGAATATGGATGTCTTTATCACGATTTATCGACTTGTCTATAATATTTATCTAGTAACACTGGAAATTCCCTTCATCGACCTAAAATTACAGTCAACGGCTCTTCGGGTTATATTAAACTGTCAATTTTCTCTACTTGATTTTAAACTTCATTTTTATGGATTTAGAGATAACTCATTGGATTTTATTATCTCATACTTGACTGACAGTGATCTGATCAATGGCAAAAGATCCCCTGGATCGAAAGTTAAGATGGGTGTTCCGCAGGGTCAATACTTGGTCCTTTCTTGTTTTTTATTTACATAAATGACTTGCCTTATTTCGTAAAGGATGATCACGAAATAGTTTTGTTTGCGGATAACACTTCACTTATATTTAAAATTAAAAGAGGGTTTTCTCTAAATGACGATGTGAACAATTCTATCGCTAAAGTAGTACATTGGTTTAATGTAAATAATCTTCTCCTTAATGAAGGAAAAACAAAAGCGACATTACCAATAAAAAAATTCAAATTTAGGATATTCATTAGTGGTTAAAGTCGTCATTAAACTTTAATGGCGTTTGTACAACTGAGCGAAAATCCCATAAATATCTAATTAAATCACGGAAGACGTTAAAATTTTGATATTAATGCTTTACTTAAATTGATAAAATATCAAAGCAATGAATATCAAATAAATGACGATGTGAACAATTCTATCGCTAAAGTAGTACATTGGTTTAATGTGAATAATCTTCTCCTTAATGAAGGAAAAACAAAATGCTTAAAATTTGTACTACCTAATGTTAAAAAAGTAGATATAAATGTTAATATAAAAGATAAGAACATGGGCCTTGTGGATACCACAGTATTTTTAGGAATAACAGTAGATTGTAAACTACAGTGGGGCTCACATATTGATAAATTGTCGAGTAGACTTAGCTATGCAGCATATGCCGTAATGAAAATGCGTAGGTTAACTGACATAGATACTGCAAGATTAGTATACTTCAGTTACTTTCATAGTATAATGTCGTACGAAATCCTATTGTGGAGAAATGCTGCCGACATACAAACAATTTTTGTGTTTCAGAAAAGAGCAATTTAATCAATTTATAATCTTAGGATTAGGGACTCTTTAAGGGAAAAATTTAAGGAAATAGACATTATGACTGTTGCTTCTCAATACATATACGAGAACTTAATGTACGTTCGTAAAAATATTAGTTTGTTTTCTATAAAAAGTGATGTACACAATTTTAATACAAGAAATAAAAATAAATTAACGGTGCCTGTCACTAAACTGCAAAAAGTTAATAACTCATTCAAGGGTCTTTGTAAGCGCTTCTACAATAAGGTCCGAAGCAAAATACAACAATTAGATATCATGCAGTTTAAATCTACTATTAAAAAATACTTATTAAAAAAGCCAATTATAAGGTATCCGATTATATAACAGATAAGAACGCTTGGACTTGAGATGATCCAGCAACTGGATTGGTGATTACTTGTAAACTTTTTATAGTATCAAAATTTATCTAGTTTCCATTATTATTAAATGATTATGTTATTATTATAAGACCATAGTCTTTTTTTTCTCTTTCTCTATTTATAATGTATTGATCTGGTAATAACATGGTTTTTGTAAATGTCATTACTCCTATTAGAGCTGATGAGTTTAGACAAAAGACGTCCTGAACGAGTGGTAGGGAAAAGAAATATTGGACGATTCAAAAGTACCTTTAAGAAGTCTATTTAAATAAAGATTATTTTGACTTTGACTTAAACCTGGAAATATCGAGGGTAGAGTTCAAAATCAATAAGGATGATTACTATTTTTTTTTCGTTCGTCCATCAGATAGATTATTGAAGAATATTAAACCGTACTTTTTTATGTAATTAACAAATTACGGAGTCCCCACACCTCAACTTTAATGCTTATCAACTAATCCATTTCTTGTTGATATGAAGCCAAAAAAATAGTATCTTATATTTTTCTACCGTGTGAATGGAGGACTAAATAGAATCTCATTTTTTCCACACTCGTTATCCGTAATCATATACATCCTGATATTTTAAAGCTTTTATTGAAGTTTCTATATTCATTAGTTACTGTAGGTCAATTCTTCCTAACTTTGACTTTAGAATGAACTCTTTCGCTTGCTAATATAACTTGGATGACAATTCAAAATTTATATGGAATAAGCTCTTTTTAATTAAACGAAGTAATACCATCGAGTTTAAACCCGTTTGATTTATCTACAAAACGATTCGTTACTAAAGTTAACTAACATATCGAAAATTATGAATATTGTTATGTCGTATCTATAATCAGTAGCGTAGTGGAAAAGTGCCGCGGCCCGCGATAGCTGTGCACGGAATAGGTGACCAAAAATTATTATCCTGAGCTACTCCGTGCTTTGGAAGCAACTTTAAGCCGTTGGTCCTGACTGCATTTGCAGTCGTTAATACCCTCCAATCCGCATTGGGCCAGCTTGGAGGGTCATGGCCCATCCTCCTTAACCAGCCATAAAGACCTGGAGCTCCTGCAGTGGGGACGAAAAAGGGCTGATAATGTATTTATAATCTGTATGTACCTGTATGGTTAGTTATATTTGTATGAAATACAGATATTGCCATTGACTATCTGCTCTGTGTCAATACGTTATAATATAACAATACAAATCTACTTAGCAAACAGATGATAACTGTATTGATTGTACAGTACTTTTCGATTTCGATCTTTGAGCGTAAAATATACATGGATATGGAATGATTTTTTGTAATGTAAAATAAAATAGGAAATATGTTCCATAGTTTCAAAATAATAATTATCATTAATAATACGTAACTTTTAACAATATTTATTACTGTAAACCATAAGTAAAAGAATCAATAAATTGGTACCAATTCTGTTGCACCACTCTCTGAACGAAACTAATTTAAACATTTGTTACTTCAATTTTGATTTCAATTTTAATATTATTCCTATATACGTAATCAAAGAAATATAGTCATACTTCGTATAATAACTTTAATTCTGTTATCTTAGTTATTTAAAAAAATTGAAAAAGCAGTTTGCAAAGCGGTACTAAACGTAAATTTAACCCAATTTTGTCTAATCTAAGCAACAAAATTACCAGCACGATGTCTTCTGTTTCTTTTCTTTTAAATAATGTTCCAATTCAGGCACGGTTGTTTCCTCACATCATATTATCAGTAGTGATTAGCTACACAAATGATGCCGACAAACAATCACTGCAATATCTAATTAGTACATGAATTGTATCGCAATTTTCTTACCCATGAATAGTGAAATTTAGAATAAATAATACATAGGCACTTCCGCTGTGCAGATTAAAAATAAAAACGACCATTAAATACTTTCATTCTTTCAGTAATAAGTTAAATTGGAAAAACTAGTAAAAAAAACTCATTACAATATTACAGAGGTCGCGTCAATGAGATTATTTTAACAGGTTAATTAGTGTATTTAGTGTGACTACTTAAAATTGTACACAGAATACCGGTTCCTAAATATATCAATACATAATATACTTACTTTTTTATAACTATGAATTATTACAACTCAATTCCGCTTCTCATTTCTCTTTAACCATAACGGAATTCTAATAAAATTATCACTAAACGTCCGCTTTCTATGGGATGGTCCGACATACTGATGACGCCATTGTCATTGAGTATACTTTAAGGTATTATCGCATTATTTTTTTTTATGTGCGCAAACTATTATCGCCTTTAAATACTATCAGATAAAGCATACGCCGGAAATGATTCACCTCTACAAAGGTTTAATAATCTAATTGTCTGTTAAATTGCGATTACATTTTCAGTAGCATTGAAAACACTATTTTGATGGATACTAATATGTAGTGTTTTTTTTTTTTTATTGGCTGACTAGCTTTCTGCCAGCGGTTTATCGAATCTGGAAAGCAAACACGTAGTAGGTAACCTGCAAAACCAAAAGTGTTCTTCAGAGCAGAAAAACTTTTATTTTTTTCGATAAATAATTCCTATAAACGTCCATAGTAACAAATAAGGTGTACCTTAGTCAATTAATATGGAAATAAGACTTTTTTTGTAATATAAAGATTCTCCACTCTAAATATCAATTTTGGTTTTGTAGATTACTACGTGTTTGCTTTCCAGCGTCGATATAAATATAAATTTATACCTTCCGCTTGAATAACTTCTTATATTGAAGGAAAACAGAATAATGAAATGGAGAAATCAAAGGAATTCTTCAAAAAATTATAATTAAAAAACCGACCAATTGCGAGTCGGACTCGCTCACGAAAGGTTCCGTATCACATCACTAGAAGCGCTAGTAAATTTTTAGGTCAAAATGTCTATTCATTATGTTTAGTCTCATAATAATTTTTCATTTGATTGACTTCATCAAGTAACATCCCAAATTTCAAAGCTGCATTACATAGTGATAAAAACTATATTATAACATTTATGATAAAGATAAATAGTAAAGTTTAATTAAGCTGATAGTACATTTATAAAATGTACTCACATTGTATCGATTTTCTTACTTATCTAGCTAAGTGAAAAGCTAACATTGTGTATTTATCTTTATGATAACAAATAATTCAGTGAAATTGGGACATTCATATCAGTCAATTTTATAGCGCCTGCTAACAATGAATTTTTGTATACAGTTTTATGGATTTATGGTTAATTGAATAGTATGCGTAACAGTAACTACATATTTTAATTAAATAATTTAGTAATGATAGTTTTAATTAAATTTTGAAGTCCTCGTGTGTTAAAAATCAACTAAAATGTTTCCATAAACGTGAAATTTACATATTCCATTTCCATAGGCATGTAGGATAGCTGTTATTTTGAACTGAAGTTAATGTGTTGACATTTGAAAGCTCAAAAGCTGTGGGCCATTTTACGTGCTACCTTATATCTTAATTTATGTATATTAAGTACTAGCCTTCTGAAAGCGGCTTTGCCCGCATGATCTAGTTTTAAGTCCAGAAATGAGAAAATTCCATAAAAACTTTCATCCCCTAATTTACCCCCTTGAGAGTTGAATTTAATAAAACCCCGTTTTAGTGAGCACCGTCCCCGTATTATGGAATATATGAGACAACGAAGGAAACACAAAACGTAGACGTGAGACAATAAAGAAGAGTCCATTTTTTGCATTGACCTGACCAGGAATCGAAGCCAGGACCTCAGAGATGGTGACACCTTGAAATCAGCGTGCGAATCACTCAGTAAATTTTTGTGTGGCGTATTTTCTTTAACTCTTCTTTTAATCAATCTAACCGCATTTTTGATTAAGCCCTTGCGTGAGGTTTCGAAAATTTACAGGCGGCGCCACACCCAATCTATTAAACGGCAGATATTAAGCTTTAAAAAAGTATAAAGTATGTCTCAATTTTCAGAAAAATTATAAAATAAAACATAATCGTAGGAAGCAGGTTTTACTGTATTTCATTTAAAAACTGTCTAATCAATATCCAAAGTCCTAAAAGAACCAACAAATTCACTATTAGAATCTTTAACTCGTTTTGATTCGTCAGTTCCAAGCTGTTCTTCTTGTTGCATCCAGGATTTGTATTCGTTTATTTTTGAAACCCAATATTCTGAAATAGATCAAACAAAGAATTTTCTATATATATATGTATTTCTTTGAGATTTGTTACTAACACTCACATATGGCACTTAAAATAAAAGTATAATAATTGCATTTTATTTTGAATATAATTTAATCAATGTACACTTTGTACAACGTATTGTAAGATCCTTTTTTAAGAGTTAGATGATTCAAAAGATCTTTTACAATGTTTAATTGAATTGAAAAATAAAACGACTTTGACTTCGAATGGTATCAGATAAATAAAAAATTATCTCATTTTTTATTTACATTGAAACCTTACCAACAATTTCTTGCATAGTTTTTCCATCACCTCCATATTCGGCTGGTATTATTTCCTTCGGAAGAAACTCGAAGAGTTCGTCTACTTTTTTGTGTATACGTAACTGAAAATAGTGAGGTGATTATTATTGTAACTTAAACCTAGAAGCATAATATACGTCTGCCATGAAATCGAATATTCGTTTTTTTTTTAATGGGCGACATTAGCACATCGTGCTGTTTAACCAACTCGAAGTTTGACGAGTGTTTAGCGATATTGTCAATATCACTATTATAAGTGATTTTGAATGATTTTTGACTTATGTAGGTACGTCTGAGAGACGTTTCAAAAAATTTCAAAAAATTCTAATGATAAATTGATAATTAGTTATTAAAGAGTCTATTAATCTTTAATATTATTTTAAGTCATAATGTTTGAGTTGAATGAAGTTGTTAGAAATAAATACTATTTTGTTCTTTTTTTCCAAAATGGTGATTTTTATGTTTAAAAATAGTTGTACTTATTAATTCATTGTAATATAATATACCGTTTTTATAAATTAATAGTCCTACTTTACATCGCTAAACGCTTTATAATTTATTATTGTTAAGTTATGCTTATATCACATTTACTCTTTTAATACTACAAGTATATTACTAATACTAGTTTGTCAAATTACTTATTTACCGAAAGTATTAAACTTCATCGATTATAAACTCACCTGAAGCTATTTTTAAATTTATAATTGTGATTTTTTTTTCAAATAACAGAAACGAGTTTATACGTAGTAGTTGCCCTACATAATCGATTTACGTAAGTATTACCGATATAATCAGCGATTTCGAGCGTAAACGGCTTTACTAATAAATAATGAAACTAATGCGTTCCAACAATGCACCCAGTAATATTTTAATGTGGCCAAGGAACTGGCTAGCGAATTTAATAAACGTTACTTTTATCTTTTAAAAATACTTTATTCTTTTCTCGTAACAAACAGCCATCGGCCATTTGAAATATGATTTACAGAATGTGGTTACAGATGAGATTTGTTGCAAAGCAGAGCAATAGCTCAAATACTTTGAGCTACCATACTTTTGACATAGGATGTTCCCGCAAAGCGTTGATTATAGGCCACCCGACTACTCTATGATACTAGGTGAGAACATTTACCTTAAGCTGGGGATACATACCAGTAAATCAGGAAATTAGCTGGCATGTATGAGTAACTGGCACACTGCGGATACATTTGCAAGTAATACTGACATGCATACTGTGCCCTTGCATGCCAGTATTACCATCGCGTATACACAGGACAGTTCGTTAGAGTATTTCGTACCTATCTGGCATACCCGTAAATGTCGCGTCTGTTCACACGTGCCAGGTTAGTCAGTCTGTTTACACGTACACAACTGTTGTGTGTTGACATTCAAATGTTGTGCTAGCTACTTGCAACTAGCTAGCTTCCAGTTACAGACACGCCTGTTAGTGAATACACGTAACTGTAGCTGGCAATTGCAAGGAGCAGCCCCCTTACTCTCGAACGCAATCGCGACCGATCGACATTGCAATGTTGCCGTTTCGTAATCTTGATTGGGTACACTAGCGCCCAAGTATGGTAATAAGCCAATCAAGAGTGCGGAGCGGCATAATTGCAATGCCGATCGGTCGCGATTGGGTTCGTGAGTGAGGGGCTGGTATGCTAGTATGCAAGCTACGGGCATGTGTATCCCCAGCTTTACTTTATATTGGCCACATCATGAAATAAACGGCCAAATCCCAATGATACACCTGGGTAGATTTTAATTTATTTTTGATACAGATTTCAGATTACGGGAATATTTAATTTTTAAAGAGATACGTACCCTTTCTTTGGCTTTCTCGTTTAGAAATCCAGAGATCAATGAAAATATCACTTCTATGCCTGAAGGTAGATTGTAATGGTGACTCCCCTTTAAGCGCAACGGCATTGAGTCCTGGAATATTTTTTTTCATGTTACAATTAAACAGCCTGCACTCACATTATTATTTATTTTGTTTTTTTTTTTTATTGAGAATATATAATATATTTTTCATAATTATAGCTTAACAAAACACTTATCTAAATCGATTGTTGAAGATGATTAATTTGATTTGGCTACATTTTAATAACCAGAAGGAGATTTATATAATCACATTTAATATGAAGTTAAATAAGTCTAACCTTCAGTTACTTAGCAGAGTCGTTGATACATTTTAACATAAATAATCACAAATAATTATTATTTCGATAATTTTTGTATTCGCCATACTATGCAGTAGCTATACGGCTATAATACATATTTTTTAAATAACGTTATAACCATATTGGAGATTATTTAATAAACAATAATACTTACCTGTGCTACTGCAGTCATTTTTTTTAATAAGCTAGGGTTGGCTTGAATCAAGTGACTCATAGAGACACCTTCGTAGTCAACAAGTATCTTAGTTCCCAAAACAGTTGCTGTGTCATCCTCCATCACCAAAATCTGTGACAAATTGAAAACTCCATGTAATAAAAAAATTAAACCGCTCAAGAGAGACTGTCACTAAATCGGATTTTTACCAAACAAACACAAATTATTATTATTTATACATATTATTTATCTTTATTTATTATAATAAGGCGACGTTTTGCGGAAGTCCATTGTTATAACCGTGAAACTATGATATCTAGCAACTTCCGAACTCTAGATGTGTTTTGCACTGTAAGGTCTAACAAGTCGTGAAGATTGTGTAGAGTAATCATTTGTTAGAGAGCATAGTTTCGCGGTTTTTATTTTTACATAAAGCTTAAAAGATTTTACGTTAGCGACCAAACGGCGACTAGGGTACTATGAAAATCAGTGTATGTTTCATATATAGAACATCCAACACTGAGCTGTATGCCTTTTGAGCTACTGCTTCACACTCTAGTACGGTGATACAAATCGTTGTCTTTTGTAATTTTTAATGTTTCTATACACCAACTAAGTATTTTACAATAACTTATAATGTAGTTATAGTAGTGGTTCAATAAAGCATTTATCTATCTATCTAAAATTACATACCTGAACTAAATAATACAATATGCACATAACATCCGCGACACTGTTTATCTGTGGATCGTACAGTCCTGCTCTGATGAGGATAACACTTGGTATCAAGCTTGTCTTCGGCTTAGGTAAAATTAAAACCGTCCTGCAACCAAATGTCAGATAATCTATTGATAAGTCTTCAAAATTTTAAGAGTAATGTAATGTCGCTATGTATCCCATTTTAACAAGACCTAATACATTCCTCTGTACTCTTTTCTGTAGCTCAATCTGTTAAAAAACATCGCTACTAACACACAAATATACGATTTTTATCGATATGCCTACAGTTTGCTTATTACATATCTTAAGTAAAGTTAAAAAATGTTCACAAATTAATATTTGTATATCAAATTCCATCGACTCAATGTCATCTCTTTACTTAATTTTAATATAGTGTATAGATCGCTTAATTCTCACAAAATATTATATTTAGTTTACAAATTTACAGAAATATCAAAAATTAAATTAATAAAACTAATTAATACTTACCCGATTTTTAAAAAATCTATAAACTCCGGCTGCGATGGCTTTAGCCTCAATGTAATATCAGGTGCCGTAGTCCGCAATGTATAGTATAAATCTATCTTATTCTTTGCTTTTTCTAAACTGAACTTGCAGGCTCTTAATAATCCCAAAAGCCATTGATCATCTGAAAATCAATATTTATATGTTAAAGTCAAGTTGGTGGTTATTTTTGGTTTAAAACCCATTTTTTTCGTTAGCCAAAAATAATGTTCCAAACGTTTCTAATTTTCGCAGCAAATGGGAAAAATGGGACCCTATTTGTACGTAGGTATATGTCTGTCGATCTTCCACCAGGTTGTACATATCTCATAATCTTATTAACTGTGATAATAAGATAGTTGTTTTTTTTTTTGTATTTCTGTTGCCGCATATAACAAATACAAAAATAGAAGAAACTAAATATATAAGGGATTTTTGTTATTTAAAAAATTATAATATATATATTGAAAATAGCAATTGTTTCAAGTTCTTAGATAATTGTACCTTACGTGAAATCCAACTCGCAATTGACCCGATTTTTATTTAACTTAATAGTAGTGACTGGAACACCATTCGTGGTAATTTATCATTATATTATGTCTTAAAGCAAAAATGTAGATCTTTTAAAAAAAATTGCACAGACAGAGCAGGTATAAAATTTGTAATAAACTATTAAAAGTAATTTTCAATTTTTAAATAAAATTATTTCTCCTAATCTGAGCTCACCTGTCCTAGCTTTAAGATGCGGCTGCTTGCATATCCATTCTTTAATTTGCCCCAAATCATTCGATATTTGTTTAGGATTCTCATTTAGTTCTTCTTTTGCTATTTTAGCTAATTCTGGCGTTAACTCTCGTACCATTGTTATTAAAGACGCTAAAATAACGTTATTCTTAATCATATCGCAATTATTTTCATAGTTAATATTGCAATCTTAGTATCGGATCGTATATTTTATTCCGATAGCACTTTTTAGAACTTACCCGTTCAAATATAAGCAATATATCGCCACTTCTTTTTATTAAATCTATAATACAAACAGTAAATGGAAAATCAATCTTATCAACTTGTATGATACGAACAGTACCTGAAGATTAGCCGTTTAGATTAGCGTTTTGTCGTCGATGATCAACTAGGGTAGACTGTCGTCTATCTATCAACTATTTGTGTTTGTTCTTATCTTTATCTTTACGATCGAAAACGACAATTTAACGTCTACAGCAAAGTTTTGTTTTTGTGAGCCATTTCGTTGTTTCATTGGCTTAAGTATCATATCACTCTTTCTTTATCGCGATGTATGTACACATGTTGCATTTAAAACGTATTTGCAAAACTGTACTCTATTTAGAGGTATTAAGAAAATTACAAACCGCAACTTTACAGTAGTTGCAGTGAGCAGATATAATAAATATATTATTAATATCTTGCCCCTGATATATGAAACATGTACTTTAGATATAGATAAAATAATGTAGTACTCCTTTTATTCCATAGTAAGATGCAGAAGATGAGGAAGGTCACGACACATCTTTCATGATCAAATCAGTCGAGTGCTGTAAGTGATGTCACTAAGTTTAAATGAATTAGTGTATGTATGAGGCGAAAGATATACTCGTATGTATGAACTGTGCTTTGTGGCGTTCGGGGGTACGGCGCGAAGATATAGATAGATAGATTTCCTTTATTAGAAAGGAAAATTGTAATACAGTTGTATAACCTTTAAGAACGAACTTGATGTATAGCACAGAGTTGTGACAGTATACAGATTCAATTGAATAAAACCTTAATTACATATTGAAGTAGGTTTTATTTGATTATACTTCTGTGAGAAGGTAGCGCTGCGCTCGTCATCGTAATCGCAGCTACTGTTAATCGAATTAAAAGAAACAACAGATCTAATCAAAAAGAAACTACTGTTGAAGTCTGGCTATTATCATTTAGTAATATATAGAAATCCTGTTTCTTGAATAATTAGACCACTCTTATAAAAGGTATTATTATTGGTTAATATATTAATTTTTTAAATAGACGTATGAAATAAAACTGAATCAACTGTTCAAATTAGCATTATTACTAAAGATTATACGAAATATTATTTTCATGCTTCAGATTTACTAGCTACTAACATTTTGTAACTCGCGATAATTTCTGATTTTCACCATACAAAACAGTTTATATTTACAATTTTTCGAATCTGTATCGTCAAAATATATAAGGTTCTCTTTATGAGTCGTATTATCTACGGCTTAATGAACTAAGAAAATAAACGATAAAGAAAAAACAAGCAAAATATAGCTGAAAATCAAGCATATTATTATACAATACTATAAATAAGAATATTGTTTAGGACAGAAAAAATAGTAGTGACACAAATAACGCCTATGGTTTATGAACGCTGGAATTCTAAAAAAAAATATTCTATGATCTACTGACCTGAAGGACAATTCTGCTAATGTTATCGTATTTATGGAAAGTCAATAGCGCTTCAACTTATGATAGAACTCTTATTACCAGATCACAAAATAATAATAACAGAACTGATGGCCTACTAGCCTATTCTACTCATATCAACTACTTACATTTTGCCATTATACTATCCACCTGAAATTCAATATTATTAGATCAATATCTTCTTCACAGACATATTTATTATTTTGTAAAAATTACTATGTTAAACCCTTGTTTACAACCTTTTGTAGTTGAAGTGCCATTATCTTTCCAAAATTACAATAACATAGCATAATTGTCCTATAGCACGCGCAGCATGACAAACTCGAAAAACGTTTGGTCTAACGCCAAGTTTTCTCGAGTCGAGAGTGATATATAGTATGAGAGCAGTCGAGAAAAGAGACATTAGGTTGTAAACAAAACGTTCTCGAGTACGTCATGCTACGCATATGTATAGTACAGATATACAATTCAATACTTAGATAGAAGTTTTATGTTGTTTTAAACTTTCATGGTCAAGACAGGTGCAATTTTGACGTCGAGTTGCGGAGACGCCCGTTGAAAGAAGAAGAAGAAGAAACTTTCATGGTCATTAACAGTAGGATATTTATTTATTACAGGATTGCTACTTATATTTCTCTAATTCTCGATATTATGTGGCAAGCGCCATGATCACGGAGTGTGATGTACCTACCTACCAATCGCGTATTAATCAATAATTCTTACAGTAATAAAAGTTGTATATCACTGAAGATAGAACTTCAGTAAATTAAAAGTTACTCGACTTTGATTTCGAAGCTGTTAAAACAGAATAGCTTAACTGTTCGCATTTGATATCATGAAAGAAATGTGATTAAAACAGACAATTTTTTTTTTAAATTATCCAACTAGATTTTCGCCAGCGGTTTGCCCGCGTGGCCTTGTATTATACATAAACACCTTCATTTTAAATCACCCTATCTATGAAAAAAAAACCACATCAAAATCCGTTGCGTAGTTTTAAAGATTTAAGCATACATAGGGATATAGGGACAGAGAAAGCGACTTTTTTATATTATGTAGTGATACCAAACTACCGAAAATGTATTTTAGAGATTTATTATGATCTAACTGTTTTTAGATACATATGTCTACAAATTAAATATTTACATTGAATTCGGTGATTATTGTTATATTTGATCATCTTTGCATTGTGAACGCAATAGTTATAAATATATGCTATAGAAAAAAAATGATCATCTCAAGTCGAGTTAAACATAAGATGGCCTATGAAAATCAAACGCAAAAATTTGTTCCATTAAGCTTTTTTTTATTAGCTCAGAAATATGATTTATTAAGCTCTTTGAAATTCTTGAATTTATTTAATATTCGTAGTTTATTCTAAATTGAAAGAGTGTTAATTTCAGTCGAACTCTAGCTGTCTAAAGGAACCATCAACTCCGAACATGTCAGCCGCTGTTTTTGGCTCTCCAGGCCTCAATGTCTCATCTGTACCATATTCAAGGTCTTCTTCAAGCCACTGACTGTATTCTTTTATCTTCTTTTCCCAATAATCTACGGTGATAATAATAATTTGTATTTTTAAAAATTAAAAAGCAAATGGCATCTTAAAAGAAACCATTTTAAAATATCAATTTGGAGCATTAAATCCGACCTCCGTAGCCCAGTGGTTCGCACGCCGGTTTCAAGGTGTCGCCATTCTCTGAGGTCCCGGGTTCGATTCCCGGTTGGGTCAATGTAGAAAATGAACTTTTCTATATTGACTCGGGTCTGGGTCGGGTCTTCGTTGTCTCAGATACTCCATAATACGGGGGCTTTAGCTACTCATCTTGGAATCTGAGCAATGTATGTGATGTTGTTAAATATTTTAATTTTTTTTTATTTATTTTTTTTAATATTTATGTGTGGGTGATTGAACAACACGATAATTACCAATAATTTCCTGGGTGGTACCGCCATCTCCACCTAGTTCGATAGGTAATACTTTCTTCGGTACGTATTCATATAATTCATCAATACTTTTATGTATGTATATCTATAAAACAAATAAATTACATTATAATAAATATTAATGGAATATAAAAGATTATGTCTCATATCTATAGTCATAGCAAAACTAAACAGGTATATAATGCAATAAGGTAAATAACAATTCATTTTTAATGGCGGGTTGTACGAAATTACCACTTTTTAAACCAAATAAAAATAATTATATGAAAATTAAACATATAATCGTTTGCTTGCTTAAAACAGAAACATAACTTTCATAATAGAAAATACGGTAAAGATAACTCTCAATAAGTTTCTTGAATCGATTTTACGACTAATATATTTCATCTTCCATAAAAAAAAAACATGTATTCAAAAATAAGTTTTTCTGATATTAAAATTATATGAAATCAAGCGAGAGCGTCTTTACTCTTGATGCGTATTTGTATGGGAACGTAAGCGGAGGTAATATATAAATAAACGCTTTAGGCTAGCGGCTTCGCCGTTGTGGCCTGTATTATACATGTAACGGTGTACCATACTACCATTTATTTTTCCTAGGTTTCAACATGCAAACTTTTTGTCTTTGATATTCAACATCATTTCTTTTTACACTGCTACAGTACCCTAGGGAAAATGACGTCATAAATTGCCGCCATATTTGTACTGTGAGCACTGGAGATTTCGAGATAAGGTGCTCGCAGTGCTTTTGATCACGTGATCAGTCGAAACAGAATCAGAAAATGATAAGTTTCTAAATAAACAAAAAAAATACTTACGTTTATTTATAAGATGGATTTAATTGATAAATATTTTTTTTATACAATTTTCCAATTTTCTTTTGAAAAGAGGGAATCTTTATATTTATATTCACCCTGCATTAACAAATTTGAAAATGGCGCCAAAAAATAGGATTAACAGTATACTGCGTTCCGTTTTAAAAAGTCACCAGTATAACTAGCTATAAAGGAACGGGCTTCCAGTATACTAAATTGACGTCATACTGTTCAGTGGTCGCAGTGTATATCGGTACATACCCATTATTAACCTTTCGTAATTTAAAATTTTGACTAATAAAAATATACTCTTTATGGATGTCAGTTCTTAAAAAAATCATCTGATGTAAACATGTAAATGACATATAATAAAAATCATATAAATTGAAACATAAAATTTTATTGATGATTGTTAATAATAAATTAATGAGTTATTGAAATAGAAATTATATAATATAATAAAAGTGTATTCTGTAACTTGGACGATTCAAGTTTTTATCAAGAAATCCAAAAAGGGTATGTATTCGTTTTATTTGGTAATTTTAATGTTATATTTAGGTTACTTACGAACTGTTTTTATATTCATTTTTGTTTGTTACAGTTTCTTTACTTTATTATTTATACCATAAATAAATCCATTCTCAAGCTAGTTAGCCTTTCAGTAATTGGCCCAAGCAACGAGCCCGTAACATACATATATGTCTTCCTGTTGAATCATTTTTATATTGAAATCCATTGTGTAATTTAAGAGATCTCAGCGTACAGACAACGGGAAGTGACATTGTTTTATATTATAATCACTCGCAATTACTAACAATTGTATCTCGGTGGCGTAGAAGATAAGCGACACGACCTACGATCGCTGTTGCTAAGAATTTTTGCACACGGGATGGGTGATCAAAAGAATTATTATCTCGAGCTTACTCTATGCTTCGGAAGGCATGTTGAGCAGTTGGTCCAGGCTATATTTGCAGTCATTAATACCATCCAATCCAGAATGAAGGCCTGAGCCGTAGGACGTAGAATAAATAATGATGATGATGAATATGAATGATTAACAAGATATTACAAACCCTGTCTTTGTGCTTGTCGTTTAGTATTTTTCTTGCTATATTAAAAACTGCGTCGACACCTAGCGGTGTTCCAATGTAATGAGAACTTTTTAGCCGAACCGGCGATGCATCCTGTAACATGTTTATTACACGATGTAAAAAAGCTAATGAAGTTCGAGTCCATCTCGTGTTCCCGAGAATTCCATGTAAACTTCTTACCTTCGTATCTATAATCGAAAGAAGTGATTACTTGTTTAGTTTACATTCATTACATTATACATTCATTACATTACTAAAAATAATGTAATGAATGTATAATGTAATGAATGTAAACTAAAGTAGATTTTTACCATATTACCAAGAATTTGAACGGAGTAAAATCTGTTAATAGTTAAAATACTATTATAATTAGCTATTAACGTAAGTTCTTACTTTAATCAAATTCTCGTCTATTGGTTAAAAATATATACTGAATTATGTATATATACACATTTTCTCCAGTAATAACTTCTCTCAACTATAGATACTAGTGTAAGTAGCAGTTTAGTTTTGTTATAATCAAACAAAATTGTAGTAGGGTTTTCCTAAAGAGCAACTGAAGAAACTTGCGAGTTCAAGAATTTATGTCTCCTTGGAACTTAGTATTGCAGTATTGGCCTCAAATAATAAATAGTCAAAAAAATTGTCCTCAATAAATTCAATTTTATTATTTTAGCAGCGCAAATAATTGCATATTATAAAAATACATATGAAATCTCCGTTATTTCTAATACTTCTCTTTGGAGCTAAAAAAATTCGCTTGGAAATGTGGTGTTGAAAACGTATGCTAAAAACCACTAAGACTGCTTTGGGTTCACATCCTGAAGGAACACAAGGTCAAAGAGCGACTTCCTTCGATTTTATAGTTATGAATACTAACATTCTTTAACCGCATTAACCAGGGACCAGCACTTGATAGAAAAACTGATGGTACAGGGCTACAATAACCAAGCGGCGTAGACAAAGACTTATTAACCAACAAAAATGTAAATATATTGCCTGAGAAGCAAGATGGCCAAAGGATACATGACCAGTACGCATACCTTCTATGTTATATGAGCATCCACGAACACTCTGTTAAGAGTGTACTATTGAGAAGAAGAAAAAGGAAGAACGTGGATTATGGTTTTTCAAATACCATCTAATCACATCATCTAATCATCTAATCCACGCGATAAAATTTAAGATTTAATACAAGATTGATTTATGTTCCATATTAAAATGCGATTTTTTTTTTATTGTATAGCACAATAAAGAATTTGAGTTAATTCACCTGTCCGCACACAACCAACTTCTTTATATGGGCAGGCGTCATCTGAAGAAAATGAGCCATCGTAGCGCCTTCTAAATCGACTACGTTGATAGCCCCTGATACCACGAATGAATCATCTTCTAGGAACATAATCTGTAATAAAAAATAAATATGTTTAAATTTCTATAACTATAGATACTTTACTACTACTAAATTTCCGATTATTCAATTATATCCGAATTATGACCATCATTTTTAACTTTTAAAATATCACTGATACATAAAAATTCATATGAATCTATTATCAACAACTGTTTACCTACAGTTTTATTATGCGATTCATCACCAGCCTATTAATGTTGCTTAATGTTGGATGAAATGGCGGGCCCGGGGCGGATTGGTGGGTATTAACAATTCCAGATGCAGCAGGGACCAACGACTTAGCGTGCCTTCCGAAGCACTTAGCTCGAGATAATAAAATATGCGATTATTTTAGAATTAATAAGAAGGTGCTATAGGTACATACCTGCTGCATTACTAAGGTTAAAGACAGTAATTCTGTGACGCAATACTTGTCAGGGTCGTATCGATTGGCTCTTATCAACACGACCCGTGGTCCTGTTGAATGTATTGCTTTAGGTAGTACCAAAACAACTCTGCAATCCAAAATGTGAAAAACCACATACTTATTGATAAAATAAATTCAGATTCAATAAGTAATTGGGAAACACATCTTCCTTAAGGATGATAAAACACAGGAAGAATCAGCTATAAACCACGTTGATTTAGTCATAGATGCAGTATTTCTTATAAATAAAAATAAAGGAATATTATCGGCCATAGGCCCCAGCAGATTCAGTGTTTACAGTTAGATATAAGTAATTGTAAACACTATAAGGAGCGGTAAATAACATTTTTTAATTATCAAATTATTAAGATCATCATAACAAAATTAGCAACAAAAATTTTCTTAACACATTAACCATTACAAGACAGTAAATTTTGATCATTGATGACCAGCCTTTCTAAAACTTGATTAATTCCCGCAATCGTAGACTGCAACGCAACGACGATGAAAATCTGTTTTATTTCTATAAAAATCCTTGGGATCATAGCAATGTAATAATTTCCGTAACGACAGTTTTTATTTTGTTTCAAAGATGATTCTTATAATCTATTTTTCCATATTTTGCGATATTGCGATATTTTTGCGATGTCGTAACTTAATTGTTGTTTAAAAAAATACTTAAACGCTTTCATTCTAAATCTAAATTTTTATTGAAGACTAGTATAGTACAATTAAACTAATTACTTCAATATAAAGTTCAAATATACAGAGAAATCCCTGAATCCCTAAAATAAAAAAATAAAAAACACTTTACCATAATCTCTAAATAAGTTTTTATTACCCTGATCGAAGTAGCTCCATAAACTTAGGATCGGTATGTCTAAAGCTAAATAGATCTGTCGCTGTGGCTCTCAATGAATAGTACATGTCTATTTTTTCCTTGGCTCTCTCTATACTATGTTTACATCCTCTCAAAAAGGTTGCCAACCACTGGTCTTCTGAAATAATACATAATGTAAATTAACTACTGATTACTATACTACCTTAAAACCATTCGGCCACGTCGATCGCCAAATAAAAACCAAGTAATACAATAACTATAATATGTTATTTAAATAAAAAAGTTTCTTATTGTATTAATTAATTTCTACATATTTTATTAATTTTAATGTTGTTGCTTTGATAATGAAAGCTGCTTATGTTCATTTGTGAAGTTGCAACATACATCTTACTTTTTACCGCTTATTGAATGCTTTTTGTTTTAATTCTGCTATGTGTCATAAATATAAATAAAAATATTTAATACAGAACTGCTGAATACCTGTCCTGGCACGCAGATACGATTGCTTACTAATCCATTCCTTCAAATGCTGAATGCCGTCCTCGAGACGTTTGTGATCTTCGTTTAGCTCATCCCTGGCTTGTTCTAGAAGCTCATGAGGTAATGGACGAACGGGCATTGTTTTAACTACTCTTTATTATGAACTTGTCATAAACTTTACAACTGCTATAATGAAAAGCAAAAATATTGATTATTCATAGAACGACAGCGGAATGTTTTCTTTATTAAGGTGAACGTCCACCTTGTACTCAAGTACGCAACTGATTTTTCATTTAAAATATAGTACAAGGTTTTCGTTTTGATAATTGCATTTTCTGTCTACATTATTCACCTTACAACAAACAATATTTAAGCAATAGCGTTTTGATGAATCGATGGTGACAGATTATTTTGGTATTTTGCTATATAGTGACAAGACCCGTATCAATAAAACTGATATTGAAACGCCATTGACACGCTACAATTACTTTAACTTTAACGGAAAAACACTCCTGCACCCCGTTTGTTGTAATGGCCCCACCGACCTCACGCATTATTTGAGCAAAAAATGCGATGCGTGTCGCTAACTTGCATAGAGCTACTATACATTACTTCGCAGCTTCATGACAAAACTGTCTTATGATACTTCTATTAAAAAACCGGATACTGGATACGTATGATATCGAAAAATCCGTATAATTCGTTGCGTACCATGCGCCCGTTACACGCATGCACATACAGTGGACGTTCACCTTTAAGTTTGGTTACATGAAACAACTCATTTTTTCTTACAAAATACCGGTCAAGTGTGAGTCGGACTCACGCAAGAAGAATTCCGTACAGAAAACGAGCAAAAAAATCACGTTTGTTGTATGGGAGCTTCTTAAATACTTATTTAATTCTAGTCTTTAGTATTTTTTGTTGAAATACATAATCTATGAAAATTTCAGACAGACAGCGTAGTCTTAGTAATAGGGTTCCCATTTTAGCCTTTGATTATAGAACCTGAAAAAAATAAATCTGATGAAGAGAATGTTGGACTCGAGCACCGAAGGTTCCGTACATCAACTAAATTTTAAAACCCATTGATTTTTGTATTTAGAAAGCTATATATTTACTTTATTTTTTTAAAGTTTTGGTGTAATAAATTCAATGATGGAGTAAGAGGGTTAATAGTCAATTTAAAACCAATGTGACCACTTCCAATATAGTTCTCAACTGCCATTTTAAAGCTGTATAGGTTAACGAAAAAGGCTTACTACTTTGTAAGAAAGCAAATTAAACTTCTAAACTACAATTTTCAATTTCAGTTATATTATTCTAATCTGTATAAACGTAGAGTTTAGATTCTTAAATCTTTTACAGTACTATTATTAAGCAAGGTTTAGCATCAGAGTAAATTTACGCTGCATTTGCAATTTCAGTGTTAGTCCAAAATTCATATATAGACCTCGTAATAGTTTAATAATATTAATTTTGACTAATAATAAGCGCATTCTCAGCGTATATTTACTCAAACGTTAAACATTGTTTATTAATAACACTGTTAATGTTCAATTTTGCTATGACAACTTGGCAGAAGTAACTCATAAAAATAAAGAGGTAAAAACGCATATATGTATAATATTACAAAAACGTAGTTTCTACTTACAATTTAATTGGTTACAAAAGGATCTCCTAGATTGTAAAATCTTCAAAGAAGCAATCACTTTACAGATTTAAAAAGATAAAGTCAAAAATGAGTGCAATCCTTTGTTAAAATATAAGAAAATATATTTAAAATACTGAACTACTCACATTATAGACTTAACACAAATGTGCAGTGACTGATTTAGTAGCCCCACCAAACGATTGACTAGTTTCATCGTTGCAACAACAGCTGTTTTGCAATATGAACAAAACTGTTCAACTGAAAATAAGCACCTTATATGCGAATAGTTTTCGCATATTGCACAGTCAATACCAATGTAATAATAGTCTTATTTCGCATGGCATTTGAAATGAAAAGCACTCGAAAACCATATTTAAGAAAAAATGCTAGTGTTAACAACTGGCTGGTCATACCGTCTTTTTTATAAAACTTCATATTATATTTATTGTGACATTTTAGTTGCTTTCAAAATCAATTGTGTGCTTACGTTTTAATCAGTTTGTTATATTATATTCTCATTCTTTGTTTTACCATATTTTCTAATAAAATTGTATTATTAATCACATTCCATTTTTCATTAGCTCATACCCCTAGTTAGCAGCAAGGTAATGTAAAACGATTCAATAAGTCGACTGTTTCCTAATTTTTCAAAAAGGTGGGTCTAGATTACACATTATTTAATCTAAGCAGAAGGGTAAGAAACTGATTTTTCATACCTATCTAAAGATTGCCATACCTACTTAAAGATAAATGATATCCAGTCGAAATAAATTAAAACATCTAGCTGTATAGTAACTATTGCTTGCTTCGTGTACTTTCTTTCTTCTAGAATTCAAGATTCTAGCGTTAGCTTATAACACTTTGATACAGATTTTAAAACAACACCATCATTGATAAGAAAATTAACTTTTCTAAATTAGCTCGGGGTCTGATTGGTATGCCTTTTAATTTATAATTTTTATATTGTGTAGTTTCTATTAAACTGATTTTTTATTCAAATCAAAGGGTGTAAATTTTTTAATACTAACCGTAGCTTATTTGCCAAAACACTTTTTTATTAGAATAAAATCAGTACCACAACCAAAATATTTAATGCATTTTAATACAATATTTAACATTTTCGCAACTTTGTTCACATTAAATAATTATTTCAAAAATCCACTAACATTTATTGAATATTATTAGCTTAAATTGATTACCTAAGAATGTGAAAATCCAGTCTATCTAAATTACAATTAAATAAAAATATAATTACATATTAGAAAACATCATAAACATTTCTTAGTTTCTAAGATGCGCAGCTAATATTTGTTAAAGTAATGTAAAAAATTCATAATAGTCATAACCTAGAATTATTATGTAATTTGTTTATGATTTTGATATATATTTTGATCTTATATAATCTTCTGCCTCAAAAACATAAATAACGTACTCCATCTAATTTAAAAGTTATCCATTTTACGTATATCTTTGGTTTTAAGGTCAGAATTATATCGACGGTGGAAAGCAAACACGTAGTAACCCGCAAAACCAAAATTGTTCTTTAGAGCAGAAGAACGTTTATTTTTTTCGATAAATAATTCCTATAAACGTCCATGGTAACAAATGAGGTGTTCCTTAGTCAATTTATATGGAAATAAGATATTTGTTTTGGAAAAATATAAAGATTTTCCACTCTAAATATCCATTTTGGTTTTGCAGGTTACTATAATCTCCTTAATATTTCACAAATAACATAACTAAACAAATCACACAGTAGGTTTATCCTTGATAAGATTATGAACTAATTTTAAAAACATTGTTGCTTTTCATTTTTAATTCAGTAAAAAATGAAAAAACCCGCTAAGTAACATGACAACTACTATTTTAAAATTATATCATCTATTATATCAATCGAACTGAAGTTGTCTAAATGAGCCTTCGATCCCAAAGAGGTCTTCTGCAGTCCTGGGCTTGCCGGGCCTCTTGCTCTCATCTGAGCAATACTTTATATCTTCTTCCAACCACGGCCAGTACGCCTCTGCTTTCTTCTTCCAGTAATCTAAGAAGACATATAAATAATAATAAAAATCTACAGAAAATCATTATTGTTGATATCGCAAATATCTAATCAATTTTCATGGCGGTTTATTAAGGTATATGTATGTGTCATTATTTGTTCTTATGTGTAGTATATTCCCGCGTTACCATTTGGCTTTGACATAACAATCTATTTTACAAATATCTTATTATAAGGATATCAAATTTTATTTGGTTGTCGGTATTCACATTACTTTTAAAATGAAAGTAATTATTGGACGTTCCCGAAGTAAAGAGTTGTGACAGCTGGACGGACAACAAAGAGATTATTTAAGGATTTCGTGTATATCATTTTGAGATACAAAGCCGTAAAATTGAAGCGTTTCTAGATGTTACATAAGTGAACATATATAAATATTCAAAAGACCTGTTATTTCCCTCACTGTTCCTCCTTTACCCCCATACTCCACCGGAAGTATGGACTGTGGTACATATTTGTACAATTCTTCAAAATTGTTATTATGAACATGTAACTGAAAAAAAGTAATAAACAATTAACAAAACGGCAATAAAGTAAATTTTATTTTATTGAAACGTAATAAAAGCTTAGGTTAATATTCACATACACCACACATAGAGAAAGAGAGAAAGAGAAACACTCATACACTATGAGACATTGAATTGCTTTTCATGTCTCTTCACAATTCACCATAGTCATCAGCTATTAATGTCCCTACTGCTGGGGCTCAAAGCTATGGATGGAATCATGGACCCACCACACGGACCCATAGCGGAATGGTGGCTGTCAAAGATTTCAGATGCAGCCGAGATCAACAGCTTAACATGCCTACCGAAGCACACGAGAAGCTCGAGATAGCAAATTTTCATCACCCATTATATGACGGACCATAGCCAAAGTTGATTACCAATCGTTGATTACCAAAAACCAAAGACCGAACGCGCTGATTATTGCACTATCGAGCTCTTTAACCGACTTCATAAATCATCATCAGCATGTTTACTATACTGCAGGGGCTTAAGCCTTCTTTATAATTAAGGATATTTCACGCTGACTGAATGCGGATTGGAGTATATTGGCGACTGCACATGCAGCCGAGACCAACAGCTTAAGGTGCCTTCCGAAGCACGAGTAGTTCGAGATAATATTTTTGATCACCTATCCTGTGACTGACCCTTGCTAAAGTTCTTAACAACAACGTTCGTGATCCGCGGTGCTCATCCACTACGCCACCGAGCTACTTCACAATTATCAGCCTATTATTATCAATGTTGCATCTGTACAGAACAGTACAGAGCTAGAAGATATAAAGGGATAGCATTTATCTAGGATATCATCTAGCGTCACGAATTCATTAAAATATATATATGTATACGTACTCTATTCCTATTTTTTTCGTTCAGGAGAGCTTTAAACATATTGAATACAGTTTCAAATCCGGGTATTGTGTTTATATAATGGTGACTCTTCATCCTCACTGGAGCAGCATCCTGTCAGGGTATTGAAATAAAAATTTCTTTACTAAACTCAAGTTTCGTAAATTTTAACGTTTTCCCATTGAAATTCATCTAATTAGGATAATAAAGACCAAAAGTTACTCTAAAATTTCTTATTTTTATTTTTATTTTATTTTATTTTATTTTTAATGGTAGATCAACGGTTGCATAAATGAAATTACATATCGATACATAAATCAGATAACCAATTAAAGATCCACACAGTTAGCCTTAAAATTAGGTAACAATTTTGAGTTCACTCGGTAGTTGTGAGGTATGACAAGACACATATTACACAAAGGACACACGCAAATAATACATTTCTTCTTTATCCCTTATTTCTCGGATAGTTGCTCGCTTGTACTTTCAAAAAACATTTTCGACATCTTGGACCTTATTGACTCACAACTAGAGTTAAAAAGATCCAGATCCAAAATTGTGCTCAAATCATTAAAAGACTTACCCGCTCGTAATAGGAAAGTATTCCGTCTGTAATTTGTTTTTGAGAATGGAACATTCAACGGCTTGATATTTCGTAAATTTCTGGTGGGAACATTCAACTTCAACAGCGATAAAAGCTCAGGACAATCGATCGAACCAGAGGCTATCTTGGTAAGAAACGTAACATCCGCTATATTTCTACGTACCTTCAGTGGTAACAGTTGGTGTTTTCTACACAGATGATCATATTCAACGGAATGATAATTAATGCCAATGCGATAACACAAGTAATTTAAGAACTTTTTTTGTATATTTTCAAGCCTATCAATGTATACAGCGTATTGTGGGTTCCATATTTGCGAGGCGTACTCCAAACCACTACGAACGATCAAACAATATAGTATCTTGATTGTTTTAGCTTCAGTGAAATCTTTGGTGTTACGAATTAAGAAACCAAGAGCTTTCGTAGCTTTAGATACTATACTATCAATATGATCGTCATATAATAACTTGGAATCATGCACCACACCCAGATCACGCATAGAATGGACTCGTTGAAGACTCCGTTGTTGGAGAGTATAATTGAATTCAAGTATTTTCGGTTTACGAGAGAAGGTCATGACTGTGCACTTAATTGGGTTTAAAGCCAGTTTATTTAGAGTACAATAACCTTCGAGCCGCTTAAGATCTTCTTGTAAAAGTTTGGCTTCGTCAAGACTACGTATCTTTGCGAATATTTTCATGTCATCTGCGAAGCATAACAGTTTTGATGTATGTAAACATAAGTCAATATCATTCACAAAAATGCTGAACAGCAATGGCCCAAGCAGCGACCCTTGAGGCACACCACTGGGAACCGTGACCCAGCTGGAGATATAATTGTTTATAAATTTAGGTTTTAATTTCTAAAAACATATTGGCAAAAAATACCGTTTTGAATATGAAATCATTATCACCAACCTATTATTTTCCCCACTGCTGGGGCTAAAGCCTTTCCTATGGATGGAATCGCATCAAATCAAATAGGGAGAAAGGACCATGACCCACCACCTAAGGACGCGCGGGTGTTATCGACTGCAGATGCAGTAAGAGGACGTAAGTAAGTAAGTGTTATCGACTGCAGAGGCTTAACGGAGCTCGAGTAAAAAAAAATTGGTCACCCATCCTAAGATCGGTTCTAGCGATAGTTGCTTAACAACCGCATAGTATAACAGACCAGCTCGCTAACTACTGCGCCACCGAGCTCCAATAATCTAATGTGCTGTAAAATTATATCCATATTTGCACATCATTAGGAACTAGTTATACTACTACGGTTAAATTTGTGGACTGAATTGCTGCAAGTAGATCTTCTTACGTAAGAAGAAATTCAAAACATTACCTACCTGCATGTAAACTGTCATTTTCTTAGCCATCGTCGGACTCATTTGTAGAAAATGAGCCATTGTACAATTCTCTAAATCCATTATGCCCCTGATACCCGCTACAACTGCGTTGTCATTCTCATACAATATTATCTGCATGAAATACAACAATATCAGTAAACAATTCTCTTATACCTCTTATAAAGAAAAGATTCAGATTTTTCATACTAGTAAAAATAAGTATTATAGCTGCCATAGAATATGTCATAGCAATCAATATAATTAAACAACCGACATAAACTACAAACAATAAAATATTTTTAGTATTAGGGATAAAGTCCAGAAAATTGTATAATATTAACATAAGTAATATTTACCTTTTGAATAATTATAGAACACTTTATCATATCCAACATGTCATATTTATGAGGATCGTAGACTCCCGACCTATATATAGTGACCATTGGTTCTGCTGGTCCCGGAGGTTTCGGCAGATGAACGACTGGCCTATGAAAAAGTTTTTTCAAGTACCTTTGAATTGACGAATATATTTTTTTCTACTCGTTCGTTCGTAGGACATCTTTCAATTGATAACTGAGACTAATGCAACTATTTTACGATATGATCACTAATGCTTGGCCACATCATGAAGCAATCATACGATCTAAGTTTTTACCATTTCATGAAATGGGCAGCCGCATCATGAAGTAGTTAATTCTACGATCTGACCACGACATATAGGTATATTGAAAAGCAACTCTTATTATGTCTATTTCTTTGATTTATTATCTCAAAGAATCCTTAATCCTTAAATTTTAGTTTAATCTAATAGCTCTCTTATTTTTGTCACGCCAATATGCTTATTTTTTCAAGTTTGAAATATAAGATAATCGTAAATCTCCAAAAAGTCTATTATTGTTTGTCTAATACATACCCTAAGTCCATGATTTCATTAAAATATTCAATGGTCGGCATCGTGTTGAAAAGGTATGGCTCGGTACTCCGCAGTGTATAATAGAGATCTAATTTCTGTTTTGCCTTTTCCATGCTGTACTTACATCCTCGCAAAAATATCACCAGCCATTGATCGTCTGTAACAATACTTAGATGAGTTTAGGAGAAAATTACAAATTAAAAGTTATGATATGACATAGGGGCATGTAACTGTATCTTGATATATCCATGTTCTAAAGAAGCAATACTATTGTATAAATCTGTACAACCGGCTAAAAGGAAGACAAGTAAATTTTGTAAATATACTTATTTATTCATAATATATGTGACATAAATTCTCATAATTTATATCACATATGAACAAATTAGGTGACATATAAACGGACAAAACCTAAAAGGCTAAAAAAAAGAAAAAATAAACTGACTTCAATAAAAACGTTATAGAAAAGAAACAATTGAAAGGTAAATAATGCCACATTTTTTTATTATCTTATATAAAATTGTAACACTAAAAGTGGATATCCAACAATAGGGATAACGACTGGGTAAAAAAAACCCTGGTTGGCTGTATCATTGATACAGCCATATTTTATGCGTGGATACGTCTATGTATGAATGAATATATGAGTAATTGATAAAAAAATAAATAAACAAATTGAAGACACTAAACACTAAATAAATAAATATTCGATGCGTTCATTTATTGAATGAAAAAAATATTCACTAGCGCCAACAGATGGCGTTAGTGCATATACTCCTGCTGACAGAATGCCCCTCCCCTTGCAGAGCAAGCATAGTTCACTTATACGCCAATAGATGGCGTTAGTGCATATACTCCTGCTCACAGAATGACCTCCCTGTAGAACGAAAACATAGACGTATCCACGTCAAAATGCAATTCTATTTAGTCTATCAGTCAGATAATAGAAAAATATTAAATACGTATTCTTTTTACTCCAATTGAACAAGAAATAGCTAAGATAACAGGCATTCAAATTGAGGAGTGGGGGCTCGCTACGTCACAGTTTAGTAGAAAACGTACCATAACGTGACGTCAGGCGAAATTTCAACTCCATGTATCGCCGTAATTTTATGATAACGAAAAAAATAAAAAAACGTATTTAATATCTGTTTTCAAAATAATCTTTGAAAATTGTTGATTTTTATTGTGTTACGATTTTAGTTAAGATTAAATTTTTGTGGTATTATTACTCTCCCATTTAAATTTTTTTCTTTTTATTTCGGTTTGCATATCTAATTTGGCACGTGTTTAGAAGTCCGTACAAACCAACATACACGAATGAAATGACATGTCAAATTAATAACCTCCAAATCAATGAAATGAAAATGTTTTTATTCAAGTAAGCTTGTTACAAGCACTTTTGAATCGTCCAAAAATATTTTTTTCGCTACCACTTGTTCAGGACGTCATTTAGCTGACAAGAAGAACAAGCGAAAGAAACTTACCAGCTTTTTATCATAAGTAATGACATTTACATAAATCATGTCATTACCAAAATAATACATATACAGTAAAAGCTCTTTATTCGCGCTTCCTTCATTAGCGTTTTCACTATTCCCGGATTGAAAAAATGCGACTCAAGTCCCATATTCGCGGCTTAAAATTTCCTTATTCGCGGATTGAATCGGTACATCGGTATATTCATATAATAATATATCCCTAAATAAAAAGCATTCGGTATCATTTGTCAGCAAGTGGACTAATAAAGAGATAAATAAAATAAACCTTATTACAACTACGCCTAGATTGTGTTTTCAAAAGAAAAGACGGCTTTGCGTCAACCTTTGGACCAAGGAATAATCCAGACCTTTAAGCTCCATTACATAAGACGGACCTTCAAAATCATACTGGATAATATGGAATGTGATCCTGATATGAATGTTATGGAATGCTGGAAGAAATTTGACATAGCAAAATGCATCGTAAACATACAAGAATCATTGCAAGAACTGAAGCCACGCACATTGAAATCATGCTGGAAAAAACTATGGCCGGTTCTGACTGCTGAAAATGAGGAAGAAATTAAAACTTTAACTGTAAACATTGCCGAAATTGCGAGAGGAATAGGACGAGATGGATTCGAACAAATAGAATCAAGTGATATTCAGGAGTTGCTCGAATAACAAGATGAAGATTTGTCTGAAACCGACTTAGAGGAAATGTTAAATTCACAAGCTTTGTGATTTCTTTATGAAAATAGATCCATCAATGGAACGAAGTCTAATTTTTAAGAGGCAAATTGCTAGTGCCACTTCTGAATATCAGTGTGAACTGAGAGAGCTCTTGAAGTCTGCCAAGCAAGAAAAAAATCACAAAATTTTTAAACCATTGCCTAAACTTGAAGATATTATGTAACGTGTGTATATATGGTCAAAAACTTAAATTAAACTGATTTTTTATGTGTTTGCTTTTTTTATTTCGTCGCCTAGGAACGTATCCCCTATAATTCTATACTAAATGCCATCCCGTATTCGCGTTTTCTGTATTCGCGGCCTATTTAAGGAACGTAACCCCCGCGAATAAGGAGCTTTTACTGTATTGAACAATAATAAATACAAGTTTCAAAGTCTGTAGGACATAGGTTGGTACATACCTGTAATTAGTCGTTATAGAACGGATCGAAGGCTATTAATTCCGTGCATTGCGGTCCTTAAAATAATCATCAACTGTATGATAGCCCTTACTCATAAGTATATTCTTTATATGAATTTGAAATTTATTAATGGGTAGCTCAATAACATTTTGTGGAACTTTATTGAACATAGCAATACATTTACCCAGAAATGATCCTCTGGTTTTTTGAAGTCTGAAGCTTGGAACGGCAAGTTTATCTTTATTTCTTGTGTTAAGATTATGAACACTACATTTTTTTGTGAAGGAATCGTAATGTTTTCTTGTGTACATAATATTCTCATAGATGTAACAGTGATGTGGGATGGTCACCGGTATACTTGTATGACAAGCTTAATTTCTCTTGTCGTGCAGTCAGGAATGCTACTCGTCTTTTATATCAACGACATAACACAGCCGCAATAACATTCCTCCACCTTTTAAACAATTTCGTGCCATCAAAACATTTAAAATTAAATTAAGAGAACATCTTCTTGATTTACAAAAGCTGATTTGAGTGTTGTGTTGTGTAATTTATATACAAATTTATTATTTAAATCGCATTCTCTATAATATTGTATTTTATGCATGGTTTATATAATACTTATTTACGTATCTAATTTAAATATTTGGGATGACTATTTCATGTAAATATTTATGTATGGTGCATAGTAGTGACTTCTCCTCTCCTCATCTGGTGTCCATGGAAGATCAGCGTCGAGGTATCTTAATGACAACTCGGCACTATGCTGAATGGATACCTTTTTAGAGCCACGATGTGTGTTTATGTATTCACTCAATTTGATATTTCAGTATTGTGTGGTTGCTAAATAAATGAATTATTATTATTATTATTATGTATTGAGAGGCAACAGTCAGAATATTTATTTCTTTAAATATTTCTCTGAGAGATTCCCTAGACCGTAAATTATATATAGCACGGACAGCTCTCTTTTGTAGAATAAAAATATCCTGAATGCTAGCCGCAGAACCCCACAACAATATCCATTTCAACATTTGTCAAGAGTCTAATTTTCTTAACATCAAAAGCTGCTCAACTCAGTCTACTTGACAAGCTATCAATATGAGGATCCCATTGCAGTCGGGAATCTAGTGTAATACCAAGGAACTTTGTCGATTCTACTAACTCAACTTTTTCACTACCTACTTACATTTATAAGTGTACTGACATGCCTCTCATTAGGTAATGCAAACTTTATGCAGTTCATTTTATTTGAATTACGCTTTAAATTATTATTATCAAACCACTGTAGAACATTGTCGAGAGCATTATTAACATCGTCAAAACAATCATTACCCCTCTAAACTTTAAAGAGTAAAGAGGTGTCATCTGCAAATATTTTTTTTTTTTTTTTATGTATAGGAGGGCAAATGACTGCGCTCCACCTGATGGTAAGCGGAGGCGTAGTCCAAACGTGAGGACAGCTAGTGAAAACAGTACGTAGGTACTGCACTAGCCAACCTCACCTTGCCGGCCTGCAAGGTGCTTCTTCACGCCCCGCTTGAAGCACCCCATGTCATAGGAAGGAGGGAATACATGGGCCGGGAGACAATTCCATTTTTTGGTAGTACGACAAAGAAATGAGTCGCCAAATTTCTTTGTACGCGAAGGAATCGCTGCCACAGTTAGTTGGTGGCAACGCAAACCAGCACGTGTGGTCCTGAGGAGGAAGGGAGATGGAGGGATAAGCGAAAAGAGTTCTTCAGAGCATTCACCATGGTAGAGACGGTAGAAGACGCTGAGCGAAGCAACGTCTCGGCGCAGTTGCAGGCTTTCTAGGTTCTTGGTGACTTCACCATTGCCAATAATGCGTACTGCGCGGCGCTGCAATCTATCCAAAGCATCGAGTAAGTACCTAGCGGAGCCATCCCAAAGGTGCGAGCAATACTCCACGCATGACCGGACCTGCGTTTTGTATAGCAGGCACAGTTGTTCGGGCGTGAAAAAACGCCGCACCTTATTCAGGACACCGAGTTTACGAGATGCTGTTTTAATAACGGACTCGATGTGGTTTTTGGGATTCAGATCACAGCGCACTTCCATCCCGAGCATGTTGATGCTGCTCTGTAGAGGCAAGGTTGTGCCCTGAAGAGAGGGAAGGGAAGGGAATGGAGGGGTCTTGGCGGTAAATACGCAAACCTGAGTTTTCTTGGCATTGAACTCAACCAGATTTTCAGCACCCCATTTCGATATGAGATCCAGAACGTGATTGAGCTCAATGACAAGATTCTCCCTTTTCTCCAGGATTTCCGCCCGTCCGACTGTAGGAGCCCCGTGATATCCCACATGCACTGTGCTATCGTCTGCATAGCAATGGATATTTCCAAGTGGAAGCATGTCATTGATATGCAGCAGAAAAAGTGTAGGGGATAGAACGGAGCCCTGAGGCACACCGGAGTTGACTGACATAAGCTGTGAAGAGCATCCGTCAGAAAGAACACGGATTTTACGCTCACGCAGGAAGTCGGCTATCCAGGTGCAGAGTTGAACGGGCAGACCGTAGGCCGGAAGCTTGGAGAGAAGTCCCTTGTGCCAAACCCTGTCAAATGCCTTAGCAATGTCAAGACTGACAGCCAAGGACTCGCCGCGCTTGTCGATAGCTTCACCCCAGAGGTGCATGACGTGCGCTAGAAGATCACCAGTTGATCGTTTTGGTCTAAAGCCATACTGACGATCATTTACAAATAATACTGTCTCGCACAAATTCTTCGTAAAGTGAGGAAGATCATTAATATAAATCAGAAAAAGCAATGGTCCTAATACCGATCCCTGAGGTACTCCTATAGTAACTGGTGCCCCTGCAGATTTCGCTTCATTAATAACTACTTTTTGAATTCTAGCAGAAAGATATGATTTTATTATATTAAGTGAATTTTTCGTCACACCATAATGCTCTTATTTCCCCAACAGTGTTTCATGACTAACGCAGTCGAATGCTTTTGAATAACCATAATAATGTTCCAGGTAGGTACCCGGCTATGAAATGTTATATATTCATTAACGTTCTTTTTGGTGCCAAAATCTAATGCAATTAACATAGAAGTGTTTCATATCCATATTGACTTGTCTATTTTAGAATTTGGTCGACTGCAAACTGGGTAATATTTCATTCCGGCTAATAATGATGCCGGTAAAGAAAATTCAAAAGTAAAAAAGAAGGTACACAATAATAAAGTGATCGTTATTACGAATCGACTCTCTTTATATCGGCCGTAGCTGATAAGAATAGTTTTTAGGATTTGAGGTTTTATGCATTTCCCTTGTATCCACCACTGGGCCGATATTGTGATTTATCAATAACACAGATTAGGGATCGAGCCTCTCGACTATTTTATAAAAAAAGACAAACAAACGTAAAAATATGCTGCCTAGACGATACCCGTAACTCTTTTTCTTCAAAAACAAATAAAGTAAAATAACTCTTATAAATAGCTTTAATCGTTTTTTTTAGGCAAAATTGTTAATGATTTAGGTATAAAACGTAATATTATTTCATATTATGTGTATCTGTGAAAGAGAATCGGATTTTTTTCCACTGTATTTCTTCATTTTTGCGAAGCTTTGTACTGTCTCGGTGAGAGTCGATTGAGTATTGGAACGAAGAACGAGTCAACTAAGCCAAACGTCTCAGTTGTGGAAGCTTCGCTTTAAAGGTATGAGTTACGTACCTACTACATATTAATATCATTGTTTATAGTCATTAAATATTTTAAAACTAGAAGTAAGGATTAGGTATATCTACAACTAATTTTCCGCCAGCGGGTTCACCTGCGTGGTCCTATATACACACAATCACTTGTCATATTCGCTTTTAAACTATCGCGCTGCATTATCACATACTTATAACAACGGTTATACTCATTAAACTGATGAAAACCGTATTAAAATCCATTCCATAATTTAAAAGGTCGTAAAGACAGCGGAAAGCGACTTTTTATAATTCTATCTGTAAATGTACAACTACAATAGGTACCTGTATTAACATTGAGATGTGGTTGCTTCGCCAACCAGTCCTTGAGGTGTCGCAAACCATCTTCTAACCTCTCTGGATCTTCATTTAACTCCTCTCTTGCCTTTTTCGCCAACTCAGGGTTTAAAGGTCGAACTGGCATAATAGTTTAATAAAAAATAAAAGAAACAAATCCTACATAGGTTTCCTTAGAAATGAATTATGTTCCTCGTCTATTAATCAATATCATATTGATATTGCGTTTTATCAATGATTTGTTATCTGCTTAATCCAAAGTAAAGGTTATATACTTCATTTATATAATAAATAAAATTATTAACTTTATTGCATGAATGTGTAAGATTGTTACATATAGTTATCTAATATAAAATATTTCTAGAAGATGATAAGCTCATATTATGCAGCCAGGCTAAATAAAAATAAAAGTTGAAGAATAAAATATAATTATATATAAAAAAATTAAACTTAAATGTACATTTTGTCAGAATTAAAAAGATAAAATGCCAAAAATTGATTAATAAATTTAATACAAATCATAACGGTGATAATTTACTTTCATTATACGGCTTGTTTATTGCAATAGTGTTTTTTTTTAATGTGTAAACCAACTAATTATACCCACGTTATATGTAAAAAAACTTGAATTAATTCAATATATAATACCTATGTTCGACATCCCACTCATTTATTGTCTTCCCTCTGAATATATTTGAATTTTTATATATTTGATAATTTTTTTAATATTGTCACAATGCAGTTATAAATATCTGTAGTGAAAAAATATATTAAATCACAATGTTACCTATCTAAACTTCGATCGAATAACCATTTTCTGGTTCACCAAAGAAAACCGAGAGCGTTAAGAGATGGCGCTGTTCTGATTTATTCGATGAGTGTAAATAATGTAATAAAGTTAGTTTATTTACTTTGCGTTTTTAAATATCTTCATATGTATAAATTAATAAATCATTTGAAGACTTTAAGCGCAATACATATCGTCCTAAATTTATAAGGTCATTCATATAAAATAAAGTAATAGAATTAGAACACCAGCGCCATCTATTCTTCATAATCAAAACTGATAAGACTGATGACTTTAGATTTGTTTTTTTCTGATTGAATAGTAACAAGACTACCTAATTAATATGATAAATCATCGTCGACAAACATTCATACACGATGTTGTCTAATTTTGATTTACAATATTTATTTATTTAAAGCAGATTTTTATTCTGGGATAAAAAAAAATTTAAGAAAGACTTTCAAATATTGTCAAAGACCATATAAATTAAACAGGCGTCTATTCAACATTCGAACGACCAACGTGTACCAACGTCATTTTATTCATTTTATTTTTTATATGGATAGTGGTGGTGAAAATAAAAATATCGCCAAAGTGGTATGTTTAGGAATGAGCGCGTGAAGAATTTGTATGAAGATTAGTTATACTGAAGTTAAAGTTGTACTCGAAAGTTGCCGCTGATTTTACAGATTTTAGTATGGAAACCATACAAAAATCTTAACGCGATCACAATTGTAGTTAAAATTTTAACCAGAGGATAGTCTCAAAATGGAACAGACATTAGACAAAAATTTACTGAAGTTGTAATTGTAATGTACTCGTAATTATGACGAAAACTAGTAGTACCTACTAATTAGCTGACATGTTCTACTTCTACCATAACATGAACAATTAAATGGTGTTATTTTTATTTTTTGCTGTCTTTTTAATGATTCTTTAAAAAAATACGAGTACAAAGAAATTAGTTAAATCATATTAATCTGTATTTTAAATATGTGTACATAAATAACCTAAATTAAATAAACCTGGCTGAACCTATGGACATCTCATTGAAATTAGAAAATTAATCCAATTTTTTTTTTTACTTTTTATCACCGTTTATTATTTATTTACAAACATCATAATGTTAATCATTTAATCAAATTGTAGTTGTCTAAACGATCCGTCAGTTCCAAACATATCTTCCGCTGTCCTCGGCTTACCAGGTCTTTTTGATTCGTCAGTTCTATACTGCAAATCTTCATCGAGCCAATCGCTATAATTATTTACCCTTTCTTTCCATAAATCTGAAAAAAAAGCAAGTGAGTATTAAAACTATAAACAAGTATTTATAACAAAATAGTATAACCTTATTTATACAAACCTATAATCTCTCTTGTAGTTCCACCATAACCACCGTATTCTTTGGGTAGTATTTCTTTCGGTATGTACTTGTACATGTCTTCATAATTTCTATTGTGCACAAATAGCTGTAAACACACAAACAAAAACTTTGTAGAGGTGGCGGAATTTTGACGTCTAATTCTAGCATTACTCGTTAGAACTATGCGCTAGAGAGAATTCAGTATGACAATTCGTAATTTTAGTGATTACCAGTGGTCGGAATTAGGTAGAGTTATTCATGTACTTACACTGATTTCATACAGCGAAAGAATAAAGTGGATATGCCTCAAATCCCGAGATTAATTTTAAAGAGCAGAAAAAATCCCGTGATTTTTTAAATAAAAAGTTATTTACTTTTACACAATTTAAACTACTGCACGCACGACGTTGCCAAACTTACATCAATGAAAGAAAGAACTAAAGAAAGAAGAAATAAAAAAATAAAGAAATCCCGGGAAGGTCCACATTAATATCAACATTTCGATGCAAGTACATAAATAACTCAACCTAATTCCGACCTCTGGTGATTACTCATCATCAGCTCTTTTTATGTTCCCACTGCAGGGTTAACCTTAACCCTCCACGCTAGCCAAATGTGGATTGGAGGGTATTAACGACTTCTAATTCAGCGTGAACTAACAGCTTATCGTTCTTTCCGAAGCACGGAGTAACTCAAGATAATAATGTTTAAATTTTTTTTTTGATCACCCACCCTTGCGGAAGTTGCTTAGCAACAACGATCACAAGCCACATCACTTATCAACTACGTCACTGAATTACTTATTATTAGAACATTATAATAATCACCATTAGGAACTCCTTGGAGGAAGAAAATGTGTACGGAATACTATTTCTAGTATGGAATATTTGCTTTTGGGGTAAGTTTGTAATGTATCAATAAGCCTAGCAAGTCTGCGATCTGCATGCTGATTCACTTTGCTTATTTTAAAGTTTTGTTTATTTCTATTAAGCATAATCTGGGAAAGAATTCTATTGCATTTCAAATTAAGGATAATATTCCATTATTGATTACTTTCCTCTTCTAATTACTTACGCATTAGATATTAAGGGTCAAAGTGAGAAATCGTACTCCCTTTTTAGATATCAATGGAATCTAATATAAATTTCGAGTAAGACGAGAACATTCGTTCAGGACGTCTTTTGGCTGATGAGAAAAACAAACGAGAAACTCACGAACTTTAACAGAATTTATATTTACTCAATTTCATCATTATCGGCCCTTTTACGTCCCCACTGCAGGGACTCAGACCTTCTTTATGGATAGCTAAGGAGGATGGGCCATGACCCTCCGCCATGACGCTGTCCCAATTCGGAGGGTATTAACAACTGCAAATGCAGCCGCGACCAATGGCTTATCGTGCCTAGCGAAGCACGGACTAGCTCGAGATAATAATTTTTGGTCACCCATCCCGTGAAAGTTGCTTAACAACAACGATCGTGGGCTCGGCGCTTATCTACTACGCCACCGAGTTGCTCAACCTAACACTTTGTTAATCTCTAATAAACACAACCTGGAACTCGGACGTCGCGCACAGTTCTATCTACGAGATTCAATGTAATTAAAACTTTATTGCCTTTTAAAGTAGGTTTTAATTAATTGAACCTCTGTGCTGTGATAACGATGAACTCAACGTTGAGTTACAATAGAATAGTACTGCAGATGCGGGAAAGTCTAAACAAAAACTGAAATTAATTTATTTCTGTAAACTAAGTGTAATACTGAATGCTTACTCTCGAATACTGCGCTTATCGATTTGTGTCATTCGTAATCGTTAAATACTTCTATTATTTTACGATAACGAATAACGAATTTTACGGTAACATATTTTTTTGCAATCAAGATTAAAATCGACCTTCTTGATTACAAATCTGTTACAATTAATTATTATCGTACTTACTCTACTTCGACTTTTCTCATTCAACAATGCTTTTAAAGCATTTAAAAACATCTCAAACCCTGGTGGTACGTTAATGTAATGGGTGCCTTTCATACGGAATGGATTGACATCCTGAAATCAATGATCAATAAAACTTATAAAATATTTATATCGACATGTTTTTTGCGCACTTCTCACTAAATAAAACTACTTTTAAACGGTACCTGTCTAGTGAACTATGATCCGTTTAAAAGCAGTTTTATCTAATATTTTGCAAAAAAAAAGTTACTTAGACAAGAAAAGCTGGACTATTTTTAAACAACTTAAAAAAAGGAGGTTCTCAATTCTGTATGTATGTTTATTTGTTAATGACTGTATGTTTATTTATTTTTTTGTGTGTGTTTGTTACGCGATTACTCCAAAAACAAAACAAAATATGCTTTTCATCAGCTTAAAAACAAAAGATAGCGTACTTTCCATTATTCAAAATCCGAAGGAGGAATTTTTATGTTCAAAGTGTATATATAATTTTTATGCAAGTAGGTATGTTCATCATCATGGTTACGTTGTGCAAATAATAATAATTTCAGGAAAAATTAAGTAAATATGATTTCTTTTATATAGACATTCAATATTTTAGTGATACCTATACAAAATATTTGTATATAGTACCTATATTGGTATCACTAAAAATAATTAAATAAAATATTTAAAAAAAATAGAACCGACTTCAAACTTTAAAAATGTAATAAATAATACCATAAATGTTTAAATGTTTTATTATTATTTATTTATTTATAAAAATTACCTATTGTGACTATAACAGAAGCTTTTTCCGCCAGGTTTGTTATTATAATATTTATAATTTAAATAAACTATAACTATCAAATTAATATTACTTCGAGAAACCCTTTATGTGATTAATACGAAATTGTGAATATTCACAATGGAATTTTCGAAGGATGTACAAAGTTCAAAACAGATAAAAATGTTTAAACAGCCGACGAATATATAAATAATCTCACAATACGATAGGAACTATTACGAGGAATCTATTTTATTGTTTTACATACAGAACAGATAAAAAAAGGTTTTACACATGTTACTTCAAGATTATTTTGTTTGATCATTTTTATTACTTATAATAATTATATCAAAAATATATTTTTTTAATGATTAAATCTAATAAAATCTTCATTTTATATTGTTATATTCTGTCTTAACTTTGTATTATAAAAAAGAGGTACATTAAAAACTACTATTTTTTTAATAATAATATGTTAAAAAACAAACCTAAAATAACAGTCCACAATTATTATTTTACAAAGAAACAAAATAAGGAAACAATCACCTGTAGAGATATAACTAATTTCTTCATCTGTATCGGTGTCATCTGAAGAAAATGGCCCATTGTGACGCCTTCTAAATCTAGGATTGCTCTTATGCCAGCAATCATGGCATTGTCATCTTCCATTATTATTAACTAAAAAGACGTAAAAAGGTTTGATATATTTTCTCATATTATTTTGACTATCTCCAAAAAAAAGACAAGAAAACAATTGAAATTAAAAAAATAATATACACAAATCAGTTTCTGGTGGTTATTGAAAGATAACAGTACTATAATTTCAAAATAATAGCACGCATGTTTAAAAAAAATGGTTTTATTCTAAATCTAAAGTTTCGTTGTAATACTATCCTTTCGAAGATATGTAAATCGACAGCATAATGATTAAATAAATAATATGATAGTCATAAATTTACCTAAAATAAAAGAAAGTTGAACTTTTGACGGTTATTGATAATTAGACATAGTAAAAACAAATATAAAACTGTTACTTAATCACTTTACACAGTTACATCAACAGAACAGATAAAAAGCGTTTTATTCTCAATTTAGCGTTTTTTTCCTTTTTTTATGGAGTTTAATCGGGACACTTGTGAAGAGACTTTTAAATAATAAAAAATGGTTATAACCTAATCTAACGTAACCACCTGTCCCTAATTTAACGTGCTAACTCTGTTCTACATGAAGAAAATCGAAAAATAAATGATTTACGAAAGCAGTCTTTTTCCCTCAACGCCCAGTTATGTATGCATATTGATATCACTAGATATTTTTCCGCGACTTCGCCCACGTAAATTGTAGCTTATATCACCCGAGTATTGTGTAGCTTCCTGCAGAGAAAAGAATTTCCATGACCAGATCACCGTATTTCCTACGATTATCCCCTACAAACAAACAAAGTTAGGAAGTTTACCTCTTTGTATTATTAGTTTAGATTTAAAAAAATACTGGTTACCTTTTGCAAACTGTTGGATACAGATATGATATCAGATACTGTGTACTTGTTAGGATCGTATCTACCGGGCCGTACAATTGCCACTCTGGGTTCGGTGGGTCCCGTTAATTTCGGTAATATCAATACACATCTAAAATGTAAATAAAACTATAATATTTTATCAAATTTGCATTCACAATGTTGTACTGAAAGATATTCTTGATTGAGATGCTGGCATGGGTTTGAATCAAATCTCTGAGTTCCAGGAACAAAGTGGATTATTTAAGCATTTTTTAAATAAGAATATGTAAATAAAACGTCTAGTAATTACATAAACAATAACATTAAAACCATCTATAAGTACAGTCAACAGCACGTCAGATTATACAAATCTACCAATTTTTTCCACTTGCATTTAAAACCGTAATGCTCCGAAGATAGAGTTTAACAACAATAGAAACTTAACATATTTTCGCCAACTGACGTGCAGCCAGTCATACGTCTGTTAAAATATATTTAATAATATAGTGCTATACACATACTTTCATATGTACTCACTCTTTACCACTATTTTTTGCTAATACCACCACTTGAAAATACCTCCAGATTTCAACTGCATTAAAGTTTTTATTTGATTTCTTTTTGTTGAATAAAAAAAATAATTTAGGAACAAATATCCAGGTCACAAAAATCATATTTTCTAGAATACACATACACCATTGAAATTATTTAGTAAAAGAGAATTAAAAACGCAGTTGCAGTTACTTGAAAAGTTTCGTTATTTAAACCTTTCTTAAAAAATAAAAAAATACGTCGCACATAGTTTTTCTAAATCAAGCAGAACTTTTGCTTGATGTATACACATCTAATTTGTTCCCGCCAAATACTACTTTTTTATTTCATTTACTAGCTGTTTTTTTACTTGAATTTTAAAATTCGGTCCAATTATTTCGACAACAAGTAATCAATAATTTCTTTCCTCTTTATAATATTAGTATAGAAACGTTTATCTAATGGTTTTCAAATAACTTACCCTAAATCGAATATTTCAGTAAACAGCGGATCTTTATGTGTTATTTGAAATAGATCTTTTGCGGTGTTCCTTACTGTATAATGATAATCCAATTTTTCTTTAGCTCGAACTAAACTGTATTTGCATCCACGAAGAAACGCTACCAGCCATTGATCATCTATAAAATATAAACAAACGCAAAAATGACAAGACAAGATTATTTGAACAACAAATCGAGGACTATTTTTCTGCCTTTTAATAAATCATAAGCTAATAAAAAAGGAATAAGCACTTAACAAAAAGAATTAACTTGTATAAAGTTTTCGAAATAAACATAACAAGGCTTAATCTACTGCATTTTCTAAAAATGTATTTTTTTAATAATTATAAATTTAATAGCATTTTTCATAAGGAATATTTCCTGAATAGCATTGTAAATGCAAAACTGATCAAATATAATTAACTATAAATTTATTATTCTTACCAGTTCTAGCATGTATGTGTGGTTGTTTTTCTAGCCACTTTTTAATATGTTCTATACCTTCTGCCATCCGTTCTGGGTCTTCGTTTAACTCCAATTGAGCCTTCATAGCTAAATCGGGTGATAATTGACGAACTGGCATATTGTTTGGTACACTAAATAATTTCTAATAAATTATGTATACGTCAACTCTCTTTAAATAGGAATACACGATTCGTGAAGTTGTACCGTAAAATCGAACGTTTACCTTTATCAAGATAAGCGTATCTCCCTTGTATATTTACTTCTAAACAATATGTTAAAACAGTTATTGAACCTCTTATTGATAACTATATAAAATATCTTGTCTGGTAAGACCACTTTATTAGTATACTTCCTTGTCACAATCTTTCAATACTTCCGACTGAATTTAATTGAACAGGCAATAAAATAAAGTTATTTTAAATTACTTTTCCTGTAATTTAAATTTGTACATATGTAAAAATAAAAAAAAAATCTTGAAACTAAATAAAAAGTAATACATTGTAAAGATATCAACTACCTACTAGTGGAAAAATATAATAGTAATATGTTTTTTCTGGATTGAACGAATGAATGAATATTCTTTCTTGCACTATGAAACAAATCCAAAAAGTACATTATACTAGATATAGCAACACAAAAGGCAGTCTTATTGCTAAGATAGCCATCTTTACCAGCTGACCCTAGGCTAAAAGAATATTTATAAATACAAATGCATATACTGAAATAAATAAATAAAATATACGATAATTAAGTAGCAGATAGTGTCGAGGCTGCATTTGCAGTCGTTAATACCCTCCAATCCGCATTGGGCCAGCATGGAGGGTCATGGCCCATCCTCCTTAGCTATCCATAAGGAAGGCCTGAGCCCACAGAACATAGAGTGCCTGAGCCCCTGCAGTGGGAACGTAAAAAAGCTGATAATGATGGTGATGAATATTATAAAGAGTAATTAGATTGATTGTTTCGTCGGATAGGCATCGAAACTTACTGAACCGATTTAAAAAATTCTTTCACCTACGGAAAGCTAACTGTAACATAGGCTATAATTTACGCGAATGCGGTCGCGGGAAAACGGCTAGATTAATTACCTTTTTATCAACTAGATAAAAAGGTACTAAAACTTAAGCGAACAAAATTAGTTCAATGGAGCGCAGGCGTATCTTTAGATATTGTGTTTGCATATCAAAAAATTGGTCGAGAGCAAGTCGGGCTCGCAAATATCAAATTTAAAGAACTATTGACTTCTAATTAATTTATCTGTAATATCTAAATATATAACTATCTCTGGTATTATTTAATACCAACCAAGAAGTTTTCTAAATCAGTAGCGATAATAGTAAATTTATATTTTTCCCTAAATGATTTGAAAACTATTTGTTCCAAAATATTTTAATACCACAAAATTTTTGGAATTACCTTTAATCTTTTTATTTGATATTTCAGATAGTATAAAAATAGTAAACCTTTTTTTTATTTTGTTGTAATGAATCAATAACGGCGATACATTTAATTAAAATGTCGCATGACTTCACCTTATACCTTATACTTTTCACCTATTACCTTAGTACATTTTCTACATGGTTGTTACCTAATTGTAATTATCAATGTAAATTATCTAAACTATTTCTTGTTGAAGTGAAGCAAATTAGTATCTAATATTTTTCTATTATGTGACTGACGGACAAAATATAACTTCTTTTCTTTTATCCTGGCATCATCCCTATTCATTGGATAGCTATGACTGATGAACAGAACGACAGACAACTACCGAGTGATCCTCGATGGGTGTCGATTTTACTTTTAAGCTATCGAACCCTAAAAATTTTATAATGGCACGATATCCCTATCACAACCTACATATCAGCCCCCTTACTCTTGAATACAAACGCGACCGATCGCCATTGTAGTCTTGATTGTATACACTAACGTCATAATATACTAAAGAACAAATCAAGAGTGCGGAGCGGCACAATTTTTTTTTTAATATCTTTATTCAAGTTGGCTATTACAAGCACTTTTGAATCGTCCAAATTTTTTCCCCTACCACTTGTTCAGGACGTCTTTCGTTCAGGAATTGCAATGTCGATCAGTCGCGAGTGCGTCCGAAAGTAAGGGGGTAGGCACTACAAAAGACCAATTGTTCTTTTTGCAATCAACATTAAACTTAACTTCCAACCGATTAAATCTTAAAATGAATTGGACTTAAGTATATACGAGTATTTTAAGTCGGTTTTGGGTCGTCCTGCCTGCGTGGCAGACTACATAGGTTCTAGCGAAAAATCGGTCTCAGTCTATTCTATCTGAAAAGACAGACCGACAAATACCGAACTAGACCTTTTTAATGCAGTCGTGTGACACATTTTTTTTATTTTTTTGTATATTATCTAATAATGAAATTAATTAAGTGTCCTGCATGCACCAAATAAATGGATTCTAACAGCACTGTAAAGTTAACAGCACATCAGGTATGGATTCCATTTCTTTTTTTTTTATATTAAAAATAGATATTTTTAATATAAAAAAAAAATGGAATCCAGAAATCGTCACATACATTACTAAGATTCCAAGATAAGAAGCGTATTATGGAGTAACTGAGACAATGACGGTAACACAATATCCAGACTAGAAACCGATAAGAACCGGAAAAAAACTCGGCAAGGGCTGCTTCTTCTCCCTGTTTTGTTACATACAGACTCGTCAAGATTGAAAAATGGCCTCAAACACAAAGTCCTTTTCCATTACAATATTAGCAAATATAAAAAAGTAAAACAATATATATATAATATTCGGGGTTAAAGTATGAAATTGCTGTTTTATTATAATAGGTTCCTTGAATTGACATCTTCATGTTTTGAGGTTTTCGAAAGAAACTTTTTCACATGGTTTCTATGATGTTCTTCTTTTAGAAAATGTGAAACATTTGAATATCGACTTTCAATTGTTTTTTTTATTCAACTTAGACAAAAAATATGAATACTGCGAAAATTCGAGTGTTTTTTGAATACGAGTTCCGACGCGGAAGTAATGCGGCAAAAACAGCCCGCAATATCAATGTTGCGTTTGGAGAGGGGTCTGCTAATTAACGCACCATGCAATTTTGGTTTCAACGAATTCGTGATGAAAACTTTGACTTTAAGAACGAGCTACGTGGAAGACCGCCCACACAGATGAATAACTTTGAATTAAGAGTTTTTCACCTTCATTGACTTATTTCTTTTAATACATACGTTTTATATATATTTATTAAAAGGCTAGCCAACAATTATTTACGATTGACAGAGCAGAATATTTTAGAGATTAATACCAGAATATTCACCATTATATATTATATACGAACAAATTTTTCAATATTACCAATTTACTTTTATAATGCTAAATCGATAAAGAAACAATCTTGAAAATTTCCATTCGCTCATTCAAAAAGTTGGGTTTCAATCCAATCTCAAGATATCTCGGAGTTGTAAATTTGTATAAAAAAAATTATATATACTTTAATTTTTTTTATATTATACAAAGAACCAATATTTCGCTTACTTCTATTTCTATATTATTTTCATTACTTTATAAATTAATTATTTACAGACAATAACAACGATAAAATATAAGATAAACAAAACAAATATCTGTATCTATCTTATCTCACTATTCTTTACTAGAGCTAGAATAGTTTTAAAAAATATACGGATGTAGAATAAAATCCCATCATTAATATGTTATAAATGTTTAATCAAACTCCAGCTGCCTGAACGATCCCTCTACTCCAAACATGTCCTCCGATGTCTTCGGTTTGCCAAGTCTTTTCGACTCGTCTGTCCCGTACTTCAAGTCTTCATCCAACCAATCACTGTACTCTTCAACCTTCTTTTTCCAATAGCCTGTAAACGTTTTATTATCCAGTTACTGAATTATTATTATTTTTAAAATAAATTATTACAAATAATCAAATATCCTACCAACAATAGATTCAATAGATCCTGCGTTACCGCCGTATTCTTCTGGCAGAATTTCTTTTGGAATATGTTTATATAGTTCATCGTAATTCTTATTGTGAACGTAAAGCTGTAACAGAAAAGAAAATCATTTTTTTAATACAACAACCGTTCCATATCAGATCTAATATAATACCTAAGAATTTATTTCATACATTTCTTTAATAAGTAGTCCATTAAAATTTATGTCAAGATTAATATTCGTCACACCATACTTTTGAAAAGGAATATAAAATATATTTTCCAGATTAATACATACTTCGATATTTGGTCAAATATATTGTTAATATTTGATTAAAATATATGATTATTAATATAATATCTAGAGGTCACAATAACTCAGATATCGTCAGCAAACAAAACACAATTATAAACAATTACATTTGGTAAGTGATTTATATACAAAGTAAATCCGTGCACACTACCTGTTGAAAACACTGTTTGTTCGTCAATATTAGTAACTTCAACGAACTGTGTTCTATTTTTTAAGTAACTAGCTATCCAATCAAAAACAGAAAGTGTTGTTGATTTTTTATTCATAAAGCTATTCATAATAAAAAAGCTATTGCTCTTTTTTATTATATTAAATTTTGTAAAGAATTCCACAAACACTTAGCCATAGCCTACTCAAATATCTTTGATCAAACTGCAATTACTGTAGGCCTATAATTGTTAATTTTTTATATCACCTTTTCTATGTATCTGTTTGGCAACAGATTTTTTCAGTATACTGAAATGTTCCTTTCCCAAAAGGTAAATTTTAAGACATCTCATTTTGTTGATATGTGAAACTATAGTGTAATTGTCATAATCCTTGTCATTAATTATAATCATAATCCTGGTTATTAACCGACTTCAAAATCGAAAAGGAAGAGGTTATATGTCCGACGGCGATGTATGTTTTTTTATACCGAAACTTTCATTAATTGTTGACTGATTTTTAAAATTCTTTTTTATTCACCAGCTTGAGAGATCGCGGTGTTCCTATTAAATTTTAATCGAATCGATTGAGTAGTTTTCCTTTTATAATAAAACAAAATACGCTTTCCAATAGATATCACCTAAATATTAAGAAGGCATGTTATGTACATGGCCAATTTCAGCTAAAAAACAAAAAATTGCGAGATTAAAATTTTGAAACAATAAATTTATTTTATAACGATAGCGATATAATAATAGCAATGACCGAAGGACAGCGTAGTCGTATGCCACAACAGATTTGTTTTGTTATGATGATTGTATATTGTAATTTCCGATACAATAAATATTGTTTTATGGAATAAATGAAATGATCAGTGGTTACGTCTTTAAATATGCGTTAATTTGATATTTTAAATTATAAAGGTTTATTCTTTATACTCACCCTGTTTTTATTTTTCTCGTTTAATAAAGATTTTACAGCATTAAAGACTGTCTCAAATCCTGGAGGAGTATTCAGATAATGCGTGCCCTTCATACGAATCGGTGTAGCATCCTGTGACAAAATAATAAGAGTTATAAAATAGCCAGATAACTTTTATTTTTAATCAGAATTTCAAACTATCTATTACTCGTATCAATATAAAATATCCAAGCTATGTACCCTGCCCGGATCTACTTTAGGCTCGCAACTCTACTTTTTGGGCTATGACGGTCACCTAGGTTCGTCAGTTTTTTCTGATTCGATCTGGTAGAGTTGTTCCGAGAATAGCCCTTTCCATCATCCTCTGAATGACTTGAGCCTATACTTATATAGGTAATACTACTGTTAATTATCTTTTTTTTATAAAACTTGGTAATTATTTTGTTTTTGAATATTGAATATTTATTGACATTTCAGTGCTATCAAAATCTATTGGGTTCTAACGTCTTGATCAATTTGTTATTTTATTTTATCATTATTTGTTTTACCGTTTTTTCTAAATAAATCATATTATTAATTACAGTCTATTTTTCATTAGCTCACAGCCGTAGCTATCAACTACATTGATAGAGGAGACAGATGACAATATATGCAGTATTTTTAAAAGTCGTTTTATACCTGTCCAGATACAACCATCTTTTTCATTGTCACCGGGGTCATTTGGAAGAAATGTCCCATAGTGACATTATCTAGATCAAGAATTGTTTTCACCCCAGCTATTACTGCATTGTCGCACTCTTGCAAGATTATCTGAAAATATTAATTCACAGTTATCTTAAATAGTCGTGTTATAAATAAATTATTTTTATTTAGTTTTAAAAACAGAAACGCATGAAAACTAAATTTAGATGTATACAGAATTTTGTTAAAATTTTCAAATACATATAACCTCACCAGAAGCTCTTTGACATAGGCGTTTAATCGCGCGATTGTAGACTACGTTACAGCCACATCTGTCAACGGCTATGCTATTCTGGTAAAAAGAGCTTCAAATTCGTCTTAGAATGTCACGTCATAGTTTCAATTAAATAACCTTTATTAACTTTTGAACTATAACGTGGTCCGGGCTGGCTTGGTGAATGGTAGTCAAATACAGGGCCGGATTTACCCCAACAAAGCTACAGGCGCCACGCAGTTGGAGCCTCTCTATGTTTCAGAGCCAACAAATTATTTTTTTAAAGTCACTGTTAAAAAATGCAAGAAACAACTGTACGAAAACAACAAGAAACTGAAACAATAAACTGTAAACAACAGTAAACTGACAAAAAAAATCGACTCACAGATTGATTGTATTGTGTTATTCGGAAAAATCTGTATCTGTGTTCTATATTTTTTTAGCAGCCAAAATGTTTCACGTAGATTTATATCACATAGATTTTAAGTTTACATATGTATTACTTTGAAAATATTGATACTAACGCTTAACATTTATTCGTGTTCTTGTCGAAAATTTTCATACGACCTTCAGAATGAGGATGTCGTGTTTCTAAAAATTATCAATCTGAAGGATTTTTCACAACAATATTAAACAGCGGAAAAAAGTAGTTTTTATTTGATTGTACCTCTGTGACGTGATATCGTTGCATTCGACGAGTTTGAAGCTGTTTTTATTATAGAATAGCACCACAGAAATCCTACAGTAGCGCAACTAAAACTTCTATATATAAAAGCAGTATAAAAATAAATTATTTCTTGCAAGGTTTATTGTACTTTATTATTTTAAAACCTTCGTAGTTTTCGTTGTTAATACACTACAGATATCTATGTTAATGACATGTTATTCATAATCGTGAATTAGAATTAACGGTTTATCTTAATGTATCACCTAAAGAGTGAGCGTAGAAAACATATTAAAAATAAGTTTAGTATGTTTCCTACGATAGAAACTGTGAAATAAAATCATAAAAAATATCTACTTTTGTCAGAACATTGGTGGCAGCAATAACTTCTGTAATATGATACTTGTCTGGATTGTATATACCAGGTCTAACAATACAAATCATCGGTTCACCAGGTCCAGTATTCGGAAGGACTACGTAACTTCTGAAAAATTTCAATTACTTTACTAACCATATAAAATTAAGCAATTTTCGGCGTAATGATATAACTGAAAAAAAACTCTCCAGTAATAGCGTAAAAAACGACCATCCTGTGAGAGACAAACGGAAGGATAGAGATATAGGTAGATATACAAAGCAAACCCCTCACGAAATCTTCGTTAATAGCCTTTGAGTACGGAATTCTAAAGATTTTGGCTAACATTGCTTTGGTTGCTGTGAATCTAATGTTTTTTTTTTATTTAAATACACATAAATAAATAAATATTTTATGACATTTAATACTTTGTTTAGGTACCAATCTAAATAGCCAAAGCTTTTGTGAAAATCTATATCACCGAAGGTACCATCAAATCCTAGAGAACATATAGAAGGGAATCGGGAATCGAACCCGTGAATTCCGAGATGACGACACCTTGCAATGGGTGTGCAATAGGACTCAGCAAGGATGTCGCCAATCACGATAATATAAAGTAAACTAATACTTTTAAACGTGCACCAAAAAGAGTCTCTCTAACCTATTTTATGCGTATATTTAGAACTCGTAATAAAAAATTAATAGTTATAAAACCATATTACAATAGTTATTTGCGGGATCGACATAATACGAGTAAATTAACTATTACTCGGATGTTAATAACCGTGAATGGTGAAAATAACACATATAATACTACCCCAAATCCAAAATTTCATGGAAACGAGTATCCTTATGTTGTATATTGAATAATTCCGGAGCAGTCCCTCGTAAAGTATAATAAAGATCTAGTTTCTCTTTCGTACGCTCCAAGCTGAACTTGCATCCTCTGAGGAAAGCTATCAACCACTGATCATCTGGAACCGAACAAGTTGTTGAAAATAAATAAAAAGTATTTCTATATACCTAAACCATGAAGTTATCAGTTAATTGAAAACGATGGAAAGATATTTACATAATGGCAATATCAGATACTGTTATTTATAACAGGAAAATACATGATTTCGTGCAATTATAAATTCTGCTAGTTAATTCCGTATAGTCTTTTAAATAATTAAAAAATAACTAACCAAGACTACAACTCAGCAGATTCAAGACTATCTAGAAGATTTCTTCTCTACATTTGTAGTTTTTACTGATGAATACAAAATGATGACGACATAAAAGTAACTCTACCAAAGAGATCAATTTAACAGAAAAATATTAGATTTGATTGACCTTTCCTGGCATTCAGATGTGGCTGCTTATCTATCCACTCCTTCAGATGTTTCAAGTCATCAGGCACACGTTTTGGATCTTCGTTCAACTCCACACGAGCCTTTTCTGCTAGTTCAGCGTTCAATGGACGAACAGACATTTTAATACTTATATAATTAATAATAAAAAAATATTTTACTTTACCACGGACTGACTCCGCGTTAGATATCCTTTGGACTAAAACTCATATTTTATTGAGTGCTATTTATCAGTGATAATGTCATTATCAGTAAGTATTAATAGTATAGTCTTAATAGTATTAACTACTATTAACCTTATATTTAAGTAACTTTAACAAAGAACATTCTCAATCACAATGATTTATTTTTATTTGTATCTTCATTTTAACTATTTATAATATATTAGAAAGCGCATTAGTTATTTGATGCAATTATTTAGTAATTAGAAGCTTAAAATAATTGCAAAATTAGGTTTTGAATGATCTTATCAATTTCTATGTAATCCGTGAATCTTAATAGCATAGAGTGAGCAGCACGGTTGCTAGTCGTATTTGGTGGAGGAGTTCCGGTAGCGTTTACTCTACTAATAATTTCTTCAGTAAGGTTACCACCAACTGTTGTGAAATAGCTGTTAACAAGATTTATGGACTCCTCTGGCGAATTGAATATTTCTGGCTTTGCTGTTTTTGTGGTTTCGGTTAAATCTGTCTTTATAATAATTATGTTTTAGTGTTTTTGCTATTTGATCACAAATGTTCCGATATTTTATATACGATTTTTTAATCACTGTTGTGAGGGTTCATTCTAATAAGTATTCGGTTATTTTTTGAAAACCTTTAACCAAACTAACAGTAATCCAAGGTTTTATTCGCTTTCTACGCTTAGTGTATACAATTGTAGTAGTATGTTCTTTTATTAAATTCTAAATAATTTATATCAAAGTAGTTGTCGCAATGTTAGGGTCATTCAAAGCAAGATAGAGGTTACAGTCATCATAGTCACTGATAGCTTTGTTCAAGGAATCATATTTTATTTTGAGTATAATATCAGAATTGAATTTAGCTATAGGAAGTGGTCGAAATGATGAACTTGATAAAGATAACAAAATTGGATAGTGATCTGTTAGGTCTACCGCTAACATATAACTCTATGGAGCTAACGATTTTCTACACATGAAGTGATCCAAACAAGGCCATGTGTAAGAATCATAACAGCATTTAGAAGACCATAGATAAGCCTAATATTTCCAGATACGCATTTTTGCGTATTTAGCATCTCATCCAAAGAATTGTGAAAATCATTTTGATTTTTAAAGCAGTAGGGTCTGTAAATACCTAATATAGTTATGTTATTTATTTTAGCGGACAAGCAGTTGACTTCCATCAGTGATTTCCTTTCGAAGTATACGTTTAAAATAAATAAATATATTAAATAAATATTATACTTATTTTACCTTTCCTGACAGTAAGATGTGGCTGCTTATCAATCCACTCACTCAGATTTTTCAAGTCATCAGGCATACGTTTTTGATCTTCATTCAATTCCACGTGAACCTTTTCTGACAGCTCAAAATTCAACAGGAGTATAGACATATTTTTAAACTAGCTTCAAATTTGCATTATATCAAGGACCCTATTTTATTGAGGGCTATTTATTGATGATAATTTTATTATTATTATTATATATATATAAACTATACAAAATATTATTTAATATATAAAATATATGGTTAATATAATAAATAAAACTTTGTTATTTAACTGATTTATACTTATATATTTTTAGTTTGACTGATAATTCGCAGCTGGCAATGACGTATACAAAACAATAAATTTTCTATGTAACCAAAGGTGACTTCATTAACTTTCTGATTGCAGTTTCTTTCTAAAAAATTAGCATAGCATATTTTAATATCTTTGCCCTCCTTCTTGCTTTAATATGAAAGCTCGCGTCTTATATTAATGAAACTATTGAAAACTAATTAATAAAAACTAATAAACTAAACATTATATTATTATATCATATGTTACATAGTATGATATTTAAAAATAGATTTGTACAGTTTTGACTGAATAATTTTAAATTTGATTTATATTAATATACTGCTATGGTGTCATTTATGGTAATATGGAAATTTTAGTATGACAAAACCAAAAAAAGCTCATTATCGACAATAAAGATAAAGTCACATTTCCGTTTAAAAAATAATTAAAATATGAAATTAAAAGAGCCAAATTTAACAACACATTTATTTTCGTATTTCACGAATTACAATTTATAGCTTTCACATATTATACCACCCTGTTTATACGAATAAATCCGAATTTTGCTATTCATTTAATACATTAAATGTCAGGACTAACAAGATCACAGAAGTTATAATATTATGGCTGCCTAATTTAATCTACATATAAAATTTTTGACATGTTTGAAGAGCTCATTACATTTATTGTTCAAACATTGTAAAAAAATCTATTCAACTACTAAATAAATTAAGTAAAATTCTAAAAAAAAAACACGAATCGGTTACTACAATGTTAAAGTGACTAAAACTCAGCAGCTTCATAATTACTTATATATTTATATAATTAAACATTTAGAAGTGATAATGACAATGATATTATTATATATTTACAAGTGATTTACTGTCACTGTTTATAGCAATGAAGTTAATGATATTTTTGTTTTTTTAATAAAGAGATCTTATCATTAAATGTGTTCAAAAGCTGCCTTATGCAAAAGTGTATTAAGATTTCTAATAGAAAAACGTGTTGGAAAAATAATAACGTGCTTTAGATACAAACAAGTAGAAGACGAAAACATTTATATTACACCCTAACTCCACCGAAGGATTGTATGATTACTATTATAGCCTCAATATTCCATAAATATTATGTGCATATTCTATAAAATAATATTAAAAAAATTTATAACGACTGCTAATTAGCACTACGCTATTCTGATAAAATTAAAACGACCTAGAAATCGTCATCGAACGCAAAGCTGTCATATTATAGAGGTTCAATCGAAAAAACCTATTTCATAAGGTAATCTTTTTTTTATTTAATTCAAGTTCTATGACGTGACAGTGCTATATTTGACGTCGAGTTCTAGATTGTTTTATGATAAAATCAGTTGTGACATTGTGTTGAGTGATAAAATATAAGAACAAATAGCAGTTGAGAAATAAGTTACCACGATATAGTTTTTCAAGGAACCATAACTCATTAGATTTATATATGTTCGTAAGAATAAACGACTGCTCCCACTACAATTTCATAAGACCACATGGATAAATTACTATATTTAAAAAATCACAAAACGGTACAGAATTCCTTTTCCATCAATCTTAAAAATAAAAACAAACAAACTAAACTCAGTAATCATAAGTATTATAAATTAATGAATCACAAATCTACCGATAACAATACTTAACAAATATATCTTAAACCTAACTCTTACTAAGTAACATTTGCACTAGGAAGCATTGGAATTCTTTAAACACATTATGTTACTTCTTTTTCTAATAATTAAATAAAACTATTTATTTGGTAAACATTTGTAGTAGACAATTAATGAAGCAATTTGAGATTTAACTTGAATGTGTGTGATCTTTTTTGTTATATTTAATTAATCTCAATTCTATTGTTGTTTTAAAACAAGTTGGCAGAAGATTAAATATTAGTTATTATTGAAATAGTATTAATTATTATTACTCGTATGAATTAACGCGATACCTAAAAGCCTATTCTATACCTCCGAAAACGCATAAACGCATTTTTCTAAAATTTATGATGCCAAGATGATTTATGATGCAGAAATAAAACGATTCCAAATTTCCGATTATTCATTCGAGGACAAATAGAATAGGACCTTCGATATCATGCAAATTAATTCAAGTAATACAAAAAGATTGTTTCATAGTTACAAATCATTAGATAAACACAAGTCTCTTGATTTATTTGTTACTGTATAGTAGAAAAACCTGTTATAAATACCCAAAATAATAGATTTGTTTGTTTATTTATAGGAATAAGACACTGTATACCACACCATACAGTGATACAGTATAAAAGTACAAGTGTCCTCGATATGCTGTAACTGGACATTTAGTTTACTAACATTATGACGTCATAGACAGTCTAACAACTTTATGCTAAGGTTATAGTTTAATTGTGCCCACATGCGTGTGATAGTGAATCAGAAGTTGGCGAATAATTTCAACTCGTCTGGATCTAACGAACGGACAGCTTTCCAATCTGTCTCGGGATACTCGTCGAAGTTGGATGTGTCACCTTCGTAGGAGACCGTCGGTATGATTGGTGGCTGAAAAAAAAACGGATCTTTTATTAACTGCATGTAAATTATATTTTGTTAACTAGAAAGACAATCTCCCACCCGGTTTCAGAATTGAGAATTTAAAGTTAAGCACGTTTCAATCGACTTCGAATATTTCCGTTTTTCTAAATGCTTTCGTGCCTCCATATACTTTCTATCAAAATACAGCCATTCCATAGAAATAAAGCGTTGAACACAGTGCTATCGCAGTATTAGAGATTTGATCAAATAAATTCTACTTCATTATAAAGATAATAAAGCCTTTATTTTTGAACCTCACATACTGTGACAACTATGTTCGCCGCTAGTTTCGCTGTAAGTTTATTAAATGGCATAGCAACATTATTTCTATCTAACAATAATGAAACAACTAAAAAGTTTCTATAAACAAACAAATACTCAGTGATTGATACCAACCTGTAACTTTTTCATGAAAACGTCAGCCCAGTCTATATGTTTGAACCATCTGTGCCTCTTCACGTCCTCAGAGCCGCACTGCAACAAAGAAAACGGAATGTTACTAAAATAAACGAACTATCAAAATGGAGACCAGATTAATAGGCCACCAATTTCTATAATAATTTCTATAAAAATATAAATCACGCACACTAACAATGATGTAGTAGTCTTTAATGTGATTACGGGTGGGCGAATATAGAACAGCATTGTTATTACTGGCATACATATACGAGACGCTCAATGTACAATTCATAAATTTTCATAAATTTTATATATATATCAAGTTTTATATGATTGTGACTAAACATAATACAATACATCGATTATTTTAAAAATGGAAATCGCGAAATCGATTGTTTGATTACAGAATTTATTCATACTGACGTCTACAATTTATAACATTATTATAATCATATAACATAATATCACGTCGTATGAACTTGTGAATTTTCGAATTTCGAATGATGCAATCTTATATTAATTTCACATTTTCACCTATGGTTTCGAGTTTAAATGAGAAGTATAGATACAATAATATAGACCTGACAAAACATCTTAACTCTCAGAATAACCTAAATCCAAATATAACTATCTGCTTTTTAGTAGACCTTGCAATAAACTTTTTTCATAACAATATTTTTAGGAAGCTTAAAGTATCTGATTATAAAGCAAATACTTAGGTTTAAACTATTTCAAATATTACCATTGCTTCAAAAGCCTAAACTATATCAAATAGATATAACAGCTATTTCTTCTTTAGAAATAGTGATTTCAACTAAACGTTATTCATTTGTTCATACGCAGACTATTCTTATTGTTTCCTAATATAATAACGCCTCGTTATAAAATATGGGGTAATTAAGGTCACTCACTCATCACGAATTCTCAGAAACTACAAGTGCTAGGCGTTGCAAATTTTGCACGGGGGTTTTTTTAACACTTAAATGCTCACAAAGAGGGGAATTTATGAAATTCAACCCCTAAGGGGGTAAATTAGGTTGTTGTAATTAGTTTGTATGAAACTTCGTTACTACAAGAGCTAGGGGTTTCAAATTTTGCATGCGTGTTCTTTTTCGGACGTAGCTGCTCACTAACATGTTTACATTTGTTGAAATCAAAATAAAAATTCATAAAAAAAATAATTCTACCAGCCCTGGAGTCGCTTGTAAAAACATGTGGCAAACCTGTCGCTACGTTGTATTTATGCCACCCACTTACATAATTTAAATCTGAATGCATTGCATCTGTGTTAATATACCTGTAGTGTCTTGAATCTAAACACAAAAGCCGAAGTTAAAATGATGGACGGACCGAATATCTAAACAACTGTATATAAGTTACTACGGCGAGCAACTGCAGACTAATTCCAATAACGTTCACTTAATAATCGCGTCTCAGTAGAATATCAACTGCTTCCATTTTGCCAGTGTACTGTCTACCTGAAGTCAAATATTAGTGCCTTCTGAACACGGACGAACTTAATGTCACCCATCCTATGACCAGCCACTGCGAAAGTAGCTTGACTTCCGCATCGCACACCGAACGCATTAATGACTGTGCCATTGAGCTCCTCTTAGTTACATTAGCTTTCCTTAACTTCTATTGAAATTCACTATTCATCTATATTTTATTGAACTACGAACGTTAGGTACATACATACTATATCTTATACTGACTAGTGAGTTTCGAATTCTCGACGCACCATATGTCGGTAGAGATCGGTCGTTTGAACTCACCGCGGACACTTGACTGATGACTTTCTAAACACAGCGACATATTGCAAAAAGCTGGAGAAAACACGTTTCCACTAGAAACCACAGATTAAAAATATACCGGCGTCGAGTCTTTTATACATAAGATCTTATTCGTTGCATAGAGAAACTGTATTTGTATGAGCATAAAGCATATTTATGCATAGTTATTTGAGCCAGATTAAAACAAAACGATTCTACATTTAAAATGCACAAATTTTGTTTTAATGTATATGAAATGAGTATTTATAAAAAAAATAATGTTTAAAAAAAGTTTTATTATCATTCTACATGACGTTAGTTGCTAAGATAAAAATGTTCACTATTCTTACTTCAGAAAGCTCTTGTATATACATTATGTCAAGTACGATATTTGAAGCTATGTCGGAACAGGTTGGAATTATGCCAAGATCAAGAGCTAAATAAACTTTTTTTATGCATTAATCACGTAGAAATGTTCTATAATCAAAAGTCAATCTTTCACAACAGGTTTAAATTATATAATTGTACTTTTAATTGACGCACAACCGCTTTTGCTTGCAATCAAAAAGGCAATCATTTGAATTTCAGAAAATATAACATTGTAAACTTTATAAGTAAAAGATAAGTGTATGTTTATTTAGTATTTAAACAGATAACTCGTAAATGTATGCTTTAAAGTATAACACTATTTTTGTTACTAAGCTTTTGAAATTAATGAAATTAAATAAACATGTAATACGGTCACAATTCGCAATCTACATTTGCCGTTAAAAAGCAATCAAACAAAGTTTAAAATAGGAACACCATCTTTAACGGAATGTGAAACAATCGAATAGTGAGCCAAACAAAATGTTCAGATACAGCAATAAACTTAAAGCCGGTCAAGCGCAAGGCCGACTATTTTCAAAGGCGCGCGCACACTGTCTCCAGCGCTGGAGCTTATTTCGCAACGTTCTGCCATAAACAATTCCTATTTTACTTCAAGTATAGTTGACTTTGACAAGACTTTTTTATTGATGCAACAAAGACTAGTTTCAAATGCGAATAAATATGTATATAGGTAAAATAACCATACTTTTCCTCTCTCGCGGTTGAGTATATGAAAATAAGCTTTTGAATGAATTAAGATATTTGCATATACTCGTAAATCTATAAGATCATTAGACAGCTTTTAGCATAATTTAAGTGTCTGTTTTTTCTAGATTTTTACAATCTTGCTCACGTCGTAAAAAAAGTAAATATCATGATTTATGTTTTTTGTTAGGAACATGGCTTGATAAAGATAAACAAGACTCATAGGCCACACACATTCGTTTTTGGTGTTCGGTTTCCTGTTCAGGAATTCTGATTCGGAACCGAACGTGTTCGGTTAGAAAACCGAATGTGCGGTCAGGTTTTGAATCTTTGATACTGTTATGATATTTACAGTAATTATTGATTTATACAGCAATTTCATACAGGGCAGAAAAAGGACTTTGTTACTTAGTTGCGCTGTCCGTCTGTCTGTCTGTTACTGGGCTGTATTTCATTAAGCGTGAAAGCTGGACAGTTTTTTATACACAAATGATTATTATATATTTCAGTCGCCACTATAACAAATAAATGTTTAAAAAGAACTCACATACAACAAACTTTTTCTATAATTTGAATAGAATGGAAACTGGTGAAAAACTGAGGACCATACACCAATTTACATTTTTCATCTGAAATGTTATTTATTTTTTATTTGATCGACTCACCTTCATGTTTCCTAGCCTCTTAGTTCGATCTTGTACTAAGAGCTTCTTGATGATGTCTTTGGCAATGGGATCCAAGTGACGTGGCCACTCCACCCGCCCGTTCAGGATCTTCTCATAAATGCCGAATGGATTGTCGTCGTAAAAAGGAGGATATCCCACAAGCATCTCATAGATTAAAACACCTGGAAACGAGAATATTATCGATTAAAAGATTTTCTTGATGATTTAACAAAAACAATTATCATTTCGAAAAATACACCTATCGAAATAATCCTACTCAATGTTAGTTTATGTTTTGTATGTATAAGTATACAACTTTGTAGGAAACTATTTAATAGCATAATGTTCAGTGATTTTCTTTTTACTAAATTATATTTGTAATTTACCAAAAAGTATATATTTATATCTCTTGTAGCAACATTTTTTTTTTAATAAAGAAATGGTTATATTTGAAATATTCCAAAACATTATAAAATATTTGTATCAGAAAATTAAAAATAATATCATTTTGACTTGTAGTATAGTCTAAACAGGTTTTCTAGGTCAGATCATATTCGAATTATAAAAAAACTTTAAGACGTTAAACTCATTGCAATGCAAAATATACATATAAAAAGAAATTCTCTCATTAACATACAAATTTACTTAATACAGTTACAAACTTCGCGCTGCACTAAATAAATTTCAACAAAAAAAGTAGTCGAAGACGCTACTAATACTAAAATCGAAATATTTAACGAGTTGAAATAGACCAATTAATGCATGATTATAAATAACGTTCTTTAATATACGGTCAACATACATAACATTATTTAAAACCCAAAACAAAACCACCTTTTTAATTCATTCAACCTTATTGTAATTTGAATAGAGTTCAAAATCAACATTGAAATTTAGTGATATACCGTAAAGTAGTTATTTGTGTACTAACTAACACAACACTACAGTGCCCCCTTGGCGGCAATAATTATAATGCCAGTGGAACAAGCTCCGTTCATTTTTAACACACGAATAAATTCACCTTAATTGGAACAAATATATTTGACACGTAAATATTAAAAATGGAAGATTCAAAAGAATATACATGTATATTCATACAAATAACGGAAGCAAGTAGAAAATATCAATGAATTATAGAAACATCGTTTTATTGGATTAAGGTTATAACCTATAAATAGTTATAACTATATATAGTTGACACGCAATGAGTTTTGACTATGCAGTATGAATACGTAATAGATTGTAAGACACTATACAAAATATTACTATATTTATCAGTTTATTAAGACTCTATGAGTAGCATAAGCACATAATAATATTATAAAAGATAATAAGATAAAATATCATTATATTTGATCAATTTTAAATTCACAATACTACATTTATAAGCTTAAAAATTCACCGGTCCGCTGTGTCTGAGATGGAAAATACGCTCACTAATAGCAAAAACAAAAAGTGCTTAAGCAATTCATCAATCTCGTTTGTAATGTTTTATTAAATTATACTGCAGATTAAATTATATTCTCCTCATTAAATACAGCGGCAACCTTGACTATATAATTAAACAATTATTTCTCTTCTAATTAATGTTTAACTTTACTGCCAAACGTCTAATGAAACGTCAAAATATAACACATGCATAATTACGCCGCGAAATCATCCAAATATGTAGACGGACGCGCGCTACTTTCATTTTGTATCATACGGCGGCACTCATTGGCTGACTATTAAAACATCGTTACATACACGTACCATACATCAACGTCGTCTTAAATAATTGTAACGTATACATACATAACACTAATGTGTCTCCATTAAGACGTCACTAATAAAATGCACTATTTTCGAAGCGTGTCTACAACGTTAAAAAATTTTGTAATAATTCTAATTGTGTAACTGAAGAGCTCTAAAACTGTGATTTGTTATTGTAGATACGACATTTGAGAATTATTATGTCAGGTCAAACTAAACTTACCGACTTTTTCATTATATTAGGACTATAATTCATTATAATGTAATTTATACTGTCACGTTTTGGGCGATAAAATAATAGCTTAACAACTGCGGTAGTTATACAGCAAGTTTTTCGCTGACTAACCGTAGAACCTTTTTAGATATTTATCTCACCCAAAGTTGTTTGACGGTTAACTAATGTATATATAATATCACCACACTCTGTTGAGTGAAACAAAGACAATGTATTTTATGTATAGATTTTTTTTTTAACCTAAACAGTTTTACATGTTTTCTACTTTATAGATATTAAATTCTCTTTCTGTGAATTACGCTGCAGAAATTAAGAATCCGTAAATACAAGTTTGATGGCTATCGATGAATGTTGATATTTACATTCATCACAAAACAGAAATGGTAGTAAAACTTTTCTTACCCAATGCCCACCAATCTACAGCTTTGTTGTGCCCTTTGCTCTGAATGATCTCTGGCGCGAGGTACTCTGGTGTCCCACATAGCGTCCACGTGCGATCCGTCAACTTCTTTGCGAAACCGAAATCCGTAATTTTTAGATGGCCGTCTCTTGCTAATAACAGATTTTCTGGTTTCAAATCTCTATATACGATGTTCCTGGCGTGCAGGTATTCTAATGCCGATACAATTTCTGCCGCGTAGAAGTTACCTGTGGAACAATCAACGAAAGGTGTTGTATGTTTTGCGTGAAAATTTGAAAAACTAAAAAGTGAAAAAATTGCAAATCAGTGTAACGACTTATCAATTGATTGACATTTCTTGTGTTTGTCCACACAGTGTCAGCCACAAGCAATATATAGTAGAGATATAAAATTCACAGTGCCATTATGCTAGAGTAAGGTGGAACATATGGCTGCCTATAAGTAGATATGGGTTACATATCTACTAAAAAGCGAAAGAAGATCGCGGTAATTCATCCGTGTCTTTTTACTCGCGCATGCATAACAAAAGACAGTTTTTTGCGAGTTTTTTGAAACGCGTCTCTTCTCTTACTAGTCTAGTGACGTCACCAGGTCTGGGTTACGTACTGTGGCATAAAACTCGTTGTACAAAATACTGAGGCATCAACTAAACATAAGTAATAGAAATAGTCTTGGATCATAAAAATAATTTGGAGTAATGCTATAAAATATGTAAACGAACACAAAGGATATCTAACTAAAGCAAAAAACCACAGATTACATGACTCACATTAATGAGTCAGTGTTGGTTTTTAATATCAAAAACTTGTGCTCAATATATTCAATGTTATATGCTTTGATATAAGATAGCTCTTTGATATTACAAAAGGCTGCGATAGTTGATATTTTTCAAAATCTAATGATTCGCTTAATTACATTACTAGTCAAAATGGTATGGTATTATAAATCTCAATCTTATTTCTAATACCTCAGCTACTAGCTAGTTTTAGCTGTCGTTAGTACAAAAAATCATCGCCTTTCAATCGAATTTGTATCGAGAATAAATTCCAAACTTCCGCATTGTGTGTCGTGTGACATTACATAAATATCGATAAAATTGCATACATATTTTTAATGTTCATAGAAATCATGCATGACATATTACTTTCCAAATTTGACGAATTTATATTTATTTTAATATTTAACACTTACTTCTATAATATTTTAACTTATAAACTCTCGTTATGTAAATTTTGTATCTACTAAAAAGCTTTTTACTTTCTCCTCATAATGAAATTATTTTATACATTATACAAAAATTAATTCTGAATCTAATATCTATAAACGGCATATTACTAATTTATGCATTTACTACATACATTTCATGTCATATTGTTTTAATATTATAATGATTCTCAAAAACTTTTACTAATTATTATCTTAAAAATTTGTCAATGAAAAGCGTTTTTCTTTAAGATAAATATCATTATAACATGGTGAATACAAAATTAAACAAATATAATAAGCTATTTTAGTTTACACTTGAGTCTGCAATGCGCGTTATTTGTTGAAAAACCTCACACGATATCTAATATACAGCAGAATTAAAAGAAATAGATAATACTCTTTAACACTACTTAATTACTGTCAGATTGCCACTTCCATTTCCACAAATCAACATGCCGTTGTAAATCATTGTAACTCAAATTAATAGCCGCTCATTTATTAAGAGAGAAAAAAATGGATTAGGGATATTTAATTACGTTTTCTGCTCAATGAATTGAAACATACTGGAAATGTGAAAAACACGTAATGGAATCATTTCTATTTTGGAATCGTTAAAGTCACTGCCAACTTTTTTCTCTGGAACGAACTGACGACACGAAACGGCTCTGTCATCTTGCACACGAGACTTTGGAGCATCGGCCACACGTAATACGAATAAAATATTATATACAATCGTAGGTAGAATGTATATACCGATTTTAAAAACTTTCCTAATCCTTAATTCGTTAAATCAAAGTACAAACTTTAAGATGTCTAAATAGCGGACTATAATGAAATGCTCCAATTTTAAATGTCAGTGCCCTGAGTCAAACCATAGTCTATGTTCGTATGTAATGAGTAACAGTTATCGCATTTTTTAGAAATTTGTTGAAAGGAAAACTACACAAGAAATAATATCTGTCTTTTCTGTCGTCTAGAACGTGTTAGTTTTTTTTTTGTCTAGAGTCTAGCGATTGATGATATCTAGACCACGCCTGGTCTGGCGCTAACCCGGTCTCTACGAGCTGTAGGACGTTTGTAGGAGGTACACACGAAAGTAATCTTTCGTCACTTTACTTTTGTTCATTTTTTACAAGACTGTCTAGAGAAGCATCGTATGTGAGTATTTTTATAACATAGTTTTTTCTATGTATTTGTCGAACATCAAAATATGCTATTGATCATGAGCTCTCGTACTGAGAAGTAAATAAGTATTAATAGCAAATGTTTCATTCTATAATAGAATTCCTAAATCCAATAGAAAAATAAGTAAGTATGCTATTGTCGAGCTATTTTATTGTACAAGATTTTGGACATTTATTTTGTTATATTCTTTGATCGAAATTCTTACGATACAAAACTCAAACCCACCACTATTTGTAGGGTGCATTTTGGCCATTTTAAAAGTTACTAGGAAGTGAACTTTGACACATCACATCTGACTATGGTATGAGTATTGCCATAATGCAATACTTTAAACCACGTAAAGCAATATAATGTATTTGCCTAGAACGCCTTAAAATGCTAAATGACCTGAAAGCAAGACCCGGTTTTTGATTACTGGCCAGTAACCAAAAACCGGGTCTCCTGCGCTACGTTGGATATTAAAAAATTGCCTTTTTAATAGTCCTAGAAAAAAAGAATAAAATACGTAGTTTAAGAATACAATCCATAGTTTTTACAAGCGCACAACTAACTACTATACAATTTTGATCTCTGTGTCGTACTGTTATCTATTCTAGCATAAACTAGTAGACTCTAAAGTTTCATTTACTGGTTAGCTTTCACGACAAAAGCCAATAGTCATAAACAGTTCACGCTTACATTATAATTATAAAGTCGTCATTTTACGACTTATTTGTCAGAAGCTCAAAGGGAAAAATCTTTTGATGCTACACATGTTCATAATAACAAAATCATCATCAAACACATCGTAAAATGCGAAGGAAACTCATGTAATTCATACTAGTACGTATGTAGTCTTGCGTGAAAAGGCGTTCTCATAGCCCGTCAATGAATACGAAATATTGGAAATTTGTAAACCGAATGTAACCGAATTTGTAACCGATTAAATTAAAAAGAAAAAACGGAAAAGTGCTAATGTTATTTTGAAAAAAAAAACTAATTCAATTCAATAAAATCAACATTCACAAAAAATGAAATGTTATTGAAATAAATCCGGGTTCATGATAAACATAATAGAGTACGTCAGATTACACTCATCATAATCATCAAACCAGAGAGGTCAATGACAGAGACGTTATTTTTTATGGTATAAGCATTACAGTGGGCGATATATATCATACGGAAATCTTCGGTGACCACATCAGCGGTATGACATCAGCACTGTTCCCGCCCCCATAGATCTATCTAAACTGCAGATGACACCGTATAAAGCCACATGAGCCACGACGACCCATGCCAAAATTGTCTATGCCACATTTAAATAAAAAAAAACAATGAACTCTATAAATAATAATCTAATAAATAACTCTACCAACAAACTCGATAGGCATTATCCATTACGCAATATGATTTAGAGGAAGATAGGTCGACCATGTCTTTAGTTTTTCTTTCAAAAGTGAAAAGGGTTTCTTGATAGTAAAACAAAAGCTCGTAAATTTTCTTTCTTAGAAGATAAAATTTACACTTTTCCTTTACATTCTTATAGTATAATAAGCCAGCGCCCGCGTGGTCCCTAAGGAACTGTTTATTTAGATATCGATTCATATCATGAAACAAATATAATTAATTACAATCACAATTTGAATCGTAAACAATGGTTCTTATGGTGAAGACAAAATTCACTCCCACTTTTACCTCTTTATTTGCTGTTTTTTGGGATAAAATATATAGCTTATGTTAACTGTACATGATGTAGCTTCCCGTAGGTGAAAGAAATTTTAAAATCAATCCAGTAGTTTCGGAGCTTATTCGATGCAAACAAACAAACAATCAAATCTTTCCTCTTTCTAATATTAGTGTAAAATAGAAATATAAATAAGTTTTCTTTCGCATATAAAATGACGTGTACTTGAATATTATATTAATTAAAATGTTATATTTGTTTTAAATTATGCACTTACTCGTAAAAACTTATCTTTATAACTTTAAACGGAAATATTGAATTAAAATAATATTAGATAGATTTATTATTATTATATATTCATAAACTACTCAAATGCCAATGGCAAAAATGTACTTAGTACAAATAAGACAGTCTAGGTGAGACGAAAGTAAAAAAAAATATTGTTCTCATGGCAAATAAAGCTTTTTTAAAACTATAACACCCAGTTGCAGAAACGTCCATTAAAATTGTTATTAATTTAAAACAAAGTTTGTTATACAAATTTGAAAAAAAAATTGTTTTAGAACATTCGCCAGAGCTTAATGTCGTCATTAAACATTAACGGACGTTTGTACAATTGAGTGTTAAAGTTATTTCCTATAATATTTCAATTATATTTAAACAGCTTTTTGCGTAATTGTGTAGTACAAAACAAGTCAATGTACATATGAGACGTCAACAAAACGGGCAGGAAAGCCACGTTGGCGTCACGTTGTCTGCGCCGAGACGCGTTGCGCAGACGCACGGTGCGTTATAACGATCAATACTACTGTCTTGACGCCCTTGAATGACTGTACATATATAGAACAGTCCTTCTAAACACCTATGTACGTAATCAAAATAACATTCCTTTTATTAAATAATCACTCCTACCATCACACAAAAGTCCTTCAATAAATATCATACTCGTATTATATTTTTCTACAGTATTAATTATTACCTTGGCATTTTTAGTTTGTACACAGGTTTTAATACTTTTGTAGTTGTGACTCTGAACAATACATTAAAATATTTAAATACATTAAAATATTTATTTTTTTTATTTTTATCACTAATTTGCAATCTTGAAAGCGATACTATTTGTAAAACAACATACAGTACAAAAAATGGGTCATAAACAGGAAAATCTTTACAAAATATTTAGAATGGGAATGTAAATTGGTCAATGCTACCATTAGGACACCACTGTATTATTTAAATCTGAATACCAAAACACTAAAGAAGCGGTAAAATGGCGATCTTACATTTTATAATCAAACACGCACATTGCTACAGATTAGGCTGTACCGACCACATCCCTATGCCTTTAAAAGTTAACATAAATTTTTATTAGCATAGATTTTTTGAACGATGTTCATTTTATTACAGGGAGATTTATGCTTAGGGTAACCCATGTAAGAGACGAGAAAAGGTGTCAAGATATAGTTTTAACTATTTAACGAGTTTGGAAGCTGCGACAGTTGGCTCTCGCGTCATGAGTCTATTTTGAACCACGTAGGCCAGTAAGAGCGTATTAAATAGTGTAGAACGATCGAACTAATACAAATTAGAATATCACACATACACAAATTGAAATGTTACTATGTCAGCGGTTGATACTTATCATTTTGTAAACTGCCTTCAAGTTTCAAGTGAAAACATCGCATACAATACTAAATACTACAACAACCGGGCAACTTAATATTTTATTTGGCGTCTGAGATATGATCAAGATATATGATTTTAAAGAACACATAAACCAAAATACATAATTTATTCAGTCTAAGCATTTACAACACTTGTGAAAGCACATAAAAGACAGGAAAGAATCTGAAACAGAATCGGAATTCCTGATCAGGAAACTGGACACGGAAAATGAATATGTGTGCCTTGTTCCTTTTATATAGGTAAGTCTAAAAAAGATTAAGCCGTATTAAAGCATGAAGCAGCTATACTATACATAATTAATATCTACAATATCTTTGAGAAAATATACCACTTTTCCAAACTATTCAAAACAATATAATTCTTAAATAAAATAAAAATTAAATAACTAACCTATTCTGTTACTAGAATTAAATAAACAGTAGGTAACCTAGATGCTTGCAAAATCTATTTCAATAACTGCATATAACTTCTTACACATTAATGAGCCTAAGAAGAAGTTGCAGCCAAGTCTGGATAGGATATTTATCTAGGAATGAGAGATTTACTGCACTAAAATTGGCATAAAGTCAAATCAGATTAAATCTCTTCTAATAAAACTTTCCAACTTCACCTTACGATAATAAAGGAAGACACTACCCACTAAAAATACTTTAAAACGGAAATTTTCGGAAAATAAGAAAAAAATCCATGATCAAAGCAGCTCATATACTGTAGAGGTGAAAACTCTTTTAGTAAATTATTTATTTCACAAAAAATAATCACAAGACGTCCAATACAAAAGTAAGAAAGTTCCAAAATTTCAAGCTTTATTCATTCCAGGAAAGTAAGTGTTCCCGACATACATCCAGTTTTAATAAGATATCATATTGAAATTTAGAAGCAGCTTGAAAATTATAAATTCGAATAAGTCGTATTTTTTACCTACTAATAGAACGGCGTAAATTTCATAAGTTTAAAAAAAAAGGAAATGTTCATTGTTCTTTTTACGCTAAAAATAAACCTTTACATAACACACTTTGGAAATAATTCAGCAGTAATTTGTGTTTTTTAGGTTAACACAAGTGGCCATGTTATCTTATTTATTGACACTGCTGCGAGTGCGATAAAAACCATTGAAATTTCGGTTACAAAACCAACGGTGTAGCACGAGACCGCGACGCGGCACTGCCTGGCGCACATCCAAACCTTATTTATTTATCCCGCTCCAATTTATTTATTTACATCGTTTAATAAATAACAATATATGTTATTTTTATGATTACCCTAAATATCGTTACTGTGTCAACAGAGCAATAGCGGCCGACTAAAGATTCACTGCTATTAGCACTTTTCATTTGCAACAACATGCGTCTTTACAGGCAACATCAAAGTTCATTATGTGGCTGTGCGTCGCACATAGACACCATTCATATTGTTCCTAGGATCTCAAATGTCATTTGTTATTACTCGTTTTTCGTAATTATTATTACGAAAAAATAATGCTGGCACGTCAAAAATTCATTTCGAACGTCAATTCAGCAATAGTTTATAAATTATTATAAATTTATTTATAACAATGATATAAAGTGAAATAAATTAAAGTGTATCCTTAATAAAAACCCGCGGATCGTATAGGTATATTCTCAAATCCGCTAAATAGTATTGTTTATCATAAGTATTTAAACATTCAAGCTTATTCATTTTTGTTTATTTATTTCGAACCCACGGGTACCCCACCATCGCATTGTCTCCAATGCTTAGTTTTGCCGAATAATACAAGGTTCCTTAAAACACGGAAATTACTTCCGGCATAAGAAAATCACAATCAACCACTTAGCCCATCTCAAAAAATAATTGATGTCTACTTGAAGAAACGTGTCAGCTTCAACCGTGATAATATAGGAAGTAAAAATAATAATAAACGATATTATTTATAAAATGATTGTGTACAAATTTTTAGAAAAATGGCAATCGGAAACAAGTTACAAATTCAAGCAAACTGTAATTAGCTTTTCATGTAAATACTTTATTAACCTTGTTTGATATATAATTTAATTAAGGGAAAGAGTAAAATACAGTTTTCTGTTTTATCAATAGTCAAAATAAAAGAAATATTAATTTTATTTCTGACAATTTATAAATTCAATTAGATGAAAATAGAAAACACTAAATTGTGATGTTATAATAATAAACTCGTATGTGGCGTAGTGGATAAGCACCGTAGCCCACGATCGTTGTTGTTAAGCAACTTTCGCAAGGGTCTGTCACGGGATGGGTGACCAGACAACTCTTATCTCGAGCTACTCCGTGCTTCGGAAGGCATGTTAAGCCGTTGGTCCTGGCTGCATTTGCTAGCATGGAAGGTCATGACCTATCCTCCTTAACCATACATAAAGAAAGCCTAAGCCCCTGCAGTGAGAAGGTAAAAGGGCTGATGATGATGAATAATAAACTATAAGTTTTCAAAAATTTCTGTTAAAATAAGCATCGCACGATAGCAAAAGAGACCCTAAATGTAATTTTAAACGGAAACTAATTTCATAAGGTCTTAAGTACTTGTTGTTACATTTTTTTATTTTTACTTCATCAGACATAATATTAATGCCCGTCATAACAACCGTATTATAAGCATCAAATATCTTATGAGAATCACTTGCAGCTGACCAAAAACTTGTCTCAATATATAGCTTTCTGTTTCTTTGCTTGTTTATAGCCATTTATTACAATATAGCCTGAATTTAATAATTTGCTAACTCACCAATACTATTACTGAATCTGCCCGCGTTCCTCAAGTATGAAAAGAGCTCGCCTCCACAAACGTAGTCAAATAACATATAAAGGCAGGAGTCATCGTGCGTCCACCATCGTCTGCAACAAACATATTTCTTTGTTATTCTCCTTCTTTTTAACCGACTTCAAAATTGATAAGGAAGAGGTTATATTTTCGACGGCGATGTATTTTTTTTTATTTAATTTCAATTGCCAAAGTCGCAAAGTTGAGCTTTTTAACTTTCTACAAATTACATATTAGAATTTCAATCTAATAGTCTGCCAGAATTCTGTTATGCGATCCAATTACAACAGTCAAAGTGGATGCTATATAGACAGGCGTCTAGTAATGTATTACTTTGCTTATACTTTGCTTTTGAAAAGCTCATAATTCAGGCTCTAAGACTTAGTTCATAATGAAATGTGTATGGTTGAAATTATTTTCATTATGTAAGACTATTATGAGATATAATATTGGGTTGGCACAAAAGTAATGAGACACACTAGAAAAATCTATAACATTTCCTTTTTAAAATCAATTTTTTCGATAATATTCTAGAATGTTGTAGAACATTCTAGTTACTTCTGGTGTAGGGTATATAAAGCCACGCTCGCGATTTGTTTAGTCAGTTTGAAGAAAAATGGACGAGCGACAAGTTCGAACACTATACTTATACGAGTACTTGTTAGGCCACAGTGCGCGGGCTGCGGCTGACAATATCAACAATGCATTAGGCGCTGGAAGTATAAGCCATGCGACGGTGTCCCGATGGTTTGACCGTTTTAAATCAGGAGACAGGAGCCTTGAAAGTCAGCCACGCTCAGGGCGACCACCCGCAGTGAATGATGACGATTTGCGCCGCGAATTGCAGTTGAATCCGGATGCTACCACTCGTGAATTAACGGAAGCACTTAAATGCAGTCACCACGCCGTGGAACACCATCTGCATGAGCTTGGTTATCGAAAAGTTTTGGCTCAGTGGGTACCGCTCATCCTTACAGACGCCAGTCGTGCAGTCCGTGTCGCTATCTGTCAGTCACTTTTGCTGCGACCCCGACATAAAGAGTTTTTGTCAGATCTGGTTACTGGAGATGAATCATGGATTTATTACGAGAACGATACACGTCGTGCTTTTTGGCTGCCTCGAGAAGAAACGCCACCAACTCAACCGAAGCCGAGTCAAAAGAACCGCCGAAAATTTCTACTTTGCTGTTTCTGGGATGCGCAAGGCTTACTGTTTTATGAGCTATTACACAATGAAACTATAAACGCTGACAAATATTCAACCCAGCTTACCAAATTATCTGCCGCTATCAAGAAAAAACGACGAAGACGAGTCAATGTAGTTTTACTGCACGATAACGCTCGACCTCACGTCGCATCTGTGGTTCGCCGTCAGTTGGAGAACTTGGGCTGGGAGACGATACACCACCCACCTTATTCCCCAGACCACGCCCCATCAGACTATCATTTGTTTAGAGCCTTGAAACAGCATTTGCGGGGTAAACAATTTAATGATTTCTCTTACGTAGAGGCGGAGTTGAACAACTTTTTCGAGGCACAGCCATCAGAGTTCTGGGCAAAAGGCATCCAAACTTTGCCGGATCGTTCGCAAGAAGTCTTAGATACTAATGGTAATTACATCATTGACTAAACTTTTTTTATTGTAATAATAATAAAAAAGTAAAAACTTAAACCAAGTGTCTCATTACTTTTGTGCCAACCCGATATTTCTTATAATTGCTTTAGGATTGGAGCTAATGTGATGACGTTAATGCCAAATTTTTTAATTAACTATCTTAAATTATTCATATTTAAGAATAACATTTTATATATATTTTCTCTGTATTACATCGTTAAGTATAATGAAGAAACAAATATTTTCAAGTTATAAATATGAAACCAATTCTAACAATGCATCTGCGCGTAACCAGGACATACCAGTATCATTGCCAAAACTTGCGCCATGCCAGTAGTGAAACACGTAAACATAAAAGTTATATAGTTGTATGAGAGAAACGACAAAGAACTGTAGATCATAGTAACGTCTGATAAAAAGCGACAGTGAGACGTATGCCAGATGTACGGCGACGCACGCGCACCCAAATGTATATCTGTTGGCGCCAAACGAATACTCAAAACTAATGTGACACGCAAACACTTCTTATTATAAAACTAGGACTAGAGTTAGTTTAGTTTAAACTATTGGTCATCTAAGGCAAATTGACAATGACAGAAGAGAAAACGCCGAAATAAAACGTGTAGACTTATTTTAGCGGTATAGAAGTTTACACTAGACCCTAAAGTTGGACCTTGTTACAGGTCTAACGCATTTTACGTTTGAATTATAACTTTTTAAGTAACGACTGAATATTTTCGTTATTGTTTCTTTTAAATGTGATTAAAAATACCTGTATACATTTATCTTGTTGCTAAATCCTATACAATTTCAGTTAATATTTTATTTACTTCCTAAGTTACTTATGTCAATACCGAACTATGTTACCGATTTATCTGATTGCTTAGTAAGAGCGCAAATAAGACCTTGACTCCATTTTCGTAGAGCTCACTAATTTACCTGTCCTCTCACTTACTTAATACTTGCTAAAAGCCTACTATTAATATAATCAAGGGCTCCGAAATTAAACTTGCTATTTCTATTATTTTTCGCTATAAATAAACGTGAAGTAGAAGTAATTAAAACACCGAACATTTAATACACATAATAGAAGATCGATTAATTAAATATTTTTGTACACATTCATTCAGTTGTCAATTTTTGACAATTGCAAATGATGATAAATATCAAAAAAAAAATTGAATGGACACGATCGAGTTTTTCTCTTTGAATGTGCCATAAAACGTGATCACTCGCAATATTTTATTAGTTTAGAACAATTTAAGCCTAATTTGTAATTATTCCTTATTTCTTTTTAAATGCGGCATCAAAAAATTTTTAAATTACACTTAAATAATAATGGACTCCCTCCAAACTCGTTTCGATCCTTTCCATAGGGTAGGTCTGCGCTCCCTGCGGTTATTGACAAGCTGATAATGATGAATAATCAATTATTTACGTGAAAACACAACAATCTTAAAAGCTCTTCAGACTACGCAAAAAAAAATCGCCATCATAAGTAACTTTCATTATTGTCAACTCTCCCCATATAGCTCTTGATACTCCTTTAGACTTTAATTTCCATAACCACGTCATATAATGCGTACAAGTATTCCAAAATAGAGGTATACAATATTGGCAGGTTGCCTACTTGTCGCCAGTAAATTGGCGCGAATCACCTGCACCATGCACATTTATTACCATCACGTCCAGACTAGCATCAACACAACCACCACCTAGGGTTGCCATTGACTCATTGTGGCAACTAATTAAGAGTCCCTGAGTACCAATCCCAATCGATGGCATTCCGACGGCACACCTCGAAAATCCCACCAAGCGAACGCTAAGTCCAATGAATGGATCAACGGAGGGGGTCCCGTACATCCGTTGTACTTTAAAAGTAAAATGATAACTATTATGCTTGTTTCGGTATCGTACACAGAACGAACGAGAGCTTTTTCTCTGTCTGAGCACAAACTTTGGCACGTTATCGTCACATTACGCCTGATGACGACACACCAGCAGCTGCATCAAACGACCATCATATAATGTCCGGAGTTTACGCGTGAATATGCGGAGTTTTCAAACTCCTTGTCCTAGTTTAGAGATTTTACAAATATCAACCCTACTACGGTCGCCTAAATAACCGACTACTAATCTGAATCAAAATGAGTGATTTCGTACTAAGACACATTCGTTATTACTGTGCATGAGTTATGTATAGCATCTCGAGTTTAATTGGCTGTGTTTGTTATAGCTCAAATACTCGTAATTTCAAATTTTCAGTGTATCAAGGTCCGAGTTCAAGATTAGTGTATTAAACATCAAATTCAGGGAAAGGTTTTCTCTTGATCATAAGTGCGGTTTTTTGTGTTATTATTATTATTATTATTAACTCACTCTATAGGACAGTCGAAGAGATAGTTTAAGTTACCTTAAAAAAAAGTTACTCATCAAACGTTTTGATCAAAAATTTGATGATGGCATTCTTTTTACCAATGTCAACTATCATAGACTATTACACTATAGGTACATATCGTAATATTCAGTTACGTTCACTCTAAAAATAACAATTTAAAATGTTTATTCGTGTCGTGTGTTTATATACGAATTTTTACACACACATTGGCTATGGCTTTGACCATGTGATTCTTAATATTATAAATTGAACAATAATAATGTTTATTACATTCTAGTGTTATGTAGATTACAAAACATTTTTATAGTATTTAAATTGTAGTTTCTATTTTGATCAGACGAGGAACTTTAAAAATAGTGTATCTGTATTTTTATAACAATCTTAAGAATTTAAGAAAAGAACTCACAAATTGACAATAAAGGGGTGGTTGATTTCAGCCAGTATGTTTTTCTCGTTCATTACGTGATCGACCTGTTTTAAGCGTATGACGTCCGCCATTGAGAGTATCTTCATCGCGAGGTATTCGTCTGCTGCCTTATCTCTGCATAAGCACACCCTGCCGAATGTTCCAGTGCCTGGAAAACCAGAAAAGTATATGAGTCAGTATTTGATCATTGGCAGATTTTCTTATTAACTTATAGATCTTAAAAAGATGACATTGTAATGTCTTATTAAAAATGTGATATCCTATAGATTGTAGTATATTTTACGTGAACATATTGGTTAAGTTTGACGTATTTGTGGCACTCATGAACTTTTTTCTTACAAATCATTCCCATTTAATCATGTGTAAAGAATTTTGGCCGGTTTATCTGCGATATTCTCATATCAATTAATTTTTAATATGACTTTTCAATTAAACGTGCTGTAACATAACAATATTAATCCATTTTAACTTTTAAAATCATGACAATAACATCGCTATCTTCAGATAGCGACTGTCAATTTTGATTGATTTTATCTAAATGCGAAGTTAATCTTAAAAAATAAACTGGTAGCAATCTCGACTGATTGATTATAGTTTAGCCTTTTATGAAATGTCATAACATGACTACGCAAAAATCAATGTATAAAATTATTTATACACCCATAATTTTAAACGTTTAAAATTTATTTATTTATGACCCAAATTCTCAGATGAAATATCAAATGCCCAAATATAAAATAGTGGCTTAAAAGCGCTCCTCATGTCAATAAAAGAGTTTTAAACTGTTTGAAGTAAATAAGACAATTGAAAAAAAGTCTCGCAAGCTATTGTGAGGCTTACTCGTATGTAAGAATCTGAAAGTTTGTTTTTTTTCTAAAATTTCAATTATGTGTATAAATTTTATAGCTGTCAAAAAATTTTACCATTTCTCCCTCCAGAACTTATATTATAGGATTCCAGAATATTATAGGATTCCGAAGATTTCTAATAATCTATGTTTTTTTTACCCTACCCTCCAATCCGCATTGGGCCAGCGTGGAGGGTCATGGCCTATTCTCCTTAACCATCCATAAGGAAGGCCTGAGCCCCTGCAGTGGGGACGTAAACGGGCTGGTGATGATGATGATGTTTTTTTTTTAATTTAGCATTTGAGCTCATTGCGCGAATTCGTCTAGTCGTTTTATGTTAAAATACTCCTATGAATTATCTAATATTTTCTCGTAGAACTGTAGAAAAAGAATGAATCACTGAACGGAAGTTTGGTGGATCAAATGTGAATTCGATGGATATTGATATAGTAATTCACTCAGCGGATAAACAGATTGTTGAAAAAAAAATGTAAACAGACCAGCATTCGTCTCTCAGTTAAGAAAAAAATCACGGTTTATGTCCATCATTCGTCATTGAACTAGCTACCAGTAAAGTGTTTGGTTTCCAAACATTACTCATGATTACGGTAACGGTTCAGCAGGCCAATTCTGTAAATGTTTTCATAATAATCGCATCTAAATAGAAACTAAACGACTTAGATTTTATCATTGTATTATCAACCTTAAGTCTAATATTATTAGAGCAATGTCTCCCTCACGCATCAATGGTGATATATATACATATAATAACTAGCTTTCGACCCTAGGGAAATGTTTAGTGGGACAAATAGTATCCTATTATCTAAGTCAGCCAATACCCTATCTTTATAACAAATTTAATCAAAAACCGTTCAGTAGTTTTAACGAAACAAAGAAACTTTCACACGTATAATAATAATAAGATATTAATAGGATATTGGACTTCAGATAGATACTACAATAGCAAAATGTAGTAAGTAAACATTTGCCGAATTACCCTACTGGTTTGTTAAGATTTTACAACTGTTTAATGATTCAATATTTTTTAAATATCACAATTAACATAATCTACACTTAGCTTATAAAGAGGTAAAGTTTATTTTGTTTGTTTGTAGTGTGTAATATTTGGATATTCTGATCCTATCATGAAAATTCTTTCAGCAACGGGAATTTACATCATACGCGGGTGACAAAGGCTATAATTAACGTGGGCTAAGTCGCGGAAAAACAGCAAGTAGATAATTTTATTTTGCAATCAATGTTATAACATAGAAATAATCTTGATGAATGTACTCCCGTAACTACTCGCTATGCGGTCAGTATTGAAAGCAGTCAGTAATCTTGTGGTTTTTAGAAATAGTTGCAAGTATACCTAAAATACCCTAGCATTAAGTATTTTTTCTCTATTTAAATATACAGTTATTAATAATAATAAAATATTATAAAGTTTAGAAAAACGGAAACAACTGTCATTGTATTATATTGAACGCTAAACGTTGATCAGCTAAATAGTTAAAAACAATGATTTATAGATTTTTGGTCACCCTTACGAAAGTTGTTTAATAACCGCTATACCTATGTCAATATCAACTGTTATTCAAAAGTTAAATATATAAGTATAATTCAATCACTACTTTACTTGTACTAGTGTACCAAAACGTATTCTCTCTCCGTGGCCCTATAATGATCTCATCTTATTCCAGAAACATTTGATCCGGCAATTAACCTATTAACTCCATTACAGTATACTCGTATGAGTTGGGTCGTAAACACGCAATGTTTTTTAAACGTTATTAGACGTGTTTGTACAATTAATAGACTATATATTTAATAAAAACATATAAAATTAGGTAAATATAATCTCGTCTCATATAAGTCACGTGTGAATCATAAACTAATAATTAGGCACATGATTACGGTAGTCGTTCAAACGCTGGTTTAAATGCGTGCGTGTGAAAATATATAAAAAACTAGTTTTATTTAAAAACTAGTCATCATCATCATTTCAGCCGAGAGACGCCCACTGCTGAGCATAGACCTCCCACAAAGATCTCCAATGTGATCGGTCCTACGCCTCCTGCATCCAGCAGTAGCGGTAGAACTAATAAAATACCCATAATTAGATAATTTAATCTTAGGCAAAGAAAGAAAGAGGACTTCAATAAATCTTATAACCCTTAATTCTTCATGACGACCTCCGTGATCGAGTGGCTGGCATGTTATAAGTTGCCAGCCACTCGATCACGGAGGTTATAAGTTGTTGCCATCTCTCCTGGATCAAGGATCGAAAATTTTTTTCACTACCATCGGGAGTGAAAAAAAAATACTTTTCTATATTATTTCGGGTCGGGGATTCGTGGTATCTTCGTTGTTTTGGATTTGATACAAATGCCATAATTCAAAAGCTACTTAATTTGGATTCTCAGCAATGTAAGTATGTGATGTTGTATAATCTTTATAAAAAGGTTTTATTTATTTATAATCTTATTACAAATTAAAAAAAAAATCTTGTATTAGAATACTATTTGATTCATCCTTCACCTTGAACCACGTCATCTTATATTTATATAAAAATTTGTCACACGTAAAATATCAGACATGATGATTAACGGGCGACATTGGAACAGTAGAAATCTCAAGGAGCATACACTTTTAAAATATTATATTAGTTTTTATTCAAGTCTAGCGCTGCAGTTCGTCAAACATAACGTTAAAATCAACCTCGACCTCACCAATCTTGTTACGTATGATTGAATACCTCCTGTTCTGTCATAGACAATGTAGATTGTATAGCAATAGAGTGTATATATACGGCTAACAAAAACGGTTACAAGCATATTGAAACACAAAACGCAAAAGAATCTCTTTTGACGACCTTCATAGCTGAATAGATCGCACGCCAGTTTAGAGGTGTCGCCATCTCTGAGTTAACGGGATCGATTCCTGGTCGGGTCCATGAAGAGAAAAAGAACTCCTCAATATAGAGGAGTTCTCGGGTCTGGGTGTTGTGGTAACTTGTCGTTGACTCAAATACTCCATAATAGGGAGACTTAAATAACTCATCTTGAAATCTGAGAAATGTATGTGATGTTGTTGAATATTTATACACATATATATATATATATATATATATATATATATATATGAGAGCCCCCCCTTAATAATTTATTTTATTCTGTTGTTAGTGTTTTGTTGTTATAGCGAAAATTTTAAATTTGTGAAAATTTCAACCGTCTAACTATCATGGAGTAGAAATATAATAATGCAGGACTATGTTTGGAATATGGCGTCTTTTTCTGTAGTTGTTTCCCCATTCGGGTAATTCCCGTGGCGTCAATTTCATTTGCCCTCACGGATCCAGTGAGTGAATTATTCATCCGATCATATGTATGTACTCTAATGAACATTATTAATTCATCGTCGCCCCGTGGGCGGCCAATAACCGTCTGTTACACTTACATGTTTGAAGTCGCCGCCTTATAATGAGTTTCCATCTCCATCTCTGTCAACCAATCAACGCATTTCAGCTGCCAGTTTGTGAGAGGAAAACAATATTTCAACACAACTGTATCTACAGTTTCAGTAACGTAAATTTAGTAGGTATAAGAACAGAAATCCATTAAAATAAATAAAATTTACAGTCTCGAAGCTTCAAGTCCAGTATGATGTTAGAAACCATTATTTTACTAATTAATGGACTATGATTAAAAAAATCATACAAATCAAAAGAATAAATAAAAAAATATATCTATTAATGTAAAAGTAATCACAATACTTATATCTTTTATATTAACTGATGTAAAATGAATCACAATACTAAATATATTTTTAAACGGCACTTAAATAACATTGTGATATATTTATTTTTATTCATCAATAACTTATACATATATATATATATATTTACATTTCATTGCTTTGCTATCTTTACTTTTGTACAATAATTTTACCTTGGTTAAATATTATTTCTATTCCCCGAGTGGTTATTTCCGTTTCTAACACACTTTTTATTTTGTAATATATCGCTAAAACTGACCTGAGTGTCTGACCCAATATCTTGATTGAAGTTCAATACATGTAAACAGTGTTTATATCAACTGCCAGAAACGTAAAACATGCCGAGTTTCCTCATATCGTTATTTTCTGCTGTCCCTTGCGCAACCAGCAGAAAGTGTTGAAGGGAATCAAGCAAATTATAGACCGGTGTGTTGCAACTACCCCATGTTGTATACGCGTCTTAAAATATAAAAGAACAAGGGCAAACTTTAAAATAGGCCAAGTATATATTGATAACCAAGAA